TTGTTAGGTCAAGTCGGATGAACGGATAAATATGCTGCGGAAGTTTCGTAGTCCGTCTCTTCGTATCGGGGGTGAAATTTTATTGGGGAAGAGAAAGCGCTTCATTTTTTTCAGCTAAATGATATACATCACCTTCGGCGGAGAAAGGAATCGATAAATCTCCCATTCATGAATGTCGAGAGGATGATTGATCAAATTTCTTTGTTACGAAACCATTCCGGGGGTATGTTTGAGAAATGCATTTATCATTGTTTCATTCGCGATTCGAGATAACCCGGTATCTTTATAATTAGTGATTGAAATCGAATATTTATAGAATAATCGGAACATTTTGCCAATTCCGTTGTAATTTGAGTACTTGGAAAACTAAATCCTGCCATTTTTTTGTATTTAATGATGTTATATCTTTTTTTTATTCGTATTAATATATATCGTTATTCGATACGCCTTGAATCTTATATTTCATTCCACATACACATTTTTTATATTATTCTATTAATCGAGATGTATATATATATACATCTCGATTATATATATATATTAATGGATATATTCTACGATACTGCCACTTCCAAAATCCGATATTTCGCGCATGCTATGACCTAATGGATTACTTTGGAATAGTAATCCTTAATAGGCGCATTATTGACGATTGATGTATTCACGTCATTTCTCACGCCAAAACTCGATTTCCTTGATAGCTTTACGTACAGCTTTATAACGTTTCAGTGCCTTGCTAATCGTGGCATGTGAATTACTCTAATGGACTCACATATAACATTTGCAGACGCAAAGGTGCGATATTATTTGTCAAAAGACAGCCAATTCAATGTTGAATCAATGTATGGATTATCAAATTAATTACGTTCTCTTGTCACGCACGATATTAGATAAGCGTGTAAAGAGCTTACACAAAATGTGCAGGTGCGAAACAGAAAATCATTTTTGTCATCGAGTATTAAAATTAAACGGAGGAATAATCCAGAGATGTTGGTTCAACAAGTTTTAATTATTAACGATTATAATTATAAAGTTGATTGAAGATCTTATGAATAAATCTTGAAAGTACATAAAGTACAAAGATGTGAACATTGTTAGATTATTTTGTCTTCTTAAAAAAAATTACTTTGTATATTTTTTTACTTCTTGTTTATGGTTTCACGAAAAAAAATCATGAAATATAAAATATTAGAATGTAATCTAATAACATTTACATACTTTCATACATATATTTTTTACATAACTGCATTTAAAATTAATTTTTCTAAATACAGTTTAAATGCACGAGATAAATGCAACGCACTAAATTAATTTTTCTCGTGCTTCTAACACTTGTAATTATTAATGTAATTAGATTTAATTATGATTGAAATTTATATTTCGAAAGAAAGTAAAACAGATGTTCTTAAAAGCGCCAAGTTATTTGTCTCACTAAACTGATATTCTTGATTGCTAGCGCGGATATTAAGAGAGGAATAAACCCTCGCGGGCGGAAAAGATCCGGCGATCCCCTTGTAACGAAGAACTCTGAATATTTACTTCTTCTCGGGTGGGGGCACATAAAGAAACGGACCGCCGGCAAATCCGGTGAGAAGATTAGCCGTATGCAAAAGAGCACAGGAAGTGAACGCCGAGAGAAGTGTGTTCGTTAAGTGCACGTGAGGATTGTACCGAGAAAAGTGAAATGCGTGTAAAAGGAAAAAGGAGTAGGAATCGAAATAAAAGGTGCCGCTATGGAAACGCGTTAGTAATAGCTCCGGTAGGGTGGATTTGATGAAACGAACGGGGATATAGGGTGATACCACTGTGGTGGCTTTTATTTCTTTTCCGAAGAATCGAAAGTGCTAAAACAATCTCGAGAGAAAAAAGGAGAGAGAGAGATAATGTGAGATTGGGAAATACTAGCTAAGGGCGAAAAAGCGAAAGACCAGTTAACGAAAATTATCCTCTGTTTTGGGGGAGAACTCTTTCTTTCGATAGAAGAAGTGTTGCTATCGCTAATGTAAAATCTGCTAGAAATGAGATTGAAGAATTTAAAATTCAATAGATATTCTGCAATTTTTTATGTATTTATAATCATTTTGTAATTATATGAAATATTAAATTTCAATTTATATGAAAGATAATAATATTATATAATATATATATATATTACATTTTTTATATTTTTATACGTTCAATCGAAATAATTTCAAGCTTGTTTAGAAAAGCCATGCAATTGGATATTTCATGATTGTTAAGTAATTTACCACACTGACTTATAGATAAATGTCTTTATTCTAGCGACGTTTTATTTTAGCGACTAGTCGAAACGTTTCGAATTGGACGTATGAAAATATAATATTTATATATATATATATATATATATATATATATATATATATATATATATATATATATATATATATATATATTTTCATACGTCCAATTCGAAACGTTTCGAAACGTCGCTAGAATAAAGATATTCATCTATGGTCAGTGTAGTCAATTACTTAACAATCTTGCTTTTAATTTAGACTGACAATTAACGATTTATCTTGTTGGATATTTCATATTTCAAATAAAATTTTCACATGTAAGAGACTAATAAGAATCAAAAATAGACTATGCAAAATCCTATATTAATAATATTAATCCCATTAGATTTAATAACTGAAAATTTAATAAATCAATAGTAAACAATCTTGCAATTATTATGTAAACCAATATTTTTAAAGTTAAGCATTGCTTATTTTTATTCATTATTAATAACACTCAGATAGAAATATTTTATGTCGGATGCAGATACGCTGATCGACGATAATATCATTTTCTTTAAATATATATGGTAGATATGTACATTAATGTGTGCATGTGTGTGTGTATGTATGTGTGTCCATAATATTCAATTAATTAAATGCCACGAACGATCATATTTTAATTATGTTGTATTACGTATACATATATACGTTAGCCGTTAAACACGCGCTTTCAAGTAAATTATACATCTAAATTCTCCCCTATGATTTTCAAACCACCGCGGACGTAAACGTGTACGCTTGATTACCTATCGGAAGGAAATAGTTAAATGTGCTTGTGTAAGGAACGAACTTGCGCGTTTGAAATCAAAGAGCCTTTTGATATCCCGACCCGAGACTGCCCATCTGTCCTCATATACAGGGATGTAATACACGATTCTACTTTCACATTTACCGACACATATATTCGTACATCATTCCTCCCCGGGAAAACATTTTTTATATATAAATAATTGTATCATTATACATATAATCGTAAAATTATATGTGAAATATGTCCATTTTTATACATAATTATATAAATTTATATATGTATAAATTATAAGGGTTCATATATATAATCATGTCAAATTATATATGAAACATATATATATATATATATATATATATATATGAAGAAATACTATATAATATATATATATATATATATATATATATATATATAAATTTATATAATTGTATATAAAAAGCTTTTATCTAATTATGTATGGACATATTTCGTATATAATTTTACGGTGATATGTATACTTTTATATATTCTATATAATTTTATATTGTTACATATAAAAAATGTTGTCCCGGGTCTCGCCAGTTCTTCCAGAATTTGATGTTCCTAATATGTGTTCTAATATGTCAACGGATATTAAACCGGTCCCCAGACGGAAAAGACCAAGAGAAAGAGAGGAAAGAAGTCGCCTTTATTAACTGATATCGTTTAGCTCAAACACGCGTATATATAACAGCGGAATTTTTGGTGGACCGGAGGTGAAGGTCGACCGAGGTCATAAATTGGACTGGGTAAGTTACGTTACTATACGTAACATATATTCGTCTGCGTACGTACACGCACGTGTCCTCAAATCGCGAGAGGAAAGAACGGTGGAGGTATGCCGTCCTCGAGAGTATTATTGCGACGCTGGCCGCTCGACGTGGCAAACGGGAATATATCAGGGGGTTGGCGTTTATGTGGCGACCAACTGTCGAGTTAATATTCACGCGATTCGGAGCCGACTCTTCTCCGTCCTCCTTTTTTCCTCCCTCTCGATCTCCGAGTCGACACGTACGTCGCGAAATTCTCGATTTCGATCCTCCTTTTCTCTTAGTTTTCTACCCCCTTGTCGCGGTAGCCTTCTCTATATCGAATGTCTTTCGCTTGCAAAATTTTATATGGTGAGAAAAATTTTAATTTATTTTGACTCTACGCTGAAAAAAATTTATTGAATTCGAATAAATATTTATTTCGATGCTCTGCCTTATAAATTATTTATTTGAAACTAATAATATTGATTTGATGTGAACAAATATTTATTTGATGTATGAAAATTCTTTTAAAAACAGACATTTCGTTCAAATAAATGATTTATAAGGCAGTATTGAAATAAATATTTATTAATTTTATAATTTTTTTCAGTGTATACAAAAAGTCGAAACTTTCAAAATTTTGAAAGCTAAGATTTGCAAAAAAATGTAAGTATGATAAGGTAAATCAATGCGGATGTCACTGTGAATACATAGGGTTACTTCTTTCATTAAAACGGAGTATTTCTTGATTATTGTGTGATTGTGATCTTTTTTTACACAGTCATAAAATTTCTTTTTTACGTTCATAGACGATAATAATTTACAAGTATAGAAATGCATAAAAGGAAATAAATTATAAGGGTTCATATACAATATATAATGTCAAATTATATATGATGAAACATATATTTATATATAATATATATGAAGAAATACTTGTTTATTATATAGATATAAATTTATATAATTATATATAAAAAGCACTTTTATCTAATTATGTATGGACATATTTCATATATAATTTTGCGATTATATGTATAATTTTATATATTTCTATATATAATTTTATATTAATTTTATATATAAAAAATTTTTTTTCGGGTGGTTAGACCACCCAATTTCCAATTATATATTATTTCGAAAAAAAATGACTTGAATATATTCTGATGATTCTCATTACAGTACGTATGGCGTATGGCTTACCCTATGGCATGGCATCGCAGAACATCGCACTGTGCGTCTTTATCGCTGCTTTTCTCCACGTCAGTCTCGGTAAGACTTGAATATACCGCTTTCAGGGAGGTAAGTAAGTATCTTCTCGATGTAGATCCTTTGAGAAATCGAAAAAAAAAAAAATCACAGTCGGGAGAGATATACGAGAGAGGAGAAGCAAAAGTTACGAGTTTTTAATCCGCACGGAGAGAATCACAGAATTTCTTCCCTTTTTCCCTTCCTCCGATCACTGCGACAGTATCGTGCCCGTTACTTTTGCGCCGCCTTTCTTTGCTCCAGTTTCGGTAAGAATCAAATGGAATCTTTCCGGAGACATCGCTATCGGTAGCCTCGCGTTTCCGCGAAAGCTTAAAAAGAATCCCCCGCTTAAAAAGAAGCAAGAATTGCAAAGTGGTACAAGCCGCCGACTTTTCTTCGGCTTCGGAGAAAAATGTTCCATCGTTGCATTTATTTACTTATTACTGCTATTGATTTATCGCGTGATCAGATATATATATATAAATTGTGAAGTATCTTTAGAAATAATATTTTATTTCGATCTCAAAGAAAAATCTAAAATGTGTCCTATATAAATTAATCAATCGATTTTAATTCGCGAATGTAAGAAAATTAGAAACTCTTATTTTCTTTTAGCAAAACTTATTTAGGAAATAGATTTTTATAAAAGAGCACAAGAAATACGTAACTGCAATTTATATGCAAATTTTGAAACTCTCAGTCTTTTTATTATCGAATCATTTCATTGAAGTTTTGTGTTTTATTCGATATGTTCCTATCACGTTGATTTCTCGTTACACAAAAAGGACACGAATCGTAATGCATAGATCGTCGAGCACTCGACTCGCATGTACGAACTAACAAAAATGCTATCTGGTCTTCGCGGTAGCTTTTCCACGCGATAGATCATGATAGATGATGATTACTCCACAAGTCAGCGAACTTTCGCTCGGCCGTGTTCCACGTGATTAATAAACACCTCGTTTCTCGCGAAACTTTCTCCCCTTTCCTTTATGCTCGCGTGTTCGCTTCGAGAAGTTAACCGGAAAGGATATAGGAAGAATACATTTCCTTTTTTTGCCCATTATAGTCCATCCTGTTATTGCGATGATGATCAATGCGCGATTTCCGCGTAAAACGTAATGTCGCGAATTAATATTTCGCCACGCGAAAGTGAATGTCGTTGACTAAAGGATCGATAAAAATTCGATATTACCAATAAACACTTTTTTACGGCTACTTTTTTGCGTATTATGGAATACAATATAAGAATAATTATTTCAGAAAATTTGGAATAATAATAATAGAATAATAAAATGGGAAAAAAAGGATGTGATAAAAAATTATCAAACTTATTGCAATTAGATATATATAGTATATATATAATGTAGATTCGTAAAGTGTGATGAATGATTGTGAAAGATGATTTATTTTACTTTCTATAATATTGATGATTTGAAAAATTTGGGCAATATTTTTTAAGGTATACACAATAAGCTGCTAGAAGGCTTGTTTTCTATCCATAATTTTGACTAACATAAACTTTAGTAACAAACATTGTTTAAATATGGATATTAAAAAATATATAAGTTTATTGAAAATAAAATTATTAATCCCAAATTTCTTAGCATTTTTCATCAAAGAGAGATGCAAAGATTTTAACTCTTCAATTCGATCTAATAAATTTTTTTCATATTATTAATATTTTTGAGAATACAATAATATTTTTTATTTAATCGACTCATTTAATTTTACGCACCTCATTCTATATGTATATTTATATGCAATAACAAATTAGGAGAGAATACGCAATATAAACGAATTGTTATCTATTGCATTAGAAGCTAATAAAATTTTTGTAGTTTCTTAAAATTAATTTTTATTTAAATTTTTGTAGTTTTTTAAAATTAATATTTGTCAAAAATCAAGATTTTTTCTAAGTTATCACAAATGACACTAGTCAGCGACATATTAAATATGCGTGACGTATAAAAAGAATCGTGATTATCGAGCGATGAGGTGTGTTTGACCAGTCGCTCATTACATGCATAAACGATGAGATTTTGTTGACGGCGCAAAAAGGTGACGGGCATTCGGCACCCATTCCCGAAATTTCCTCTAATACGCCGTTCATACATCATATTCGTAACGACGGCGTATCGGCGGCAAGTTGATGGTCGACGGCGCTAATTAAGGATTAACTTTGTGGATCGTTAGCCATAATCGTTAGCGCATATAATCGTTAATTGCATAATTCAGGTCAAACGCCGCCCAAATCCGAGGTCCTGCCCGAGTTTCTGGCACTCTTGGAAAATCATACGGTCACTCAAGGTCGCGACGTCTCCTTCACCTGTGTCGTTAATCATCTTCAGTCTTACAAGGTAAATGTACTCGTGCTCTGTAACGCGCGTGTAATTAGGTAGTCGATTAGGGCCATCGCTTGAAATAGTTGGTAATGTGGCCTAAATATACCGAATTATATGTTATTATAATTATTCCGGTATAATTATATCGGATAATATTTGAGTTTAATAACACGTAGTTGTCTTATTCTATTGTCAGTTATTATAAACTATTACTTTTGTTAATTCGAAATGTTCCATTGCAAAGTGACACGCTACCAAGTGCTTGGAATAAGCGAATGTCAATCGTCTAACAAGAAAACAGCAACTCACAAAAATATAAAAAAATATTTTTCGAATGATAAGAAATCGCGAGAGAAGTAAAACACATCAAAACATTCATACATTTTTTCACAATAATTAATTTGATTCTCGAACACAATTTATTATATTATAAAATTTCCAAACCGAAAATTAATATAATCGAAAATTTCCAAGATGTAAAAAATGTTTATTTATTTATAAATTGTTTTTATTGTTTTCTAACTCACGCGGAGACTATTTTCAGTTGAATTCACGCGAAGGCTATCCATCAATTTTATTGAACGTTGTCACATTATACTAAACTCTCGTGTATTGCTTTTAGTACTGCCGTTATGTTATGTTACGATAGGAAAGGCCAATTCGTATATAGAGAGATAACTTAGTTCTAGTAAAAATGTCACAAGTATTCTTCGACAAGTATATCCTCCTCAACTCCTAAGAGAGAAGCCGCGAGCGACGCCACAAACGTCAAGATGTTTTCCTTGGATCTGCATAGCGAAACAATGCAAATCAAGCGGAACCATCGAGTATTCGATGTATTTTCCAAAGACAAAAAGACAAGAGAATGTGTATCGTCGAGGCAACGTGGAATCGTAGAACATCGCGTACGTATCGACTAAACTAGCTATTCCGATCGGTTTCGCTGTACAGTTTCCTCCGTTTACAATATGCAATGACTATATATAAGTACATAAAAATCGAACGTTAAGTTTACGTTATTGTCGATGAAAAATTCTGTATATGCTCGAGTCTCTTTAAATCTCAGAAAAATAATATAAAATCAATTCAAAAATTAAATCAAAAAATGATAGCTTTTGGATGAATCTGAATTGAAATTTTGTCTCATCACATTCGTCATTATATTTATTACTATCTATCAATTTTTAATTTTGAATATCTTCGCAATTAAATCTCAGATTAAAATTCTATTAAAGTAAAGTCTACTTGAAATTAGTTATAGATTTCAGATTTCTTGTCTATTTGCTCTTCCGTAAAACGAAGGTTTGCGAAGAGATCTCTTTTATTTTCAACCGTTAATTACTCGAGAATTACCTTGGAATTTTTACCGAAGGGAAATCACGTTTAAATTAAATGAAGAATTTGCCATTATAACAACGATCATTGCAATTTCACGCATTTTTCAACATTTATATACCTTTATTTTATCGGACGTCGGGTCTAATTTAGCCGCGAGGCAGCAGTTTGCACGTTTTTCAGGGCGATTCTGCCAGTATATTGATCATGATTTAATACGAAAACGTTCGGCCTCTGTGCATCCATGTGTCAGTCACTCACGTGCAGCCACTCACGTGTGCGTTTACGTGTGAAGGAAGTGTTCGATTGTATATATCAGAGGGGTTGAAGGAATCCCTTCTGGGACAGACTCGGCGAGTAATTCACTTCCAAGAAGAAGTCTAAGTTTGATTGCGCGCTCGGATAGCGACAATCGTTTCTATCGCGTTTCTAACGGTGCCGGAGCGTGTTTGCAGGGTGGTTTTAGCGGAAGAAGAGATGTCCTCTCGCTCGCGGCTGTGCCCCGAAGAGTTTACCCCCTTTGCCGTCTTTGCTCTATCTCTCTTTCTCTCTGGAGAAAGAAAGGAAATGACAGAAGAAAGAACATAAATCAGATCCGCTAATATAGCGTCGGTGAATAGCCCTGATTTTTGCCACCGAGCTCTCCTTCTCACCCTCTTCGCGCAATTGTGCTGACTTTGCGACATCGTTTATATGCATCTTACGCATTTCAGCAGAATGGCGATTATAGGTGGAGAACCGTGCGGAGAATATGTTTTTATCGATATGCATAAATATCAGTGTCAAATATTTAAATTCGTATAATCAAAAATATTCATTCTTTTTCGAGATAAATGATAAAATAATTTATTTGAAATGTTTTGATTAACAATGTCTATATGTAAAATCCAGGCCTGACAATTGCCACTCGCGAGACAAAAATTGCGAAAAAAAGATAAAGTCCACAAATTGCAATATAAAAAATCTATATTTACCTATATATGTAGTTTTTATATTTTCTTGATATTTTCAATATTGTATATTTGCCTGTATGTTCCTACGTAGAATTTCGAAAACTTTAATATTAATTCTGTTGAATTTCCGATAAATGATTCCGATAACTTGTTTACCATCTAAATCTTGTTTCACTTCCCATATCTCGTTTAGGTATATTGTTGACGCAGAGAAGTTTCGCGTACGCGAAATATTATATTTTTACACTCTCTGTTTTGTTTAATCAATATAGATTTTTTCGGGTGACTTTATTTGCACGCGATATTTTATGCATATATTTTATCTTCCGCATCAGAGAAGTTATGTGTTTACGCGAAGAGGTATATTTAATTGCTTAAAAAATAAAACGAAATTTGCCGCGTAAACAAAAAGGCGCGTGTACGTATATACATATATATACCACATATATATATATATATGTGGTGCATTGAAAGCTGTTTAATTTGGCAGCCCTTCGTCGTCGCGTTACACATAACTGTGTCTCATATATCCCGCAACATCTAATCTCAGAAATTTAACCCTTTGCTACAGTCCTATGTAGCGAACTGATGCAGCTGTATCCAAAGCTTTCAGTGTCTCTCCACGGGAATTCAAACCTTGCAATTAGATGAGAATTGAGTTACGACACTAAAGTTCGTTTTAAATTAAGAGATATATCAAGAAATGTACTTCATTTTCTTTTTGTTTCTTAAATATACTCAGAGAATTTTTTCTTAGAATTTATGAAAATCATGGTAATCGTGGGACAATATATGATATTGGAAGAATTTTATAAGAGCCTCTCCGATTAATATTTACTACAATAAAAAAATATTAATATCTACCACAATAAGATATAAAATATGTTCGATTAATTTTACTATGTACATATTAACATTTTTTATTGTGGTAAATATTAATCAGAGAAACTTATAAAATTGTTTCAAATTTTATATTAATCATAGAAACTCATATAAAATTTGGAAGAATTTTATATGAAATGATATTTTATGATACTTTATATTTTATTATGGTAGATATTAATATTTTTTATTGGTAGTAAAAATATTAATTAGAGACTCTCTTTAAAATTCATTCAATACCGTATTGTTCTACGATTACCATGATTTTCAGGAAAAACTCTAAGAGAAAATTCTCTCCGTCCAGAATTAAAGTGTCATATTTCGAAGATAGATAACGAATTTTTCTTTTATTTGGAGATATGCGTACAGATGCAAATTTAATTGAGAGAAATGAGAAATTCCGCAACATATATATATATATATATATATATATATATATATATAGTATTGTGTACATATGTATACTAAATTAATATACAGTTAAACACCGTCGTAAACGCAATACTCCGAGATGTGTAATATTATAGATCTATAGTCGCGCGCGTCAGATCTCATATCGAATGTCTATAAGGACACCTGCCAATTACCCTTGATCCACGAAGGATCATCCCCAGAGGGAAGGAGATTCCGGCGCGACAAGAGCCTATATATACGTATTTCCAACAGGTAGATCGCCATATCCTTTCACGCGCATTTATGTGCATCTTAAATTGATCGAAACTCGGCAACGCGAGAGCTTTTGTTCGCGATTTAAAAGCCCTTTCATTCGCCCTCTTCCTCCCCATGGCTCCGCTACCGTTCATCTGAAATATGACAGATCGAGCTGTCGACCAGGAGCGCGAGAGGAAGGAGGAGCCCGAGGAAGGGTGATGGAGTAAACCCGGGCGGAATTTGAGAGTGCAAAGCCCCGAGTGCGTCACCGACCGGTATGAATACCGATAAGCGCCTTTCGCAAGCACCGCGATGCTTTTTAAGCACCGCATCCGGTACTAATGAAGGGTCCATCCCGGCCCTTTTCGCGCAAAGTCGCCGGATCTTTCCCGCTCTCTCTCTCTCTCTCCTTCTGTAAAACGCAGCCCTCGCATCCGCGCGAAAAAGAGAAATCTCTCTTTCCACGCGTTATTTATCTTTATGGCATCCTTTTGTTGCCTTTACACAAGAAAAAGGTATTACTATGGCGTTGTGTGGAAAAGAATTATGGATTATATAAAGTTAGAAAAATATAATGTATCGCGTTTGATTTATATATACCAAATTTCTTGAAACTTATACTCCATATAATCGAATTATTGATCTTTTTAATAGTTATATTCAATATACGATACATAATTATTTGTGAAATTTTCATCTCGGATTATGTAATCACTGTCGGCGCAATTCAAATTTTCTGAAAAATTAGTTTATCGATTTTTTTTTTATTTATCAATCGCTTACGTACATATGCATATTTACTCTGTTGGTCGCGCAAATATCAAAGGAAAATATTATTTGACAACATTCGCGAGGTAAATTAAATATACATTTTTCAACTATCACGATTGCTAGCGATATGAAAATATTTTAATATTCGAATGCGAGTACGAAAAATCGTTTATAAAGAATGGTTACTATAAAATATTTACACAACATTGCAAGATATAATTTGTCAAACTCGAAATCAATTCATGGCGAATATTGATCGTGTCAAAATGTTAAATAATTAATGGACAGAATTAATTTTAGCGATCAAAAGGTATATACGAGAGTTACATACGTCTTCTTTAATTTTTATATCGCGCGTACAAAATTTTGAAAATATCGTGTCTATATTTAAAAACTGCATACACGATATCCCGTTCTCCATTACGGCCGAAATGAGCGATTTTGTTACGTCATGCGCAGGTCGCCTGGATAAAGTCGGATTCGCGTGCGATTTTGGCCATTCACACGCATATGGTGGCGCACAATCCACGCTTGTCCGTCACTCACAACGGCCATAACACATGGAAGCTGCACGTGACTAACGTTCAACCGAACGACTCCGGCACGTACATGTGTCAAGTTAATACGGATCCTATGAGAAGCCAGGTCAGTAGAGCCGCTCAACATTAGAGCGACAGTCGTCCTCTATCGCGTCTCCTATCACGTCGTCGCAGAATGGGAGAGCGATGCGTTTCTCCCTTTCTATATATAATGCAATTGCAACGCATGCACATGTGCATGCACACGTGCATTCGTACGTACACGTACGAAACGGATAATTCAGTGCTAATTGGAAAACGCAGTGCTTCACGGAGAGAATTTTCTCTTAGAATTTATCCGGGAAAATCACGGTAATCGTGGTACTGAAGGAATTTTTAAAAAAGATTCTCTTCTCTCAAATATTTGTCACATTAAAAAAATTAATATTTGCCACAATAAGATATAAAATATGATCGATTAATTTTACTATGTATATACATATTAATATTTTTTGTTGCGGTAAATATTAATTTAAATTTAATAGTAGATATTATATATTTTTTCTTTGTGGTAAATATTAATCAGAGAAATTCTTATAAAATTCTTCCAATATCACATTGTTCCACGATTAATTACCATGATTTTCAGGGCAAATTCTAAGAGAAAATTCTCTCTAAGTCGAAATTCATTTCTGATTTTCTTCTTTTTTATTCATTCTTTGCTACTTCGTGGCACTCACTGGCGAAAATGAATGACAAAATGATTAATTACGATCGCGTACTAATCAGTAAAATATGATAGCTGCAAAATTTTTTACATGTACATATATGCTTCTGCAGCATTCTTGTCATTTATTCATGTACGCAAACTAATTATATTAATTATTATGATATTATGAGAACAAATGAAGAAATTACAATCGCACAAAATCTCATGATTCATTCAACGTTCGAAAATCGTGTGATCAAATTCATCGCGGCGGATTACTATTTGTAATATAAATCTGAATAAATATACGAGTTAAAATTAAAATCCCGCAGAATGTGGCATCTAAAAATATGTACGTTGTTGCTTTGTAAAATTGCGCGATAAATTTCGATCGTATAAATTACATAAAACACGCAATAATACATAAATAATGTCAAAGTCCCGCCAAACATATTTATTATTATTAAATGATCCATATATCACGTTTATCTGTTTTTGTTTTTATTATTCGACTCGTGTATTATTCTTTTCGAAAAAATGACGCATTATATTTAAGTAGGCGAAAAAAAATAAAATTTCATAATATAAGATATATTCAATCTCAAACATATTTTGACAGATATATAACAGATAATTTTTTTTTCATACAATTTTTATAAAATAATTAGTAAATAATAAAATAAATCGACGAAAAGTTTAAAGTATAAAACTAAATATATTTGACTTTAAGCATATTTAAGAAAATAATTCTCTCGCGATTGACGATTCATTAGTGTATGTAAAGTTTTACGAGAACTGTATGGAATTATTATCGAAAACTGTCAAGATAAAGAAGAATTTTATTTGACAATATATAATACATTTTTTAATGTGTGAACGTTGATCGAATAATAATAAGTTTTTCGTCTCTTTCCGTGTAGGTCCTTATTACTTTCTCCTTTATGTAAATAAAGACGCGTTTATTATTCTTACAGGTATTACATCGAATCAACGACTATTAATTTCAGAGTAGATATTTTCATGACATTTTTATTTGAAATAGGAACTCGAAGAGGATGAAAATTATTTTTCCATTAAAATGTTGTTACGTATTACATTACCGTAAATATCGCAATGGCAACATAATTTGAATTCACTTCGATTCCTATTTCAAATGAATATATGAGAAATATTTAGTTTGAAACAAATAGTTACCGAATCGATATATCTATAATATTTTTACGAATCGTCAATCGTGAAAATTAATTAACCGCATAGGTTGATAATCTCTTCTAATTATTCCAATTATTTATAAAGTATTATTTGATACTGTGATTATATATATTTCGAAAGCAGAAAACAGGGAAAACAAGCAGCAAATTTTCCGATATAACATGTCGTTTTTTTTTAATTGTCATTCGAACAGTCATAACATTTTTTATATGCCATCGTGCTATTATATTTTATCTTCTGAAATAAACAAAAATTTATTACAGCTCTTTATATTTTATTTTTCGAAAATACACGATCGAAAAAAAGAGAGACGCTATAATTCTTACAATCGCATTTACTGTAATTATCATAATTATATAATAATCACGAAAAATATAGTAATAATTTTAATCGAATGGTAGACTTTTTTGCTTACAAAAATTTTGATTCTTTGTTGGTTTTATTATTTAAAATATGACTCAATCCTGCATAAATATTAAAACGGAGTTAAAAATCTTTTTCAATTAATTTTCTTTATTTGTCCCGCAAAATCGATAATTTTTAATTTACTAATGAATACGAATCTTGCTTGCAGACCGGTCACATGAAAGTGGTGATACCGCCCGATATCATGGATCTGGACGACACGGCGGATTCCTTAACCACGAAGGAGAACGGCGATCTGCAATTGCGGTGTCGAGCGACCGGCAACCCGGAACCTGTGGTGATCTGGCGCCGAGAGGACGGTCGGAACATTACCCTGAGGAACGAGCATCAAGGAGTTAAACTGCTAAGTAAGTTACTAAGTACTTGATCTTTCGATATATTGGCGAACACGCGAGAAAGAATTCAATAAAACAAAATTTAAAAAAAAATACAAAATATATATTTAAACAAAATATGAAGTATAAAAGAAGAAATTATATATCAAGTATAATATTAAAAAAAAATATTGTTCTAATTTATCAATTTACATGAAAATTCCAAAGATTATACATGATATGTTTTGCAATATATATATGTATATGTGAAATGTGAAATAATTGACGCTGACAGGAACACGCTTTTTTAATGCGATTACTATCGAGCTGAGAGATAGGATTCGCGAATGATAATAGAGTTCCAATTTGATTAGGTATTAATTTAACCAGATAATGCTTATATTATTGCATAAAAGAGAGATAACCGACTGGTGGCGGTCTTAAAATGGTGAATTAAAATTTCATCATATATTCCACCGTGCTGCGCCGTTTTAACGTGAAATGCATCACTCTCCAAAAATAAATGAAATTTTCATTGCCTCGGTATGACTGATTATGAAACTGACTCTAGATAGACATAAAATCACGCGAGTGATTCGTAAACGAAACCGTTGAAACGAGTCATCTTTAATTGATCCGATATGTGCCGCACGAGTTTGAAGATGAAATATTTGAAGCGCGCGAGCACGGGGATCACTTTTAAAAAGCGCCCGTGTGTGACGCGGGACGACCCTGTTGGATTCGCCGCGGAAAAGCAGCCATCCGATTAGCCTTCCTGACTGTGAGTGATGGATGTTGATTTTACATATATTTCCTCTTCGCCGCCCGAGCCCGTATCGACTTGGTGTATGTACCCGATTGCAATATTCAGTGTGTACATTGCGTCGCGAGAGCGTTACGTTGCCGCGGTATCTCCATCCCTTCAGTGCTTCCGTCGTCTTCTTCATAGACATAGCACGGACAAATGCACTTATATCGGAATTCTCAGTTTTACATTGTTTCGAAAGTTTTTTTCATGTTCTTACATGATCTTAAACTTATATTTTTATAAAATTTATTTAAAATTATTATGTAAGTCTTTTTTCACACATCCACACAGAGAGAATTTTCTCTTATTGAAATTTACCCTGAAAATCACGGTAATTGTAGGACAATATATGGTATTGGAAGAATTTTATAAGAGTTTCTCGGATTAAATATTTACCACAACAAAAATATCGATATCTATTACAATAAGATATAAAAAATATGTTCGAGAGCGTTACGTTACCTTCATCCCTTCAGTACTTCCGTTATCTTCTTCGTAGCACGAACAAATGCACTTATATCAGAATTCTCAGTTTTACATTGTTTCGAAATTTTTTTAAATGCCTTTACATGAAAACAGAGAGCGATCTTAAACTTATATTTTTACAAAATTTATTTAAAATGATTATATAAGTTTTTTTCCCACACAGCCATACAGAGAGAATTTTCTCTTGGAATTTACTCTAATTGTAATTGTAAGACAATATGGTATTGGAAGAATTTTATGAGTTTCTCTGATTAAGAGAAAATGTTGTCCGTGCATATGCGTGAAGAAATGCAATCTACAATATACAAAGTAATTCGCGACTGTTAATTTTCTAAGGGCGAATTTATTATTTAACTCTAGCAAAAATGTTCTTATGAAGAACATTGCAAGAGAGAAAATTATTATTTATACAAATTTTTAAATTTGGAATAAAAAATCGTGTAGATAAAATATTGCATATGCAATTGTGCATTCTTCATCGCACAAAAGGGGTGACATTTGAGAACTTGCTCATACATTTTTAAAAATAAGACTATTGTGTCAAAAATCGAAAGTACCTAAAAAAAGATTCAGAATATCCTCTTATCACGAAAAATGTTAAAGCAGCGCGAACGTACGAGGGCGAGCAGCTTCATTTGAGGAACATTCAACGGCAGGAGATGGGGTCTTATCTCTGTATCGCATCAAACGGAGTGCCGCCATCGGTCAGCAAGAGATATTACGTCAATGTTCGTTGTAAGTGCATACACGCGTTACGAGGCAGCAACTTCCTGTCGTTAGACCGAGTTGCACGACTAATTGCATCTTTCTCGTTAAAGTCAAACCGCTGATTAAAGTCACAAACCAGTTAGTGGCGGCGCCCGTCGACAGCGATGTCCTTCTTCAGTGTTACGTGGAGTCCTCGCCGAAGGCTCTGAACACATGGTACAGAAATAATGGTGAGAGACCGGCTCTTCCGTTGCACGTGTAATTTCCGTTTTTAAAAGAGTTACAAGTAAATAGCTTCCAAAAATTCAATTTTATACATATATACAATATTTCAACCGAGAATTGCTACATCAACATCGTTATATGTTGCACATCAGGATCAAATAAGAATCATAAATATTTTTTTATAATGCGATTCGAGAAAGAAATTGGAGAAAAACATATTTTATTCTGTTACTTTTTCTGCGAAAATAATTACGCCAGGTTTATTAGTCTTGTCATTAATTTTCTTTGCGAAACGTCTCATTCTCTTCCTCCTCCGGTTCGTTCGGAGGAATCTTGAAAAAAGATTTTCTTCTTAAATAGGTACAGATAAAGTGTTTTCAACAGAATTATTTCCGAAGACTACTTTAGGAGTGAAATTGTTGGAGGACGAGAAACATGACATATCAGAAGTAACCATCAACGATTATGCATATCAGTTAAATCTCACTGTCAGGCGACTAGATCGATCTGATTTCGGCACTTACACGTGCTGCGCTGAAAATGCTTTTGGGAAAGCGGAAGCGTCTATAAGACTGCAAGGTAAGTGATAATCGATATCTTCCATGTACGATAAATTTTATTATTTTATTGAATTTTCTCGTAATTAAATATATGTATACTCTGTTATAAATTTTACAGAAAAGATAATGCATACCTATATAAAAAATTCACACAGCACGAATCGGATTTATGTCCACAATTTATATCACATTTATAGTCTTTTTTATTTTCTAAAGTCACTCTTGTAGATCGTGTCGTGTTTCTAGATATTATCAGATAATTATATAGCAATAATTGTTCCTACTCCTTCAAAATGGAACATTGTAGAGCTGCAGATGCCAAAGCCAACGATAACTTCTCCGCGCAATACCGAAGTCTTCGAGAAACACGTCTTGCGGAAACAGGCGAAGAAGAAGTACGAGTCTGACCTGACCCCGAAGAACGTGGGCCACACCACGCCGATATCTAGGAGAAACTCGTCGAGTTCCTCGCCGAATATCGTGAACAAGTCAAGAAATTCCGCGTTTCCGGCATCAGCACCGGCACTGGCACCGGCGCATTCGGCGCCCACGCAACTGGGTGCTCAGAACGGCGTTAGGTCATCGCGAGATGCGCGATTATGTCACATCGGCCTCACTGTGGTCGTCCTGTTAATTTTGAATTGCGACTAAAATGAAGAAGAATAAAAATCTATCGCGACTTAATGAAATCATTAAGTTACAACGAATCGACTGTTCATCATGATTTCGGTCGCTATAGAGGGTACACATAGGATGAAATTACATTGAATTGACAATGGAATCGCTTTTTGTTAAATTTACATTAAATTTTACAGAACTAATAATACTCACAGGAGAGAACCTGAGAGATACACGAGGTATACATCGAGAGCATCGGTTTTATTGTAAATAATAAAACATTTTTATGACAATAAATGTAGTTACGTATACATACGAGAAATAGATGATCACGCTGTTAAAAACACACGCTTGTAACTGCCATCATTATTCAGAATACATTTAAAATATGTATACATAATATATTTGCTAAAATTAAATTTTTTTGCCGCAACAAATAATTTGATTTGGATAAAAGAACGCCACTTCATATATTTTCTAATAATAGACATTATATTGAACTGACATTATATTCTCTCTTTAATTTGTTCATATAATTATCGCGTGATTAATCAATAAGCGTAGATATACATTGATAGAATAATTATAAAGAGGGGTCCATACTAAACACCGACTAAGTTGGGGATTTATTGGTCTCTAAAAATTGACTGAAAAATAAATTCGTTCTTTAGGAATCAGCTGAATTGATCTCGAACGAGAATTGTGGCATTCGTGTATATATGTATGACAATAAATGTTGTTTTTACTATCAATTTGCAGAGGCTTCTTCTTTTTCGGTCAATTCTTCAGAATGTCCTAGTGTATTTTTTTCCAAATGTATTACTTTCGAAATAAATAATTCAATAATTATATAATTATATAATTTAATAATTATTAAAAAAAAGAGAAGAAAGTATATATATTGTACATATATAATATATTTATTCGATTTTTAATAAGAACACGAGAGGTGAGGCAAATAATAACCGCACACTCTGTATATATATGAATATAATTATCAGTTTTATTTATGAATAGTGATGTGCAATAATGTATAACATTATGAGATTATATTCTAAAACTCCTCGCACGTAAATACATCTATTGTCTATTAATATTTTGATATATTAACATATATAATTAACATATATAATTATTGTATATATATTTTTTGTTCGTGAAATATTATATATGATATTCTCATATAATTAGCGACGATTGAAATAAACGCAGGGATATCCGGTTATTCAATTATACAAGCTGATTCGCTTTATCAGCAACAAAAGGAAGAAGCTATGAAGATATATGGTATCGCTCTGCACATGCATCAGTCCATTGCTCATTATGTCAAGGATGCTCAGTTATTTCAACGATTTCGTCGTGAGCGGATTTGACGACGATGAAACGTTTGCTATTAATTTGTCTTTTTTATACGCTCTTTGAAGCGGCTTTGTCGGTGAAAACGTCATCATCGTGCACGAAAATTACGTACATGCCATCGAATAATGCCGGCTTTCGATGCACTCAATTAACGACGTTGCAGGACTTGGACGAAGCGAGGGCCAACACGACGGTCATCGCCATATTCGATTCTAATATAGCCAATATTCCTGGGTAAGTGAAAGAAATAAAGAAGCTGAAACGAATTTTCACAGTACATATAGTTTACAAAAATATGATAAAGTGTAATTTTATTTTACTGTATATTTTCATAAAATATTTCTAATATTTTTATATATCTCTTGATACATAACTTTTCATAAATAAAATGTTGTGACTTATTTTTTGCGCTACATACAATGCAACATTTCCATTTTTAATGTCTGTGTAATCATACTTCTGAATATTTGTTTCTAAATATTATTTTTTTTATTGAAATATACATATTTACTTGTGTTTTTGATACTAATTAATTGCATGTTTCTGTAAATTTGCAAATTTATTGTTTCTTACCAAAGGCATAGTTTTGTGAGATTCGGAGCAACCCTTGTGACTTTAGATCTGCACGAATCGGGCATACAAACATGCGACCCTCAAGCATTTGTTGGCCTCACGAAGTTGAAAAAATTAATACTTTGGGGTAATAAACTGACGGACGTGCTGGCAGATTGGTTCGTGAATATGAACTCCCTGCAGACCCTGGACTTGTCGTTCAACTTTATCCAGAGAATCGATTACATGATCTTTCCAATGCTTCCCAATTTAATAAATTTCTATTTCGACTACAACCAACTTCGATATATCGACTACAGTATGTTCGGTTATCTGGGTAATCTGAAGAGAGTGAAATTCAGCAAGAATCCATGGGGCTGGGCGTAAGTTATTATTATATATTATTGAAGTGAAATATTGATATAAGGGAATACAATTTAATATTATTCTATACCATTGATTTTAAGTTAACTATAAATTGTAAAATTTTTACTTGCGACGTTCATTATTTCGCCAAATTTAATTATTCAATAAAAAATATTTTTTAAACCATATCAAATAAATAATATAAAGATGTTAAGATGTGAAATAATAAAGAATTTCTGTTTGTGTAATTGTAATACATAATACATATATTATTCTGTTAGATATCGTGCTCGCTTGACATGGCAATTTGAGAATCAGAAGGTCGACGCACTGGACGTATGGGAAGATTGGAACTGGATGAACGTCGTCATCAAGGACTGTGTCGAGAGTGGCCGCGGCGAGTTGCCTAGCGACAAGGTGCTCGATTGCGCCGTGGAGAAGCTGCTTACATTCACGTACGATACTTTCAGCGAGCAGGAGAGGATGAGCAGCACGGCAGGCTGTAACGAGCAAGCAAGGAGATTAGTGCGCTGCATGAGACCAACGTCGACCAATGTCACCAGCGATACCGATTATGAAACAATACGGAGGATTCTCGAGGATTACTCCACGATTTTGCCGCCGATGGAAAGAGCGCTGAGCCCCTTTCCGTTGAAACAGTAAACGCATCTTGTCTCTATTGCCTCAGGTATTTCTCTTTTTCTCTTTTGGATAAAATCTTGAAATAGAAATTTTTATATTACTCTGGCAATTTTTTTATTGTTATCTTAACTGTAATTGTGACGAAACTTTTGTTTAATTGCGTAATTTATATTTCTGATTTTCGATATATCTCTATTGTATAGAAGTTAAAATAGAGGAATTAAAAAAAAGAATTATTTTAACGTTATAACGTTAATCTATATTTTATGCTTATAATGTAAAATCTAAACGAGAAGTACTTCTTCGATTGTCTTTAAAGTTCTAGTGAGGTATAAGCAAAGTAAAAAAAATCAACTTTAACATATCTTACAAAAAGAACTATAATATCTTACAAAATTAATATTTTTATTATATATTAACTATTTATTCAATATAAATTATACATGAAGATATTTTAAAACAAACATATTCGCTTATATAATCACAGATTCAATAATGTAACACATTATATGTGTACATTCTAACTAAAAGAATTATTTCAAACAATTAGTATTTTACTTAAGTTTAACACATTAAAATTAGTACCTCTTAGAATATTTAGACAATTCTATATAATTTAATATTATTAAATAATATGATTAGATTATTAGACAATTTAATAAATTTATTAGAAACTTTAAAATTAAATAAGATAATAACATTCTTAAAAAAACTTTCAATTTCATAAGAATAACGAGAAAGTTACAGATTTTCTTGCACTGTACGAAATTTACAAATGCTGAAACTCTTTGTGAATTCCTTCTAAATCAATCAATCTGAATCATGAATAAATATATTTCGGAAATGTGTATCCATGTACGCATCGATATAAACAATTTTTTAAAATAATAATCAATATAAATTGTCATATCACGAATGTATTTATTATAATTGTATAATAATTAAAAATTAATAATAGATTATATAACTATAAATTATAGTTAAATTATTTTATCTTTTTAAATTTTTATTACAATTAATATAAACTTTAATCATCTAGATTTAAATATTTGGCACTTTTTTTGAAATCGTTATTTGTCAGAATTGAAAATGATTTGTAATAAATTTTTGGATTGAAAAATTCTATTAATTCATATAATTCTCGAAATATACATATATCATGAATTAAATATTTGTTGTATAAATATTGAAATCTGAGTTAAACAATTTCATTGATTTCAATAAATCAGAACTAAATTCTTACATTTTTTCGAAACTTTTTTCGAAAGCGCGCTATCTCAAAATTTTATTTAATCTTTTTAAACTAAAAAATATTTCATTAATTAATGTCATTAGTAAAATAATAAAATCAAAATAAGATCATAGTTATAGAATACAATTGTGCAGTTCTATTGATGCTGTTGCATTTGTAAATTTTGTATCCATAAACAATCGATGACTAATTAAAAAGAAAAAACAAAACAAAATGGACAATAATGTAGTAGCAACGGATCATAAATCTAATTTTGAGCTATCCTTGAATGCCATCCAATTGGCATACCAACCACAGGATTAATGCCTATTTCTGATTGAATGCAATGCTGTTCAACTATGGTTGTAGCGCTGTAGAAATACGTGAAATAGTATTAAAATGCAATATATTGCGTATTGCAAAAACATTTTTCGAGGCGGAAACAAAACGCAAACGAGATTTTACGATAAACGCCACTTGTGTCTCGATTATTATTACTAAAAGCTCAAATTTTATGAATGTTACACGTGTTTTTCGTTGTTGGATCACGTTGTTAAATTAATTCGCGCGGAAACATTTTGTCAAAATCCTTTGATTCAACGGACAAATAGAGCACGAAGTAATCAAAAGCTTTTAATATAACGCAAGCCAAAATATTGTACGTACCAGAATTTAGGAACGTGCTTGTCAAATACTGATATATTTTAACGCATAACACGCTCAGGGCTTTATGCTTCGACGCCATCGGATTTCCTTGAAAATTGAATAAAGTCATCTGATCTTTATGAATAATTATCTAAAACAGTGCGATGAAAAAAAAATAAATCATCGGACACAAATAAATAGAGATAAAGGTGCAAAATTTTAAATTAAAAAAATTAAATTTACTGTGCCAACATATCCGGATGAATCTGGCAATGATATGCAATCGAAGGTGCACGTCGCATTGAATCTCTCCTTGACGAAATTTTGCAGAATCTTCATCTGCGCCAAGTAAATGCTGTCTTCGAATGGTATTTCCGTTTTGATATAGTCCTTCTTATTCTTGGCTTGTTTTGAGCGCGATGTTTCAGTCTTTTGATATGGAATTTGTTCAGGTATGGAATTTGAATTAGTTGCCGCTTCGTGAATATGTTGTTGTCTATTCAAATTCTTCGTTCCGATCGGTTTCGCCCAACAAATCTCCCAACCCTGCTGCTCGACGATGCTACCCGGTTCTATAAAAAGTGGAGACATATAAATTGTTAAGGCAAATTTGTTAAGACTAAAATAAAATAAAATTTTTGGGGCGATAAAATCCATAAAACAGTAAAAAATAATATTGAAATAACATTAATTTGATGATAAGTATTTGAATTTCTAGACACATACTGACATACGCATATTCCACAGATTAAGTTGATACAGTTAATTAATTTCTTACTATGAAATCTTACAGTTATTTCATATGCTTCTTATTTTTATATTTGATTTTGTTTTGGCTCTTCGATTATATATATATATCATTCGCATACTCACTCTGCATTATGTCCATTACAATCTGCGCAGTTTGACGATTTTCATAATGAATGAAAGCGAAGTGATTGATCTTCTTCAATTTCAATATTGGCACATTCGTATGCCTGTGGAAAATTCCCCTCACATTTTGCTGCGATATGTCGAGCGGAAGATTTCTTACGAACAGAGTCGTTACCTATTTGTCATCGCATATATAATATTAAATTAGTGCGACATATTATTATACACAGTGATATGATGTAATTTTACATGAATGTACTCTTTATAGGATCCTTTTATTTTGTTATAACATTTTTTACAGTATGTGTATTTCTTCAAATGAAAGAGAAAGAGAGAATTTTTTATAATTAAAAGATCAGATATATTTTAAACTTTGTTAGTTTAATCAATGTAAAAAAAGAATATATTTAATAAGTATATAATATTGTTATTAAAAAGATAAAAAGAAATATTCTATATTAGGCAAATGTGTTGAATTTGAAATTATTGAAGCACTTCAATAAAAATGTTATTATCAAACCATCAAATGTAAAAAGTGCGGAAGCCGTTTTATTTATTTTTTTTTTTATTCTTTCTGATTCGATGTATATTTTTAAATTACAAAATTTGTTTCAATTTTTGTTCAATCTCCATTTCGGAGTAGATCGGTATATACATATCCGATAAAACATAGTATTATGTATCTTTTTATTTCCCTTCATTTATTGATCATTACTCAAATATCACTCGTTTACTCGTTCATCGATAAATGTTAAATTAATAAAATACAAATCGCAAATAATCAGAGAAAAGCTTGCAGAATCAATTATAAAAAAAAATATAAAAAAGAAGTATGGGAGCAAAGAAATAAAATACCCAGGCATGACGTCATATTTTGACGCCTAATGACGTCATTAGACGCCAAAAATGACGTATGCTTGCTACCTGGGCAGCTATTACAAATATTAATCATTGATTTAAGGGGAAACTTCAAATTCACCCTTTCCATGATGTCCTCGTCCATCGGTTCTCCAGGCTCCGGATCCGCCCAGTCCACAGCGATCTCGTGGTCCCACAGCATCACTTTCCCGGGTATCAGCTTACGCCGTGCCATCGCTGCCGCCCGATGATCCTTGAACTCGACGAAGATGAAACCGCGGTTGAGGCTGCGATCGTGCGCGCTCGGATACAGGTAGATATCCGTGATGTCGTCCAGCATCTTGGTCAGCTCCTCCATGAACTCCGGCTTGGTCTTGTTCTTGGGGACGCCGCCGAAGAAGAGGCGGCAGTTGTCCATGGACTTGACCACGCCGATGCGGTGGCCAGGACGGATCTCGTAGCCGTTGAAACGCGCGCAGGCCTCGCGGGCGATCCGCGAGGACTCGTAGGACGCGAAAGCGTAGCCGCGCGTCGACCCGGAGAAGTCCAGCATCAGACGCAGCTCCAAGAGCCGGCCCACCTGTTCCAGCAGCGGCATCAGCTCGTCCTCGTAGCAGTCGCGCGGCAATCGGCCCAGGAACACCTCGGTGCCCTTGTTGCGCTTCTGCTGACCCGCAGTCACTTCCGGAGCCGTCAGCCGTCGTTGTCCGTTCACCTATATTCATACGCAAAATTATTAATTTTCTTCCTCCTTTATTTCATGCACAACTGCAGAAAAAGAAAAGGAGATTGAAATGTTCAAAAATTTTTAGAAAGAGATATATAATTATTATCATTCATTCGAATTGCGATATTTATACATAAATATATATGTTCCTTGATTCGTTTTTAATTGGCTCTCTATTGGAGAGATACAGATAAAATTAATTATATTTTATATATAAATTATTAACGCACAAGCAAATATTATTTCGCATTCTGATGTAAAATTGAATTATAGATGAAGAGATATATACATATATGCTATTATATATATTTTTAACAAATCTTTTTTGTTCATTTGCGTACTTTTACGGAATCATTGATATTTGTAATTATTATTAACAAATTATAACTATAATTATTTTTTAACGTTTTAGCGAATAAGTATAATTACAATTATAATTATAAAACATAAAAGTATAATTCGTACTGGAAAGAATCTCGCGACTGTATTGCGATAAAAAGACGCGAATATATATAAGATAAACGAAGAAAAATCATTGTCGAAGACAATAATGTCACGACTACAAAGACGTGTATTTGAAAATTTATTATAATCACTGTACCTGCACGAGCTCGTAATTCGTGCGCTTCAACAACTCCAGGAGTCGCACGGTGCGTTTGCATTCGTTGGAGACATCCTTGATTTCGCTGTCCATCATCATCGATACACGTTCGTACGAAGGATACGAGCGGTGGTGAACTGGCCTCCGTATAGTCACGACGACGAAGAAGGAGCACGACTTAAGACGTAGTGGGGATGGAAGTGAGGCGAAGGATTGGACACGCAATTTTCGAGGATCGGATCTTTTCCAGGAAACAGTGCGATACGCACACAGACGAGCTTCCGCGCGTAGCTGCGACGCGTTTCTGAGAATCGAACTCTGTACTTTTTTCGAGTCTTGTCTTTTCGAAACTTACAACTACACGAGAGATTATTGCGATTTCTCTCTCCATCAAAATCTTCCTCTGCATTTTATGTGTCATATTTTGTGCGACGAAACATATTGATAATTAATAATATAATATTGATATAAATATATATAATAATTAAGAGAGCGGATGCAATTATTGAAAAAACATTTATTGCTTTATAATTTTTCTCAGCATTTTGGGATAACATATCCGAATATAATATATATAATATTTATAATATATGTATATATATTTGGCTATGTTTTGATGATTAATGTTAAGCTTTTCCTGAATTTAATTACGGCTTAATAAAATCAACGTTTTTGATAATTAACTTTATTTGTTTGTATAATTTTTGATAATTACAGTTTTATTAAAATGGTATCATTCAAGTGATTAAATTTATTTATTTATTTCTGAATCAATTTAAAAAATTATATTTAGGGACCTAAAAAGATATAAATAAAGATAAAATATAGGATTTTACAAAAGTTTCAATGCTGTTTTCTTCAATATATCCCAAATGGAAATTTATCACTAGTAAAAGTCCAAATAATCACTTATTTCGAGTACTTAAATTACTGATATTTATTAAGTACTTGAAATAAAAGTGATTATTTGAACTTATTAGTAATAAATTTCCATAAGGGGTGTATTATATATATATATATATATTTTTTTTTTTTTTTTTTTTTTTTTTTTTTAAATACTTTAATATATAAAAATTATTTTATATATATAGTTTATAGTTAAAATGTTTAAAAATATTGTTTTTATTAAGTAAAAAATTTTAATATTTAATCATTTTCAAGTGCACCGACTCCTTATAATAATTAATGTGATAAAAAAATTAATATGTTTAAAAAATAGATACAGACATGTTAAATTATTTTGTATACTATTAATATTTTTAGTATTTTCATTTTTACGTTTAATTACATTATATAAGCACTGCGTAAGAGTATTAATATATTAAATTTAAACTACTGTTAGAGAGACTCACACTCTTAACGCTTTGAATGTATTGTCTTTGTTTATCTTTTCGTAAATAAATAAAATAAAGATTGAATGACATTCTAGTGCATAGTTCTCAAACGCAGCTTTAATATACATTAATATAAAATATATAAAAATTGCATATAATAATTTATATCTTTGTAATATTATATCGCATTTATACAAAAGATTATTGTAATTATAAATATTCACAAGTATTCACAATTAGATCGCGGAAAGCCTGCATTTATTAATAAAATTAGAACCAAGGATAGTTAATATTAATGCCAACTTTTTTATGAAAAATATATTAACAAAAATCAATAAAAAAAATTAATATGCAAAACATTTTTATAATCTTAAATGTTTAAGTAAAAATATGTGGGAAAAGAAAAAAATTATAGAACATAGTATGTTTTTGAGCGAAATAAAGTATCATATTCTGAAAGTAATGTTTTTATAATTAAATACTGTAATACATTAGCATTATAAGTCGATCACATTTCAAAACTGCATTTTATCAAATGCATTTAAAAAATAAATCTTTTTGAATATTATTGTAATATGTGGTCACAATTTACATTAAGATAGATTATCACATATTGATAAAGAGAGAATTATCGGAATTATTGTATATTGTATTTAAAAGTATATATCAGGGAAATTAAATCATTAACATTTAAGAGATATATTAAAGATATACAAATATATATATATATTTATAATTTAAAAAATTGTAAACTATATATACAATATATAATAGCATTCACAGAATGCATTTATTTACATATTTATATAATTATAGAAAGACAACAATCTCAGCAATAAAGTATCCAAAGGGACACAAAAATTTCTTCTCTATAATCATAAGGTATTCATATCATAATCTATACATTTGAGATCATCAACCATATTGTAAAGCGATTTTTGCGTTACAGGCAATTCGTCATTGAAATACGAGGTTTTGAATTGTCTATAATTCTTAATCAATTGATGAATTTTGTTCTTGGCATTCGGATGCGCCGTTTTAATTTCGGTAATACCATTTTCAATGATTCGACTCAGCTTGTCATTATTGTCTGCATGGATCAAATATTGCTCTGTGAGCTGTAATTCCTCTTTCAATGCTGCATTCAATACAGTTGCCTGGAGAAAAAAATCCAAGTTATATAATATAAAAATATTCCAATATCTACATATATACTTGCTGCATAAATAACAGCATATCATTTCCTGATAAACAGAATCATAATATACATACCCGCTTTGCTCTTTGTTGAAATTCCTCCAATTTGTTGCGCATATTTACAAACTCTATGTTGTATATTTTGTTCTTTGAAGTTTATCTTCATCTGCCAAAACATGGTTAGGCACAATAATGAATTTGTTTACAATATCCTGTGCAGAGCGAATCAAGGATTATATTTATGTATAATTTTGTACCTAATTTTTTAACAAATATAATAATATAGACATGTAAAATATAATATGCATAGATAATAATTAGATATATAAATTTTTTATTTTAAAAATAAATACCTTTATGTTCTGCAAATGAGGTAAGGAAGCTGCATAATATGCTTTTACAAGTTGCTCTTCGTTCATATTTAGGGTGTCAAGATTTTCAGAATATAACTCATGTTTTTTCAGAGTTTGAAATAATTTTCTGCTTTTAGACTCTATATTTTCCATTACTATATTCTTGACTACAACAAACCAAGAAAAAGTAACAAGATTATTACAGGCATCCAAGCATGATATACACAAATAAAGATAATCTAGCTATGAAAACAATGGAAATGTGTGTATATGTAAAAAATATATGCATTCAGTATAATATAATCAAACTAAAAAAGAAAATAAAAAAATATTGAGACATATTTTGAAGACCAAATTAACAAATTACAATTTCAATCAAAATTAAGTATCTTTCTGTAGATCTTGTAGAAGTCTTAAACAATAGTTACATTTCTTTCAGTTAAAAACATTAATTACAATTGACAATTACATTTTATAATTAATTAAATCAATTTATATAATTTCCATAATTATTAAAGATCAAAGAGGCAAAAAAAATTGTACAAGCGTGCAAATTAAATTGAAAACAAAGGATCAACAAGAAGAAAAGGACGCTTCAGCATCGAAGGGGACGATGCGGTATCCTTGGCGTCTCCCGCATTTTCCTCTTGGTCATAATTCGGCGGAAGTGTCCCGGTCGCTGGACGAGTGTGACTCTAGTCATGATCGAATGCCACATGAAACTAGAGCACACCCGTCCAGCGGCAGCGAGAGATCGACCGGCAGGAGATTAAGACTCCGGGAACTCTTTGTCTCCCTCCCTCCTTTGTTCGATGGACGCGCTCTGAAAACAACAGCATCCAAGTGTCCCAAGTTAGAAAGGAATACACGACTTACGAGTCGCGTAAACGGCTCGGGAATGAAAGCCGAACAGCTGCATCTCGTATTCCTCGCGTTTGCGTTTCCGCGACTCGACGACGGGGTCGTTCCTCATGGCGGGAGATCCTTCCTCTTCTTCGCAGATCGCGATTTTCCGATTCTCTCGTTTCCCGGGGCTCGGCTTTTATTCAGCGCGGAAACACCTTGACGTCCGTTGACAAATGAACATGGCGTCTCCTGATGCTGCTTGCGTACGAAAGCGTCCTTTGTCCCGCTCGCGTTAGGCGGTGAACGTGAACCACAATATAAAATGCCGCGGTGGGGCACGCGGGCTAATTACGAGCGCGACCAATCGTGGGGCCCCGCGAATCTGACAGTAGCGCCGCCTGGCGGTCGTTTTCCGAAAACTTAAATCACGGCTTTGAAGATAAGTAGAACGATGACGTTACCGATCATTTTGATTACGAATGACATTCAATTTAAACCGAGAGAGGATGCCTTTTTTTACGGTGTGGCTAATATTTCTTCGAAAAGTGGTGTGACTAAAACAGCTGATCGTTTTATTTGAGCGATTTGATTGATTTTTACGAATAGAAAGTTCTAAATGTTTCTTTAATGATGACTGTTGACAGTGCAATTAGCAATGAACAGGTGATTTTTGTCACGGGAGGTTATGATCACACTATCAAAATATGGCAACCGCATACAGGCGTCTGTCAACGAACATGTCAACACACGGATTCTGTATCCTTTGTAATTTTGAAGCGAATGATATTTTGCATATTTTTTTCTGTTTTATATTTAAAAGGAAATGTATTATTACAACTCGATACACATATATTATATGACATTAAATTATGTGCACATGTGTATGCTTTATTACTATGTAAACAAAATAGGAATAACGATATTGTCATAATAATGGAAACATTATTATAACATAGATGGTACTCGTTATATAAAATTCTATATATTTTAATTATTTGTTAGAATTTTTTATTTTCTTTAGGCTTCCTTAACAAATTTCAGCAAGTAAATGCCTTGGATATCACACCGGACAAATATGTTGTGGCTGCTGCTGGATATCAACATATACGAATGTATGATCTAGCTTCAAACAATCCGAATCCAGTTGTTAATTATGAAGGAGTATCGAAAAACATTACCAGCTTAGGTTTTCAGGTTTGATATTATGTGTTTATGATTATGATATTATTGATATTATGTATTATTAGATGTACTATCTCTTTTTCAAATTATGCATGCATGTTATTAATGTTGATGGTTGAACCAAGTTAAAGATGTTTTAAATTATATAATATTGTTTATGTATGTATAAATACATTTTGCAAACAGGAAGAAGGAAAATGGATGTATACAGGAGGAGAAGACTGTTCTGCAAGAGTATGGGATTTAAGGTAAATTACTTATATTACAAGGATGAGATTTATATTTTCAACTTCTAGTAACCATTAAAATTGTTGACAGATCTAGTAGCTTTCAATGCCAAAGAATATTTCAAGTATCTGCACCTGTTAATTGTGTGTGTTTACATCCTAATCAAGCAGAACTGATGGTTGGCGATCAAAGTGGAGTTATACACTTGTGGGATCTTCGTTCAGATCACAATGAACAGCTGGTATTCATGTTTTTTTTTATATTTAAAAATTAATATTTATATTCTTATCATAAAAGTAGAAAAAGAATTTTTACAATTTTGTTTTGTAAGTTGCTTATTTTATGTATACAATTTGTTAATTCTACATGAGAATATTTAGTGTGTAAAAAATCTGTTAAAAAACATATAAAAAGAAATGTCTTACAATTTTGAACATCAGGTTAATCTGAGTAATTTTTCTACTTGTATCTGTACATATATCTTTATTATTTCAGATTCCTGAGGCTGAATCCTCGATTCAAGATATCGCGGTGGATCAAGATGGTTCTTACATGGCAGCTGTAAATAACAAAGGACATTGTTACATTTGGACACTAACAGGAGGCATTGGAGAGGAGCCCACAAGACTTAATCCTCGTCATAAACTTCTAGCTCATAAACGTTACGCTCTTCGTTGCAAATTTAGTCCCGATTCAACGTGAGTATCTTCTCATTTTATTTTAAATGGGCATTTGAAATATTACGGAAATAGAAAGAAATTCAAAATTTTCACCTTTAAAATCCGCACTATAGCAACAATGAGAAGTCAAACTTTAATATTTAATTATTTCAGATTTTAATAGCCACAAATAAAAAATTGCAATAAGAGTATAGCTAAATTTATAAGATATTTTAAAAATACTAATAAATGATACGATGCTTAATTAATAAATATTTTTTCTTACACTTTTTTGCCAAAAAAGATATGTATTTAAATTAACCTGTTAAGCTTGTTGGTGACGACGTCGGCCGATCAAACCGCTCGAGTATGGAGAACAACGGATTTTCTGAAGTACAAGTACTTCAGCATGAAGCCAAGCGTTGGGTTTGGGATGCAGCATTTAGTGCAGATTCTCAATATATATTTACTGGTATAATCTTTACTGTATTTACTGTATATCTTTATCCTCTCTTGCTTTATTTTCTTTTCGTAGTAAATTTTTAACAATACACGTAATGTAGCTTATATCTTCTAATAAATTTTCATCGTTTATAATTTGTTTAAAAATCTATAATCAAAATTTTATTTTGTGTACTCTATATGTGTATTCAATTTGTTTGATATTTTATGCAGCCTCTTCAGACGGAGTCGCAAGACTATGGAACGCATCTACAGGAACAATAGAACGAGAATATCAAGGACATCAAAAGGCTGTTATAGCTCTTGCTTTCCGTGACGAAATTGTTTCCGCGAGCTAAGAATAAAAAGAGAATATTTAAATATGTCTTGCTATATATAAAAAAATTATTTGTTATTTTAGATGTATTGCGTGTCATCGTTATACATGCAAAAGAACTCTTAAATATTTGTTTTTTAATATAGACTATATTTTATTTGTATATCATAGCTATATAATTTATAAATCTTTGTTTCCCTTTTCTTTTTCAAAGAAAATAATTGTAAAAATTTAGTGATAAACTTATTAAGTATATATAAAGCATAATAATTGAATGGTTCAGTTATTAATTAAAATATCATTAAAATATGCTTAATTTTTTTGTACAGATAATTTCATATTTATTATTTTTGCCTCTTATTTGGTTTATTAAATTCGCAGTCTTAATATAAGTTTACACTTATTAAAGCATATATCACAAAGCAGCATACAACTACGTATGTATGATAGACTCTTAAATATATGAATGAACAAATACCAGAATATTGACACAAAACGAATATGTCCATAACAATTCATTAAATTATTTTTTCTTACATAAATTTAAGAATAGATCTTTATAGCTCTGCTTTCTCTCCTCACACACACACACACACACACATTCTCTCTTTCTCTATCACTAGCTTTCATAATAATTCTTGCCAATTATCTCTTACTAAGCTAATAAAACATTTAATTCTTTTCGTTTCATATTTACTTCATTAATTTAATCTTAGAATGCATGAATAATGTTCGATGTTTTACTTTATAATACTTATATATTCTATTATACATGAATACAATATGTAAAATGATCTTGTGCATATATATGTATGTGTGAGAGAAAGAAAGCATTTTATATATTATTATTTTGCAACAGAATGAATATCACGAAATGTTACCCCCATTCTCTCCTGATTGCATTTTATTAATCAATTTTCAACATTCATGTAATAAGATAATCTTTCTTAGATCTGATTCGTCAAGAAATGATCATTATTATATAATCGATTTCCTCTGTTCTAAGTTTTTCTTCATTCTAAGATAGCTCTCTTTCTTTCTTTAAATTGGGGTTCTTTTCTTATGCTACTATTCATATTTGTAAAGTATTCACATGGCAAAGTAATTAAAAAATAAAACACTATAGCATTTTCATTCTGCATCATTATAATAACAATAAAAATTATAAAAATTTTAAAATAGAAGAAATGACCTTAGAATAAAAGAAATCGATTAAATCATTATTATTGTGCCTTTAAATAATAAATAATAAATTTAAGTAATAAATTGTCCAACTAAAAAATACCATTAAAACATGTGATCCCATTCACATAACACTTACCACACATCTGATCTTAATTGCATTGTTTTCATCTACAATAGTTTTGACATATCATGAGAAACTATTCCCTATAGCGCTTTTCGTGTGAGATTTACTATATTTTTGCCTTTTATTTTTTTCTTTATTCCTATTAGAAATAATCAATGTAGAATCATAAGATCATCTTTAAACTAATCTATTCGGATTGTTATAATCGAACTTCTGTATTTGTAATATTTCCAATTCTCGATCAGTTCAGTATTAACTTCTGCGCTATTTCATATTTGCCATTTATCATAAAATTGAGAAAAAAGTTAAAAACAAGGTTGTTGTTTGTCTCCAATGAGTTAATAATATGGTGATTTAACTTTCGCATTCTAAGATTAAGGTGTAAAGAATGTCTAATAATTTTATGACTGCACATATTCTTGAATAATTGGGTCGCGGTAATTGGAATATTTCTTATATTATTCTTGACTTACTGAGAGCACGACGAATACGAGTGCAATAATGCATCAAAATCGTAATAGAGATGCACTGGATCATAGATGAGGTAATTTGTCCACTTCACCCATTTCTGTAAATGTTTCATCATCCATTGTGTAGCTTAGCATAAACTTTAGATATACAGGCTCCTGAAATCAATTTTCCATGTAAACATGAATTCTATCGATCAATTTAAATTATCTACTTCATAGAGACAGAAGATTTAAAAAATATATATAATTATATACCTTATAAGGATTTGCAATCAACATAATTTGTGTGATTGCAGATGGTGGAAGGAATGGATTATGTGCTGGCAATTTTGTTCCGGAAGGTGCTTGCAGCCTGCATTTGCATTTCTATATATACATTTCAAAAAGTTATGAAAATGTTTATTTAATTTCATAAAAAAATACTGTGATATTGTTAAACTTATGTTAAATATAAATAATATATAAATGTTTGAAATTTGATGTTTTTAATAAGATTGTTTTTAGATATGTTTATATCTTTAATCTTCAAAATTTTATATTTTTTCTCTAAATTTGTGTTTAGAGATTTAAAATTAATTTTTATTTATTGGATGCCACAATAGGTTGGATATTTACCTTGGGCACAACTGCTTGAAATAAATAATCATTAAGTGATTTTGCGTTTTTGCTCATTGTAGTAATTACTACTACAGATACATCTGGTCTAGGATTGTCCTGAGTAAAGTGAAGCACCACACTTATACCATTTCTTTCCTCAATCACTGTTAAAGGTGGATTTACACCTGTAAAGGATGATTGGTACATGTGAGACATATAAGAACTACAGAATGAAGAAAATTAAAAGTTGTAAAGTAAAATATATTATATAAAGTTAATATAATAAAGTAATATAATACTTGGCTTAATATCTTCGAGATTGACAATAATATCAGTCAGTGGTTTGATTCCAGGCTCAGCATCTGCTATCGTTGACGCACCGTTAAGCAACTGCGTCACGTCTTGCTGCTGTATTCCCGTTTCCACAATTTCTGAATTAATACTTTTGTTACACGACAGATCAACAGTCGCGTTAATTTTCGATGAATTTGAAGATGTCGAAATGTCAAAATTACTATTTGACTCGCATTTTTTATATCTGGTTGTTCTGTCGCGATGTGTTGTGACATATTATTGCTAGATTCATAGGACCAATTTTGTTTCCGAGCAGAGTCATTGGTACTTTGAGTTTTTACAATATTACTACTGACTTTGCTGTAAATATTAAGTTTTTCTTAAATTAATCTGAATAATTTTTATAAATATGTGCTGCGTATTTATATTTATATAATATGATATCTAGAAGATCAAAAGTATCTAAATCAAGGATCGATTTTTAGATAATTAATAAACTTTAAGTTAATAAATTTTCCTATTCTTAACATTTCTATATATTCCTTAGTATTTCTGTATCATTTTCTTTTGCACTCTTCATTTAGAAGGTCTATATGAAGGTTTGATTGTTATTATTTCAGTCGTTGAATTCAAGAGAAACTTTTTAGAAAGATTAAAAATTCATAGATATGTTTACCTTTGTGACGAACGAGCAATCGTACCCGATAAGCTTTGTTTAAGTAAAGTTTCTCCTAATTCATTCAACTCTTCCAATGCTTTCGCTTTACTGTCTATCTTTTCTTCGGTATTAGTAACTTCGTCTATAATCAAATATTTTCATTTGAAGAAATAATACAATTAATATACATATAACAAATAGTAGAAAATTAAACAAACAAATAACACTTAAATAATTTAAAAGGCAATAATTTTTTAACTAAATCTTCTTCTAATCATGCTTACTTTTCTTGTTCATAGGCGAAATACTGATTGGTTGCATGATGGCATTCGGCATCAAGAAATTCGCATCTGATTTGACTGGTTTCTCCAACACACTGAAGATATCGCCTAACATGTCCATGTCCGAACGATGGTTTGTCGACGTTGCACTTTGTGCCGTGCTCTCGCAGGGAACACTTTCACTGGGAGATGATAGATCCAGGAGAGATGATCCATTATTATAGCTTGGTTTAGAAGATTCTATCGCGGAAGATTTGGGAGATTGCCCAAGAACAATAACAGATGTATATTTCTCGAAGACTTGATTCAACTCATCGCTCGCAGTTAGTACATCACCTAAGGTAAAATACATGAAAAAATAATTAAGCTTCCTTGATTATAGATTAGTATAGTAAAGAAAAAATCTAAGCAGAGTAACAAATGTTGGTGCAAAATACAGTTTTACTATGTATTGTACATTATTTTGCAAAATGATTCGAAATTTAAATCAAAATATCTGATTTATTTTCTTTTACTTTTGTTTCAATTCATTAACAAAATCTATAGACTTAAAAAGTGCAATTTTTAGTTTTTTGTAATTAATTATAAGATTCTCTGATGTTTTTTTAGTAAATTATTATAGCTTTACATATGAGAAATTGATAATAATTGATTTATAATTAGATGTGATAAAGTCCATACCAAGCATTTCAACATCACCCTGAGTCTCGCTAGCGAGTCGCAATAAAATAGGTTTCAGTCGCTCGCATGCTTGATGTAACTCCTTCATCAATTCGAGATCCTCCGTGCTGGTTTCATTTCGATTATACGAATCTAGCATTTCTGACAAGAGTTTCACATTGTTATGCACTGATTCTAATTCCATATTCCTTCGCGAGTTTAACTGCAGTCTTTCCTCATCCTACAAACATAGATAATTTCTAAGTAATCACAGTGTAAAAGAAAATTTAAATTTACAAAAATAAAACAGGATTTTTAAAAATGTCAGGAGAAAAAATTATTCGATATTCGAAGGGGGGGGGGAGTCTGAGTCTAAGAATTTTATTTTAAATATTCTTTCAAAATTTAAGTAAACCTACCTCTTTTACCATGACCTTGATTAATCGATTTGCAGTTTGCAAATCATAAGGATCTTTACTATGAAGTAACTTGCGCAGATGCCTTGACATTTCTTCATTTTCAAATATATTATTCTTTATCTTAGATGCTTTTTGACTTTCCTCGCTATTAGCCATTATAAATGCTGCATCTTCCTGTAATTCATTTTTATTGCATGTTGTAAGTATTTTGATATCTTATAATTACACAAATATTCCAATTCAATTAAGATAATGTGATTTAAGCAGAAAATTGAAATAACATTTAATAATATTAAATAAAATTGAAATTTGAAAATTAAGTAAATTACAATTAAAATCTAAATAAAACAATAATTAAAAAAGATAGGTCTAAGAATTAACTGCATAGAATATAATAGAAAAATAATAAAATAACTGTGTATTTTGTTTTCAATTGTAAGATTAAAAGGTAAACTTAATTATTAGACTATTTATAAATAGTAAATAATAAATATAACCTCGATGACTCCTTGTTTCTTAAGCATCTCATAGGCCTCCTTAATTTTCGACTCGCGGGGATATTCTCTGATCCATGTATAAAGAAGTTGCAATACTTTTTGTCGTACACTTGCTGTAGTGCGTGTGCCTAAATATTTCGGTGAGACGAGTTTTATCATCTCATTAAGAAAACGAAATTTACCAATTTCAGCATGAAATAATGGCCCACATCTCTTCATACAAGTATCTAGTAACTGAAGAAATATATCAATTAGAAGGAATATAATAAAATATAAATAATTTATTAAAATTCTATAAAACTAATATTGCAAATCTTCCTAAGATTAAAATATCCTATTATTATCTCATTAAAATGTATATTCCTTTAAGATTTGATTTATACTAGTTTTAAAATATATAGCTTATTGTTATCTTTCTTATAAGTTAGCTTAGATATTGACATACATAATTAAATATCTATATATATAATAGTTTATATAAACAGTGTTTAAACAATTAATTGATCATTGAATGTTTCTTTAATTTTAAAAATATAATATATACAAGCATTAAAATTTGTAAAACATTCAAAAACAACGTACTGAAAGTGCTTGCAGTGCTTCTGACTCGTTAACTGATTGGATATGCGTTGCCAATAACTTTGTGCCTATCTGTATACCTTCCGATTCTTTGGTAAGCATCACGCAAAATGCTTCAGTAGCAGCTATGTCTGGCTTCTGATTTTGTGGATTTGTAACCCTCTCTATAGTAATATATATAAAATATATATATATAATATTATATAAATAGATCAAAGTAATGTTACTAAAAACTCCCACAAATAAAAACAGTGTTGTAGGTTAATTGTGCAGTTTATACTCACGTATGAGAGCTTCTAAGCTAGTAGTCACCACATCCATGTTTATAATAATAATCACTTATCGTTGCATATAATTTTTGTCGACACTTCTACAGTGACTAAAACGAAGTCTGTAACATTTTATGTAAAAACTCCAATTTCTGCAAAATCACGTAAAATCGTTAATAAAATACAATATATGAATCGCAAATTGTTCTCATAATTATATATTTAAATTAATATGTAAAGTGATTATTTTATGAATTGTTTATCTACTAATGGTCTTATATGAAGTAACAGTCCAGGTGATAGGAAACATCGGTTTCTGCTCTTCTACGTCTAATTTATTATTTACTTGCTTTGCGAGGCTTCTCAGCATAGAACAGCTGTTGCTGTCACCAGATCTGTCACCATTCTGTTCCGTCTCGCTCCGTGTTGTCTTTCACAATTTTTTTTATCCTGCTACGCGCTATCACCTAACATCACTGATTGCGATAAGATCAGATGGATCGTATCGGAACCTAAGAGCAGCCACGCCGCCGTCTTTCAGAGTAGAACTATTTCCATTAAATCACCCACACACGACACACACTCTACAGCAACGCCATCGCATCTACATCGAGAACTGGAAATACGTATATAGTCGCAAAAACATTGACTGTCGATAAAATCGCCATTTGATATGCGTCAAGTGTATTCCATTTCGTGCACGTGGTCGTTTTCCATTTATCTGAAAAGTTTAAATTGATTATATAGGTAATATAATTATATATTATATATAGTAATTATAATAAATATTATAACAGATATCATACAGGATGTTCAGAACTGGCGGAAAAGTTTTTAATGGCAGATTCCTAGTATTATTCGGAGACGATTTTTCCTCAGCGAAAATGTCCAAACACCAATAATTTTCGAATTATAAGCAGTTGAAAATAAAGGCTTTTTTTAGAAACTAAGCCTTGTGGAAATAAAATATTAACGAAACTACATTCTTCAGTTAATTTTAGTTAGAGTTTGCTTTCATAGATTTGAATATAAGGCTTAATTATAAAGATATATAATAACAAAAATTGGGAAACATTGGGGAAGGCTTAGTTATGAAGATATATAATAGCAAAAATTGAGAAACATTGGGGAACATGCAAAAAATGATGGCCTTCTTCAACATTTTCACTAAGGAAAAATCATCTCCAAATGATACCAGGAATTTGACATTAAAAATTTTTCCAGTTCTGAAACACCTTGTATATAGGTAATATAATATAATTATATATAGATGACAATAATTAGTCAAACTTCTGAATGTGTCTTTGCATTTTACATAAAAGTAAAGAGATATTTCTTTTCAGAAATGACTGATGCTAAGATAAAGAAACGTAAAGTTTCTAAGAAAACAAAGAAATCTTGGCGCAAGCACGTCGACATTAAGGATGTTGATAAATTTTTAGAGAATAAAAGATTAGAAGAAAGATTGGGAGCTCCTTTCTCGGAGCGTGTGGATTCTCAGTTATTTGTCGTCGACAAGTCTGAACCTGTTAGAAATGTTTCTTCCAAAAAGGCTGCCAGGCTAGCCTTAAAGAGTAAGGAACCAAAATGTTTCGCTTCTCTAAAACCACATACAGAAGTTCCTGATCCGATTTGTAAAAGGAATCATGTAAAAATCAAGAAGAAAAAAGAAATTTTAAAGAATAGAATACTCACAAAAGTTGCTACAAAGAATGATAAGAATGCTAATAAGAATAATAAGAAAGAAGAGACTAAAAGTGATGTATGGACTACTACAAAATTATTGCCAGAAACAATCACTGAATGGATGTCTTCGGATGGCATTAGACATACAATCAAACATTTAGGAGTCCAAAAAAGAAAATTGCCTTCATCATTGCAGAAAAAGCCATCTATTTTACCAGCAATAGAAGCGCCACATCCAGGTACATCTTATAACCCATCATATACTGATCACCAAGATTTGCTTCATCAAATTGCTCAGGAAGAATTAAAACTTATAAAACAAGAGGAACATCTTGATCGAGTTACTACTAAAATGTTCAAAAAGGTCAGTCATTAAATTACTGAGTATAATTATTATTAATTATTATAATTAACTATCTTCCTAATTCTATAATATCCTAGTTTTAATTCTTTTTTATCTGCCTAAATTTTATTTTTTATTCATTACCACTGATGTGAATAATATTATTTTGGTAATTTTCAATATCATATTTTTTTATTGTAAAGGTTTATTTTATATGTGCAATATATAATATTGATAATGTTATTTGTGATCTATATAATTTTTAACTATTATATTATGTGTTTCTTACATATAAATTATTAATATTATATATTTGTTTAATTAGATTCCTTTAGATAAAAGAGGAATATTTAATGAAAGAAATGTTAGAGGGTTTGTCAACAAAGCAAACGACAGAAAACTCTGCTGAAGAAGACAATAATGAGGAAGATTTGTCTATTGCAATGGCAAATAATAAACCTGTAAAAAATGCCAAAAAAACGCTCGTACAGAGAAGAAAACAACGAGAACAAAAGCAAGCAGCTAATGAACGTACATTGATCAAACTGAGAAAAGGAAAATTGCTGATATCTACAAATTAAAAAATTTACAACAACAAATACAGGTTAAAGAAAAGAAGCAAGAACTTTTAAGACAAAAACGAATGAAGAAACGTGAAAGAGAATCTGTTATGCCGAAGACTTTAGTAAGATTAAATTTGAACCCTTAGAGTCTGACTTTCAGCTTGCAGAAGAGTTGACTGGCAATTTGAGAAATTGTATGCCTTCCAAAAATTTATTGAAAGACCGGTACAAATCACTTCAACAGAGAAATATTGTTGCACCAGCTGTCATAAAATTGTAAGTACAAGAAAAAATAAATATTTAAAAAGAATAAAAGTAATTAAGGAAAAAATTTTTGAAATAAAAAAAAAACAGTTCATAAAAAATTTTAATAAAAAATTTTTTTAAATTGATTAATAAATTATTAAATTATCTCTTCAAAGATTCTACTTAACATATTACTCACAATATTTTTTTTTTTTAGGACACGTGACAAAGCAAAGGTGAAGAAATTTATAAAGCCAGATCATAAAATAAACCTGGATGCTGCTAAGTTACGACTTCACAATAAGGTTTAATGCTCTTATTAATTTAATATCATACATATTTTCTATATGTAATATATATTGATATAAATTCTATAGAATTAAAATATCAAATTTTAAAAACAGCAAGAAAAAATAAAATGAGAAAGAGAAATAAATAGGTTCCCAATCTTGGATTAAACACTTTATCAAATAAAGCAGTAGTTTATCAATCTTTGTTTTTATTTCTATGAATAAGATGTATATATTCAAATTTATTTTTGTCCTCTATTAAATTTGATTATTATAATTGCTCATCTTTTCTTTAGTTTTAAGATTTCTTAGCATATATTTAACATCGTAAAGCATCTGTAAATATGCTTGCAATTGATCAGATATCAATTGCTTCTTAAATTCAGCAATAGCAAGTTTCTCTTTCTCACAATAAAGCAAAATTTCCAATTGTTTTACATGTGTTTCACACTTTCGCGCTTCAATCCTAGCTTTATCTCTGTTTACTATGTACTGATCTTCTGTGAGATGATTGGATTTGATTAATTTGGACAAATTAACATCTGTTTTGTTGCATGCTTTATGCAACATTGCAATCATGGATTTTTCTAGTTACTAACTATTATGGATCGTTTTGCATTTAAATGCGCATTGTTGATGTTGCTTTCATATTTTCTCATTTCGTTACTGTGGAATAATAAATATTACAATTAATTGAATATTAATTTACAGAGGTATAAAAAGTTTGAATTAAAAATTTAAAAAATTATAAATATACTGAAGTTAATTTAACTTACTCGTATAAAATGCAATCTTGTTTTTTAGAAGTCATGTTTTCCGTGATCATGATAATTGATTGCTTACAGCTATATTTTCTGATAATAACTTGGATATAGAATGTGGCATATGTTGGCCTATTTCAAGTTGAAACACACTAGCCAGATCCACGAGACGATTATACAAGTCTTTTTTGAGTCTATATAAGTCGTATATATTATGTAAAATTTCAATTCTTTCTTAAATGAGAAAGCACAATCATTTATTATACTTTTCTCTATCAATCCTAAATTTGCGTTCAATTTGACGCAAGCTCTCTGCCACCTGTTCTTTTTGATAAATTAAATGTTGATTTTTTATATCCAATTTCTTTTCCAGGATATGTTGCATTGACTTGTAATCTTCCAAAACGTTAGTTTTAGCGCCTTTTAACAGTGAAGAAAATTTTAAATAAATAACTAAAAAAAACTCAATGATGATTAATCAAAGAAATACATATTTCTTTCTAAATATTAGAATTTGTTCCATGAGTGAGTTTTTTTTAAAAATTGAAAAAGAAATATATATCTATAATTGAGTTCTTGAATTATAAACTTAAATAAATAATAGATCATACATTAAAATTTCTATAAATTATATAAAGAGTACAAATTTGATTAAATCAGATCGTATTAAACATTAAGAAGCAATTACTCAATAGCTTGATTTGTGAAATGAGCATTAATCGTGTTTTCTTATATTTTTCATCAATGCTTTCAATTTTTGCAGCATGAGTGAGTTGATTATCAATCTTTGATTTATCAAGAGCAACTAATTGATTCTTATATTCCTCTATCCTGATTTTATAAGAACCTATTTGTGATTTTAAACTAGATATTTCTTTCCCTTTCTCTTCTTCTAAAGTTTTCATAGAATAACCCGTGTTTTCTAAAATATTATCTAATTCTTTATTCCGTTCTTCTAATCTATTTTAAAAAATCGTTCTTATTATTTATAAAATATTCGAAATCAACTATATTTTTTTTTAAGTAACAAAATTTTTTAAATTATAAAATATAATATACACTCGCATTCCCTTAATCAAAGTTAAAATTAACATATATTCTAAAAAACTAAAAATATCTTTTTAATAATTACCTTCGAATTCTTTTATTTATTTCTGCAATTTTTAAATTATACAAACTCTTTTGTGTGTTAATAATGACATTTTTCAGCTTGGTTTCATTAAAATTGCGTGGCTGAAGACGCGGTGGTAAACTGATGTTGCCCTTATCTTTTCCATACAGATCCATTTTAATTATAATAATGTATCAATGTTTTTTGAACAGCTTATTTTATATAATGTTTAGAAAATAAATTGCTCTTAAGGCATTTTTAAATCTGTCAAACAATTGGATAACGTTACGTGATCAATGACATGTCGCGCGTTTTTTTTTAAAGACGCGCGTGCGATTATCTTTCGATTTCGAGATATGATATGACGTAATGTATCGAACTATGAATCGATTTCGATATCGATTAGAGAATTTCCAGAATTCTCGACGTTGGCAGGCTTGAATCCGGTTAGGCTAGGTTAATAAAAGTAGAGTAGTGTGCGATGATGTACGTATATTTCTACAGATGATTTCTTCGTGTGTAAATGCGCCAAATATGGACAGACCCGACCAAAAGTTCATCATTTCGCGAGAGAAAAATCTGCAAACAAACTATTTAAGTATGTCATTTAACACATTTTGAGTTTATATTATCGCTAATAGATGTCATTTTATATTATGAGGTACGTAATATCAGACATTTTAACGAGTACATTTACTTTCTCTCTCGCACGATACGATATAACTTTTGAATCGTATTAGCCACGATACAGCTACCTTAAGGATTAGCAATGTGTGATGATTCCATCTGAAAAAGTGATCTAAAGCGATCTTGATTTTGAAATCGAGGCTCGAAATTGTCGAACTGCCATCGTAATATATAAGTGTGCGCAAAGCTGTATATTATTGTAATTCATTCAGTTCGATTATTTGCGAATAGTGAGGATAGGATAACGATTTGATAAGCGGCGTAGAGCAACGATCGTTTTATACGAAATATACTTTGATACGTAAAGATACGAATGCTCGAGTCCTCGTAAACAGGTGAATAACATTGCTCGGCATTATTATCTGTATCGTAATTTAATCGCAGATAATCTTTAATTCTTACACATGCGAGATATTGATACGAAGGTCTTATGTGTGCTTTTGTAATTGTATTTCAAGTAATATGCAAAATTGTATATATAAAATTGTAATTCGTACTATTTTCTGTTTAATGTAGAGTAACAAGTTTAACATTTTGAGAGCAAATCCAAAAACAGTGTTTATAAATGCAAAAAGATGATTCTCTCACTGTGAACTGTGAATGTTGCAAGATCACAAATATGTTACTTAAGATAAACGATTGCAGAAAAGTTTACATAAAGTATCAATGTACTCTGAACAGTATATCACATACGAAGATTATACATAAAATACTAAATTTGTAATGCAGAAGGGAATCTATCATTGTGTCTTTATAATAATGTAACAAGAATCTGTATAGAAAGCCTTTACACAATGTCAAATTCTAAGAAGAGTCCAAATTATAATTTAGAAGAAGCCAAAGAAGAAATGCAAGAAACAGTAAAGAAAAAAGAAGACTCGGTGCGACCAAAGTGTAAATTGGATTCGCACGGATGCCTAAATCTTCAAGATGTTCTGCTCATGTTTGATAGTCCTTTAAGTCAGGAGCGAGCATGGGCATTGTGTTATCAAGTAGCCAAAGGCCTATCACACTTAACGGAGAACAAGTTTTGTGAAATATCAGAACTTTGGCAAATTGTACTTCACAAAGATGGAGATATCTGTCTCGAAAGTTTGGCAGGTAACTGTTTTACTGTAGATCTTATAATTAATTTAAAAATTACTAAAAAAGACTATTATCATAAAATTGAAAATAATTAACAACATGACTTATGTTACAGGTTCCAAACTACCTCTTGTTTCGGAAGAAAAGGTACATATTTAATTTTTAAACAAGCATTCACTATATTGTACAATATAAATGATAATTGTTTCATAAATTTATTTAAATTGTGTTTTTTGTTTGTCATAGGCTATCTTCTCTTTAGGTATGGTAATTTTTAAGGCCTTGGATTTTGGCTCTAATGCAGGGGAAGAAATAGCCTTATCACCAGACCTAGAAGCTCTCATTACATTAATGACAAATTGCAATCGAGGTAAATAAATGATTACATCATTTTATTTACATTTTATTGTACATTTAAACACAATTTTTCACATCGAATTTTACATGAAATAAATTTTTATTTTAAATAAAACTAAAGTGTCTGATTATTTTATTAGCATCTGAAGGTGATGTAGAAGAACGTTTACAAGAAACCGATGATGAAGGCATCGAACGGGATTCGGGGGATACTGATGCAGAAGATTATATACCGAAAACTAGTGAATCATGTACAGATAGTCCTATATGTACCTTGAAGACTATTCTCCAAGTGAGTTCATATTTTTTCTATAATTTTTACAATTAAAGAAAGTAACATAAATGTGCAATGAACGGATCACTTCATAAAAATTTTCTTGAATCATTCTTGAAACAATGCAATAAACAAACAATTTTATCTTTTAATTTTTTAATCACTTATAAATGAAATATAAAATGATATTGAGCGATAAACCAAGTATTTTTTTTTTTTAGATATGTGAACGGCATATGCAAAGTTTGCATGAAGATGCTGATAATTATTATCGAAATGTGATTCAAATGTTTGTAGAGGAGGCTCTTAATCTCTCTCAATTTCTGGAAAAGGTGGTTGTCGACAAGCAATCACAAGATTTATATAGTCCAAGCATCGATGATGTTGATCGTAATTCGATCTCACTGCAGAATATTGACACATTGGATTTCAATGATTGGGTAAGTTTTCTTAATAAATACAAGAATATAACATGCAAGAAAATAAATACAAAAATATAGTGCAAAATATATCTCATCAAATTTTCGTAAAGAGAAAATGGACAATTTACAATAACTTATTTAAAAACAGGATTAAAATTTTTGTTGGACTTAATGACTTAATTGGAAACATTTTCTTTGAGAAGAAATAGAAAAGAGATATACAAGTAATAGATTAAAATAATAAACATCGAATGATAATTTTATATGTAATTTATAAACATTTATTGATTACTACTTGCATTTGCTTTTATAGACAAACGTTAGAATTTGGAGGGCTATACAAGTATGTTTATACAAATTAATGTGTTTAAAATTTATCACAATCACTTATTTTATTCTACACATTATTATCTTTTAATTTATATATTATCTTTTCTGTTTTTCTAACATTAACGAAATTAATTTAGCATGTTTTAAATATAAATTTATGCTGCATGATAACTTACTTATATTTATATAGATTATATAGAACAAATCGGATTTTATATTAATAAGATTGATATTTTACTTATATTAGAAATTATAATTATAACAAAATAATGATTTATTATTAATATTATTTTATTATTTGAATGAATGAATTGTACAAAGGCATATTTTATAGATTGTTACTTTATTTATTGTAGATATTTTTTATTATATTATTTCATGTCAACAAGAATACTCTGTCACATTGCTAGCTTCTATTTATTGCAATAATCTATAAATTATAATTTTAAAGTGTTATATTACTAGATAATTATTATATTATTACCTAATCTAGAGTGTTAATGAATAATATTTGCAAGTTTTTAAATAATTTGTAGAAGCTAAAATTAAATAATTTAAGATAATGTATATATAATCACAAATATCTACCTTTTTATGAAAGCCTTAGCTTAGTCAACGAGTCAATATTATTCATTAATATACTCTATATTTCATTACATATTTGTGAATAATAATATCTATGGACTATAATATTGAAGTTTTATTAAATGTATTGTTAGGCTAGATTTTGGGTTCAAGTAATCAGCGAACTAAGACGAGGCGTAAAATTGAAGAAAGTGGAAGCCAATTTAGGCTCTCGTGCACCCTCACGCGCACAAGGAAATCGTTCCGACTACAAACTGACTCCTTATGAAGTTCTGATGGACGACATTAGGGAGAAACGATATCACCTTAGAAAAACGCCACCCACGCCCTCGAAGAGAAAGGATGCACATGCCATTATTCTCGAATTTATTCGAAGTCGACCACCTCTAAAAAAGGCAAGCAAATTTGCAGATATTTAAGAATAATTAATAATTAGGCTAAGGAACTTATATTTTACATTCAACACTAATTGTACTTGTTCAAATCAGAGATAACATGGCGATCTTCACAAGATGACACGCGATCTTCATGAGAGATCAAGTTCAATATATGTTGAATCTCAGTCAATTCAACACATGTCAGTAGATATTTCATTGGAATCGAAATATATTTATAAAAATCAGAACAATACATTCCATGTATTTGTAAATTATTATGATAAAGTATGAAATTTGCGAAATAAACTTATATCAATTTAGAGCACGTGGAATTTTTATGCACATTTTAAAATATAATAGAGAGAATCAGAAATATATTAAGCTTATTTTACTGGTACTTTAAAATATAACTAATATAGTACACTAGCAATAAATGAGAAAGACATTAAGAAATATGTATTTGCAAGTTGTAAAAATTTTTAAACAAAAATTATCTGTTATATCTTTTACAGGCATCGGAGAGACGATTACGACCGTTACAGAAGGAATGCACTTTGAGAGAGTTACTTATGGAGAGTATAAAGAAGCCTCCAAAACCTTTGAGATCTTCGAGACAAAACATTCCCAGGGTTGAAGAAACATCAGCTTGTAAGTTTATGCATCTTATATACATATTTGTAGGTGCAATTTTTAATTATGGATAATAACTTCGTTTTATTTAATCTTCTGCATTATATTAGAATTATTATATGTATCTCAATAACGACTTATTTTTCTTTACTAAAATATAAGTATAAAAAATGTTGAGAGTACACAAAACTTATAATTATTTCTATATATAAAATTAATATAAAAAATTATTTAAATGCTATTCTAAGACTTAGAAATAGAAAGAAGTAAAAAAAGCAGGAAAGATAAATTTTTTCAAAATTTTTATTAAAATAACACATTTGCATTTAATCGTTATTGTATTAGAGTTATTGTCTTACTAGTTTTATGTAATATAATTGTAGTTTTACACGAAGTAATTTATAGTAAAATTCGCGAATAAATTCTATCTAAAGGGAAACTATTATAAATTAAGAGTCAAAAAAATTAGAAGTTAAGAATTAAAAATAACATTTTATTTAAATATGAACTAAAAAAATGAATTAAAATTATTAATTATAAAATATAAATTAGATTTGTATATTGTGTATAAATACAAAAACTTTGTTTTAACGCGTTTTATAACAGATAGTGAAAATTCGATTTTATTGAAACGCGCCCTATAAGCGTAGATGAATCATGATTTGGGGCGCTACGGGCGCAGGACAGAGAGAGAAAGATTGAGGGTGAGGATGGGTGGGAGGGAGAGAAAAAGGGTACCTGGACACGATGTAGACGCGATCAATAACTGAAAGCGTGCAAAGGTGAACTGACGTTGCCCGAAACGTCATCGCGTAGCACGCCAGTCCAGTCGGATGTCAACCCTTCCTTGTGAACGTTCTGTTCTCGATTATTGTTTCCCCGAAGGATGCACTAATTTTTGCTCCGGGAATATTAAAAAATCCGTGTGTTAATGAGTCGATCGATATCTTTGACGTTTGTGAATTTTTCTTGGTGAATAATCTTGTGAGGACTTTCAAATTCGAGAAAATTTACTGTGATTTAATAAGTGTTGGAAAAAACGTGAACGTTTATTTATTTCGTTGCTTATTATATAAAATATATATGTAGTGATTATAAAGTTCAAAGGTAAAGATCTAGACATATTATATATTATGTATATAAGAAACTCCATCATATGGACATACGTTGCAGATTTTTTGCAAAATTAATCTTAAAAAAATAACAGACCAAATTGAAATTTTGTTAAAAAATTTACTAAATATAAGATTAATAAAAAATCTGTGATACATATAAAAGAAAATTTAAAAGAAAATTATGTGTTCTGTGTTAACATATTGTTCATAAGAATTTATTAAAACAAAGTCTTACTAATTAATTTATAAAGCAGAACTTATAATAATTCAGTTTTATAATTATAATTTTTAGTGAATTAATCAATAAAGACGATTTTGTTACATATAGGGTATTTTATATAGTTAACATCCGTGCCAAGAAGAAAGAATAAAACATCAGAATTTAAAAATATTAAAAGAAATTTTAAATTAAAAGATTATAATATTAACATTTATGCATATAAAATTCAAAATCTTATAGAAATTTGAGATTTTATTAAATATAAAAACATTTGTTTTTTTAATTCTTTAATTTCCTTTAAATTTTTAACTGGAACTTATTTATTAAAAATTAATTTCTTAGCTTCTTTGTCAAATTATTAATAGTAAGTAAAAAATTTTAGGAATTTAATATAGTAATTTAAAAATTTTAGATTATTTTTTCTATTTATAATTGTATGATTATAAAAATACAATAATTTGAATCTACAAATTTATGAGAAAAAAATAAGAATCTCTGCAATAAAAAAGATTAATCTTTTGAAGAATATATGTACAATTAAATATTTTTCTGTAAAGGTATGTAAAATTTTTTACGAGTGTTTTTTATTTTCTTTTCTGATCTCATCTCATCTTCAAGAACTCGGATACATTCTTCAAGGTGATAAAATGATGATGATGTGTACATCTGCAGTCTCTTATTTCAACACTTCTTTAAAGATGTCACAAGATGCTACGCCTGCTCTTAAGTTTGTTGTAACATCGTCAAGTCAGAATTAGGATTCGCTGCTGCCTTTGTTTTTATTATAAGTAATAATCTCCTTAAAAAGAAAGAGAAAAATAAATAAAAAAGATCAGTGCGAATATAAAGTAGAAGATGGAGGAAAACTAAATAAGATAGTGGACGAGAAAACAGGACAACGCGCGCGCGCGAATAATTTTGAAGTGAATAAATAAATAGCGCAAGTTGACCTTTTGATATTCAATAAACCGTCAGTCTAGAGTAACTGCTTATCACACTAAAACTATTTTGTGAACGAGAATTGATTAAATTTTATTTGTTCATTATGCAAGATAACTTTTTTTTTCACGTACACATTAAATAAAATTTTAATAATAGATTTTTGAAGAAGAATGTTATTTTTTGACAATAAAATAATCTTTCTACATCTTTAGAATCTTTGTCTATGAATTAAGTGTGTGTTGTTCGAAATAAATAAATCAAATTAATTATCCTGAAAAAATTATGTGAAATTAAAATATAATAAATGCTGTTTTGCTCTCACGATTTCAATTTTTTCAGGCGGCAAGTCTCGCATGATAGTCCTCGGAGAGGTGCCGCCGTTGCAACCAGAGCAGGAGCAGGAGTCTGCGCAAGATGTTGCGGCTCAGTGGTTGCAGTCGGAGGATCAGAGGACGGCGACGTCGGCAGCTGGCGGTGTCCTGGCGGCAACGAGTCGCAGAAAACAGGACCTACCGCCGGTGCCGCAGCCGCGGCAAAGGATCGCTAAGGAAAGACCCGACGTCAGGGTTTTGCCTTCCAATAGGAATCGTAAGTCGCGTAGAAGGCGCATTACGGTCGCAGGTAATCATCTCATTCATCATCGTCATACAGTGTGTGAGTGTGAAGTTATTTTTTTAAAGAGGTAGAAAAGGCGTAAAATCTTTAGATGTCAAAACAAAGAAGCATATTACAATATGAAATATTAATTAGAATGAGATAATCGTAAAAGAAAGATAATTGCTTTATAATTTTTGTTATAAAACGATTAGATATATAATTTTATATACTTTTAAATAGCAAAGATACTTTAAAAATAATTTTAAGAGAATTTTTCTTTTTGTTATACATTATTTTTATTATAAATATTTTTTTATATTTGTAATTTAAAATTATAATATTAATATGTGTGGTATACATAATATATTAAGAGTGATAATATACACATACACATATGTATATATATATATATAAACATGAAAACAAAGTCTTCATAGAATTAAGATATTAGAATGTCTTTGTTGACATGAGTTTAAGAAAATTTATCTTTAAAAAAATTGGTAAAAAATTAAATTAATTATAAATGTAGTGAAGCATTACATGCATTCATTCATTGATCTGTCTCTTCATTTCAAAGTCATATACGATCATTGCATAGTCAATACATAAATCATAATATTGTTGCAATTTTAAAGATTGCGCCAAATTAGCACTAATCTAAATTTAACGTTTACGTTGCAAATGAATTAACTTTGATTTTTTAGATATAACACAGAATGGGGAGGATATCAAGGAATATGAATCATCTGCAATACCGAAACCACCTGGAAGAAATTTGGATGCTATTAGACGACCCAAGAAACTGATACCTGTCGACTTCGATTTAAAGGTCTATTTTCATATTCTTTCGATTATGACATAATAAATTCTAAATATAATAAACTCCCATATATAGCGTGATACTTCTATAATTCGTACAAAAAATGCGACATGTAAACCAATCGTAGATAAATTTAAAAAAGTACCCTAAACAAATTTTAATTTTGCGTTTGATTTTTATATTTTTGTAATACAACATATTTTTATTTTTCTATACAATTCATTTTGCGTATTGTACAACGCAGAATATATACCTCGTTATATGAGGTTATACTGTATATAAATATTGCACAAATTAGCTCTTTATTCCCATTTGAAACTCGAGTAATGGTAATGATAGATTATTCATTAGAATAATACTATAATAACTATTAAACAATTCTGATTAGAATTCATCATATTTGATACAGCCACTTATTCATTCTTTATTACCTGATATATATAAATAATCAATAATAATTTTCCATTATTAAAGCTCAAATTACAGGGAATGAATAACAACTAACATTAATCTCCTGCAGTTTATCTTTTCATGCAATTGTATTATTTTCATATTATCGTACAAATTCAAAGAACACAAATATAACTAAACAATGTTGTTTTTCACATAGTTGGATGCGGAGGATGACGACGATGATGATGATGATTATAACGAAGAGGATTTTGAAACGCGGTTTGAGGAAGAGGACGAAGCCTCTAATTATTGGCAACTAAAAGATTACAGGTTTGGAGCTCGCGAAGGTATGCGAAATGGGCACAAGGATTATAGACAGAGGGATGACGACGAAGGATCCGCAAATCCTTGGCGGAAAACCGGTGGACTTCGTCTAACTAGGAACGAGTACCATCGATTCTGTGATGCTCAACTAGAATGTAATTGTCATAAATAATATTCAAACCTTTCCTCCTATTATTTCTTTATTATTTTATAGTCTTTCTTCTTTTCCTTTTGTTATTTCTTTTATAATCCTTTCTCTTTATATTGTTTTTGATTTAATATTTGTAAAAACTGTATCATATGAAATTTGAGAATGAATTCTTCAATTAATGTTGGAATCAGTTTTTCCTTAGTAAAAATTTAAATGGACGCTATCTTTTTTTAAACAATTTTTTAAAATAAATAATCTATAACTTTTTTATTATATTTTATTTTATATTTTCAATCATGAATATTACCAATTATTTATCTGTATATTCTACCGTTTTAAATCTTGATAAATGATAAGGATTAGATAAGTTTATTTTTATCTTTTTCTAAGGAAAAATTTATAAATAAAATGTTATTGATATTATTGTTATTAATGCTAAAATAAGTAATCTCTTTTCTTTTTGGTTAAAAGATTATTTATTTTCATAGATTTTTAACTTTGAGAGAAATAAATCTCTCTTTCTTGCATCAGATTAATAAGAAAATTTATTTTTCCTATTTTATGATAATTAATGATAAAAAATTGAATGAACTTATTAATCAATATAATATTTCAATATAAAATTTTCATGTTAATCAATAATAATGATTAGATTAAGTTGTTTTTAGAATGATCAAAATCAATAAAAACATGAAACATAAATCATATTGTTTTAGAATTTTATCTGGAAATATATTGGAAAAACGTTGACAAAATGTTTTTCTTTTTAATAGGTTCATTAATATATATAAATCGATATCTTAATTTATATCAAACAATTTTAAATGTACGATAAAAATAGATCTTCTCTTTATAGCTCGAAATCCAACTCAGATTCAAATATATTTTCAGTCGAACAAGAATTTATATAAAAAATGAATTTATAACGATTCTTGGAATAATTCAAAAGTGAAGTTGAATCGAATATTTTCTAGATTTATTTTATTTTGCTTATTCTGTATGTGAAATCTTTGTTCGATTTTTAGCTTACGATTTGGCGACGCAGTGTCCTTCCCGGAGAGCATCCGCAAAGAGACACGCTGCAAAGTGTGCTATACCATTAATGTCACTCACGGGGACGACGTCTCTGCCACAATCAAGACCGCAGAGTCGACAACGCGCTGGCCTTACGGACTCGACACTAAGCCAGGGTCCGAGTCCCAACATCAGTTTGAATCCCAGCCCAAGTCACAGTCCGCAGCCACGTGCATCCAGGCAACCACGACGGGCGTACACCATCGCGCACGAGGGCAAGGACGACAGAACTAATAGCGATGAGTGGGAGGATGATACTGATAAGGTAAGGAACACCCATACATATATCTCTTATCTTTTTTGTAAGCAAATTTCGGATACAATTGCAGATAATCTAATTGTACATACAATATAAATACTCCGAATTGAATATATATATGTAATAGAGTACTTCTTAAACGTTCCTATGTAAAGCGAAAGATGAACATGAGATGTGATGAATATTATTAGTTAGTTTAGAAAAGCAATATAAAACGATATGACATAAAAGCATTGAAGAGACAATCATATTTTGCAGAAGACAACACTAGGAGATATGCTGCTGGACGAAAGACTATCGTTAACGTTAGATGAAATCGTGCACATTCGTAGCGTGCTCACGAAGGCGGAATTAGAATCTCTTCCTGTGGAAGGACGTGTCAAAGAGGACGTGGAAAAAAGACGCGTTTGTTTCCTCTGCCTGAAGACGCGTTTTGGTCTTTTGGGTCCTTGGGGACAACGCTGTCGTTTGTGCAAGAGGACCGTTTGCGTGAAATGTTACTCGAAAGTCAGTATTTATTTATTGCATATATACATTAATATATATATGTTTAATTAGAATACATATTATGAATATTATTTTATTCTATTTTAGATATATGGAATGTCTAAAATTAATAGATACTAAACATGCAACATTATTTTTTGATCAAATCTTTCTTTGGATATTAACGAATATACTAAAACTGAATTAATAATTTCCGAGTTGTGTGAATTAAATATTTCAGTAATTAAAATTATATGTATATATTTAATTGAATATTACTTATCAAATATGAAACGCGTAACTACTCACAAAAGACACAAATATTTCATTAATTTAATCAAATTTTTTGCTATTGAAATGTTAAGTATTTTTTGACGTTTCAACTTCTCTTAACATAACTGACGACAACATCTATGTTTTTAGATGCGGATTCCGACGGAGCAGTTTGCCCGAGTGCCGGTCGTGCTTCTCTCCCCCGGATTATTACTCTCGCCCACGGAAACGGAGGCCGGTAACGGCAAAAACGCTTGGCTAAGGAATACGGGAGCTGTCGGTTCGGCACCGGCTTCTCCCGCATCCAGACGAAAGGATTCCGCATTACGCAGCGGCACGCCCACTTCGACGCCGACGATGACACCAGTCTCCGCATTGACGCCAATGTCGACTCCACCATCTCATGCACGTCGAGAGATGGAAAATCAGGGACTGGAGAGGAGGTCAGTACACGATATATTTATATGATAACTTGAGTAAAATGCTTATAAGTATTCTGAAATTAAATATTTAATGGCATATTTATAATATATACGCAATTTACTATTAGGATAATTATTTTATCCATTTTCTAGAATCTACAATAATAATTCGTAAAATTAGAAATTAAAAGATTTAAAAAGCTCTACGAATTTATTTGTCATTCTTTTACATGATTGCCTTAATTGTGTAATAATTAGAAATTTCCAGACAAAGCATCATATAATTTATTCTTTATTTTACAAGTATTTTGATAACATAAATATATATATATATATATAATATATATATAGGTAATATATAAATTTGGCACAATATATAAATATATGAACTTGTTAATTTTTCTATTAAATTGTCTATATTTCACATCATATTTGATTGGAACAATTTTTATGAACAGATGTTACAAGGGTGGCGGCAGCCCCGCCGCTCTCTCGACCACGAAGACATTCTCCGGCTCCAGCGGACCGACTGCCGAGCAACGAATGGCGGCGGAACGGCTGCGTGGCGTCGCCGTCGTTGTTTGTCACGATTGTCGCATCATGGTCATTCAGATAATCAAGAGCTCGAGAACAACACGCGCAACAATACGCAACAATGTCATTTCTCGTCTTACTCTGAACCTCTCTCCCGCCTACGTTTAATCCTCTTCACTTATCGATACCATTATCATCACTGACTGCTGTTTCTCCGCGTTTAATTCTTCTCGCCTCTTAATATCTCCATCATTGACTGCTGTTTCTCACTATTGTTTTCTCCGTGTTTAACGGAAATTCGTATTTCACTATATACGTATCAGTAGCGAGTAGTCGGCAACAATTGTTCCGCGACTCGAAAGAAGGAAAATATGTGTCTATATGTGCAAACGCGCAAAATAGGGCATTCATTCTCTTATATATGCGTGTTGCAGAACTGCATTGATTTTCATATCGTAAGATGATAATAACATAAGAATTATCTGTATGAGAACTGGGCATGTCTAAAATGTATTTAGTACAAATTATTTAAACTATGCTTTGTGCATTGAGATATTTGTCTGTCCTACATAAAAGTTTTATTTTTTTCTCGTTGATTACTTACTTTAAATCAGAGAAAGCTAATTAATATTGCAATAATTTCTTTAAGATATCGATGCAAATAGAGTACCGCGCGCGTGATGATCATCATTTTTGCAATCTAACTAAATGCATCACTAGAATCTGATGACTTTAACTCATGTTTATAACTTGTAAGCCCTATAAAAATTTTATTTTACATAAAATGATTTATAACAAAAATAAAAACCTACAAATTTCATTATTTTCGATTTTTGAAATTTAAATTATTCATATTTTCTTCTAAATTATATATCAAATTAAGATCTGCATGATTTTTCTAGCGACTAAATATTTCATTTATAAATATCTTCATGGTTTTTACATAAGAAAGTTTCTTCTTTATTATATTTTCAAAATCTACAGAATCTAAAAATATGCAAAATTAAAAACTTTAAAAGTTACAAATTTAAAGATTTAAGAATCTATGAATTTGTAATACACTTATAAATGATTATCTTTTTGGTACAACGATCAAGATAGATCTTTATATTAAATAAATTATTATATTGTTTATTCTCTGTTGTAGACAAACATCTCAATGCACAAAGTAATATTAATCTCCTGATTATATTGTACTTACATGTCCATATTTTACTTGAATAACCGATTTATTGTTCCTATATGTTATTTATTTGGTACTAAAATAATATATTGCAATGCATTTAAGTTTATTTGCTACAAAAAAATTAAGAAACTATTTAAGAACGAGTTAATTTATACATATATATATATATATACGTTATAATATGTCATAGTCTAATTATTATATTTTTCTATGTTATTATTTATATTATGTACATTTATTTATCAGGTAAAATTTTCAACATAATTAAAGGATCCAAACAGCTAGAGATCTAAGAATTAAATTTAAAAAGGAAATAGAAAGATCAAATAAAACAATCAAAGATCCAAATGTCGAAAATTCTAAGGATATATAAAAATTTGAAAATCTAAGTATTAAGAATGTAAGTTCAAAATAAGAATCTCAAGATATAGCATTGTCATCTCAATATATAGATTCAATGATAATTGATAATTGAAGATCTATGAGGATCTCAAAAATGTAAGGAACTACAAATCTGAGATATCGAAGAAAGTTAAAGTTTAAAAGTATACAAATTCAATGATCAAAATATTTGAGCAATTGTAAATTTAAAGATCTAGAAGATTAAAAATTATTATTTTTTTTTTAAATCCATCTTTCTATTTCGTGTATCTTTGATTTCAAATTAATTTCAAAATTCTTGATAACACAAATTTAAATCTCGCGTATCATAAATGCTTATAATTATATATTTGATAGAATAAATATAAATTTTTGGATCTCTAGCTCTTTGCTTCTACAGATCCTTAGATTCCAAAATACACGCTTGATTTCATAAATTCTTTATATAAACTCTTAATATAATATAAATCAGTCAAAAATCTATGATATGTATATACTTCAATATCGTAGAATTTTGAATGTCAAAAAAATATTCGGCTGCTTACTTATATTGACTCTTATATTTTATCGATCATTGTTTTTTGTTTGCATTTTCTTAAAATAAAATATCTTATTCTTAGAGATGGATTCTCAACGTGCGTTATGTGCAATTTTCGCGAATTTAGATATTTCATATTCACGAGAAATTACTACTCGTTATTTCTGAAATTTTCAATTACTTTTTCCATTATATGTCAAACATTGCATATTGCTAATAACTGATACAATGTTAATTTAGCTTTTAATAAGATATGCACAACTAAATGAAGAAAATTAAAAATAGATAATATCATCGTTAGCCGTTTTAGAAATGGAGGCAGAACCAAACAGAGGCGAAGCCTTAGAAGAATAAAAATAATCAATAAATCATGTATTGAGAATGCATTCTTCTTGTAAGATATTACTGTTGATCTTCCATAACACGTTATTTAATAATAACACGTTCAAATGTATTCAAAAATCAACTATATTACTCACTAAGAAGTATACAAGATATTCCAAAAAGATATATTTCGATAACTTTTTATCTGCAAAGAACATCCTATTTTAAAGACGATGAATAATAAGCTTTAATTAAGATATAAGTTTAATTTAAGATTTCCATTTATTATCATTTTTGTGGATCTTATGTATCTATTTTCCTTAATTTAAATAATTTCTATAGATAAAAATTCGTAGTATTACGATGTATTTAGCGTTATACTCGTGTTTTTACATTAAACAAATAAACCTTGCAGAGATGTTCTTATACTTGGCTACATATTTAACGCTAAATGAACACTACATACAAGTATGAATATGGACCAATGTTTTTCAATTAATATGGAAAGATAAAACATGTTTGACTTTTTCTTTTTAGAATATCTTGTATAACAAATAATAATAATGTTCAGAGAAAGAGGTAGAATAAAGGCGAATATCATGAAGGAGAAAAGAAAGCAAGAAAGAATTATACAATTTATTATAAGTATCAAAGTGGATAAATAAATAAATTTAATAGAAAGTTTAAGACGCAAGAAAACGAAGATAAATATCTAATAAAATAAATTCATAATGCATGAGAAAATGAGGGTCTAGGAATAATATTAATTACATTTGATATATCTGTGTTATTAATTAAATAGAATTGATATTTTGATGATCAAATATTTTCATTATTTTTACTGTACTTAATTGATTGGGTACGTAAAATAAATTGCAATTAGTTCTAGGAGAGAGATTATTATATTGCATATTACTTGCGCAAATAAACATGTAGAAATATGTATAGAAACGTTATATGAATTATATTAATTGTATATATTGTAAATGACTTATTTTACATTGTAAAATACGTCTCACAACGATATTATTTATTCCGAATTATTTCTGTAAGTGAAAACAAAAGCTGACACACAGTGGAAATCGTTATTGAAAGAATGTACATAAGTGAGAGAAAATTGATCGGCAATTGTGATTATTCTGACCATGATCTTGTTCATGATCCCTGTAATATGGCGCAGAGTACAAAGAAGCGAAGTAACAAATTATAAAGTTACGTTACAAGTAACTCCGTGAAATGTTTCAATGTTAAAACCGATAAATAATATATATACATATATAATTATATAATTGGATTGTTGCAAACGCTTGCGAGAATCTTATAAAATTTGTAGAACAATTATATATATGGTACCGCTAAAAATGTAAAAATCCGACAATCGAAGGATTCAAGGAGTTAAAAAAAGAAAGAAAATCTTTAATGACGCGAAAATGAAAATTACCGCAAATCTAGAAGTTTAAGGATCCAAAAAGTAAAAAAAAGGATCTCTAATAGGAAGCACGCTGAAAGCACTTTTGCTGGACTTACGAAGATGGAATTCTTATTTATGTAGACCTCGTACTCTTTAAATCCTTCTTCCTCTTCAAACGAGCCTTGTATTTAATATTTGTATTGAGATGCAAAAATATTAATACTAGGTTTAGCTTCAATATTAAAGGACTCGTATAAAATTACGGAAGCTATTACGCGAGCTCTTAAGAGGTGGAATATTGCTTTCGCGTGTATCCTTTATTATTATTTAAAATCTTTTTTTGCAGAAAATATTTCATTTGGATCTTTGGATTTAAAAAAATCTTTTATATTTCCAAAAATCCTAAATAATTATTTCCCGAAAAAAGAGAAAAGTCTTGAAGGATTCAAAGATTCCATGAACTTAGATTTATAACTTAAGATATAACAGGACTTTTGTAACAACGTAATACGTTGCAAGCTATAATATTTTTATTTAGCGTTTAGAAAATATTTAATTAGACAAATTAGGATCTGTCTCATTAGACAAAATATATCTTGCTTCGTTTTGTCGTTATCTGCAGAAACTTGATGTAAATTTGCGATTTTAGCCGGCTATAATGTAAGTAATAAAACGATGATGTATAAAAATGAAAAAACGAAAAACTAGAAAAATATGTGTTAACATTCTCTTATCTGTCATTTTTATTTAACGATATGTTTATATTATTTTGAAATTTTTAATAAATATAACGCGATAAAAATTAGCCCCTCTTTTGTAAAATGTTTGTTTAAATTAATGTTCATCTAATAATGTATAATATGAAAAGGGAAAGATTTTTTCTCGTTATAAATTGTATTCAAAAATTAAATTTTTTAATTTGTGTGTTGTAGTGACTCGAATAATTTTTAATTCAAACTTCGATTAAAATTCATTCTTTTTATTCTATAATAAAATTCAAATATTGAAATAAATATATCATCGCGTGCGTAATTTTTTCTCACTTTATAGAGTATATATTAATCTTCTTCTGCTTCTTTGTATTAACGTTTCGAGATCTCTTATCATTGCAATATGTGTAATTACAAATTAATTGTAAAAACTCATTAATAATTTTATTTAACTATATACATATATCGCGATGATAAATCTTGAAATGAATTTTTATTGCGCACAAATAATTATTGTCCTTAAAGTAAAAGCACGGTCTTAAGACCGTGAGAGCAACATTGAGCCGATTGAGCATACATGTATAATAAATGAAAGAGTCAGTTGTCAATCGTACATCATCTTTTATTTCGTTTCGCTTATTACACAAAAACAAGCAGTATCGTGCTATGCAAGGGTGATAAAGGAATCCGCGGATTCTTAGAATTTTCGGGCATGATACGTTTATAATTTGATATTTGCCACATATCTGTCACGTATTTAGCGTTAGGTAAAGAGTCGGAAGAATATAAAGTTCCTTTTTAAATGCAAATCTAAATTTTTTAAAATTCTTTTAAAATATATTTCAACGTGCATTCCGTCTGATATTAATATCTCATTGAATTCATACAAGATTTGTATGTACAAAGATAATTGAATTTAACGTTCTTTATTAACGCTAAATGCGCGGTCAGAGGACGCGGGCTCTCTCAGGTCCCGTGAGTGGCTCGGAATTTTTAGCTTCTACGATCCTCATCTCCTTGTGCAATTTTGATTATACATCAAAGTGATATATTTCATATATCACCGGAATGAGCGTGAGCTACCAAACGCTGCATTTTTTCTTGGGATTCATCGGCGAACCTAGCGGGCAATTAAAAGCCTTGGCGAAGTCCTCGCTGTTTGACAGGGGACCCAGCACCCGTACTGGTCCGGGTGAATGCACGCTGCTGCGGATTTTCGTGAGGGCGTCCTCCGGCCTCATGGAACCACACCAGATCTGCGCGTAATTGAGGAAGAATAACTGATCGTGCGTGAGATTCACTCCCGGCAGCAACGGTTCTTCGCCATGGATAGAAACCCACTTCTTGTAAGCCTAATATTTGACGAAGAGAAATTATCATCGACTCCGTAAATGTGTTTCATATATTATATATATTTATATTCATATATATCATATATTAAAATTATATTTTGTATATATGTATCTCTATAAATTTAAAAACCCTAAGTGTATTCTTCGAATCAACGTATACATTTAATTCACTTTTTTCAAAATGTATAATTATCTCATCTTTTGAATAATTTTCAGAAATTTATCTTCAGAATATATTTTTGCTTTGCACATGACATATTTCTATCATTACCCTGAAAGACTGCTTGAGACCGCCGTTGTCGGCGATATTTTCCCCTTGAGTCATTCTACCATTGATATATAGATTCACTTCCTGCAACTTGTATTTAGAATACTGGTCCACGATGCATTGCGCCCTTTCGCGAAACGCCCTGACAGTGGCATTGTTCCACCACTGCATCATATTGCCGTCCTTGTCGAACTGACGACCCTTATCATCAAAGCCATGAGTAATCTCGTGACCGATCACTACCCCAATTCCGCCATAATTTAAAGACTTGGGGAAGTGCTGAGAGTAAAAAAGCGGCTGTAGAATCCCCGCAGGGAATACTGTAATAATATCATATAAAATGATTAATACTTGACGTTTATTTATCAATAATGTGATTACGATTAAGATTGCATCATTATCCTGATCAGATCTTCACATTTTTTTATTTACGTAAGTCTTGTAGATTTTTAAATTATTATAAATCACAAAGTGATTTTATATACAATGAGATTCCTAGATATTTAGAACTCAAATTGTTCAATTATGACAATAATTAGTCGCTAATTAGGATAATGATGATTAGTAGCTAATACACGTGACTGACCTATATCATTTTTGTTGGGATTGTAGAAAGCATTTACCACAGCTGGCTCAGTCGACCATTTATTTTTGTCGACTGGTTTCCGTAGCTTTTGCAAATTATGATAAGCGTCATATTTGAGCATAGCAAAGATGTTTTCCAGAAAACGATTTTCCGTTATATTTAGCTGAAATTAAATAATTCTTTAAGTACAACACACAAATTCCGAATTAGAAATATAAGAGAAAACGAAAAATAAATAAAAAGTGACAAAAAATTGGAAATATATTATCGGATCGTTTCAAGTTTTATTATGCAACAGTATAATAAAAAAGATTTTTCTAATAACTTTTTTCTCTAATAATTTTCCTAAGATATAAATAGATCATGAGCGTAGAATAATTTATATATAATAAATGAAATATAAATATATAATATTATATCATAAAATATGAAGTTGTTACCATCACGTATTCTAAAGAAAGTTCGGCTGGATCTTTCAAAAATTCCGGATATCCGATTCGCTCGTTCATCGAGTTGGCCTTCTTCTTCGCCACCATCCGAGTCTCGTCGTCCATCCAATGGTTTTCGGTCAGCAATTCATTAAAAGCCTCGCGAATCGTCCGAATCATCTCTAGAGCAGTCTCCTAATAAAAACGACAATTTCAATTTCCAATTAATTCATAAAGCAAGAAGATGTCAATCGAATGTTGGTCATTTCAGAATGGAGAATACTTATACCTTGCTCTCGTGATTAAAATTGTCGCGTATAAAAAGAGCTCCCACTGCCATTCCGAGTTTCTTGTTGGTCCAATCGACGCATTGCGACCATCTATTCCTTTCGCTAAGAATGCCCAACAGAATTTTACGGAATTCAATCCGTTTCTGCTGATACTCGTTGATCATGTGAGGCATAATTGACATGACGAGTCGCCACAGAATATAGTTGTGTAAAGTCCTATGAAATATTCTCGATTAAAAATTCAAAGATTCGCGACGTCCAAGAATTCAAGTTCGAATAAATTTTATCGAAGAATTGTTCTAACAAAACAATCCCAATATCTTCATGATTTTACAGAGATTCTACAGAGAAAAATTTGAGGGCTTTCGCGAATAGAAACTCCAAAAACATTTAAGAAAATTAATGATTCAAAGATTTAAAAATGTTTTATTTGTCGTAATTTAAAGAATTAAACTTATAAAAATAGAAGAAAAAATTCTGTTAAAAGAATTACATTTGAATGCCTATATCTTTACCTGTGGTCCGTTTTCGAGATGATGCGACCCATCTGCACGAAATATGGCATTGCATATGTCACGACCGGTTCATCTTCGTCGATTGGCACGCTGATGAATTCGCGCAAATAAATGAGCCACTTCAGCTGCGGCACTTCTTGCTGTAATTCTCGCAATGTTAATTTCCGGTAAATCGCGGAAGTATCATGCCTATCCGCTTCCGGTAATGAAATCTGAAATCATACACAAGATTAGCACAATGAATTATATTAATTATATAGTACGTCTCAAAACTGCCTGAACACATATTTATTTTAGTAAAGAGATTAAATGTGTTTCTTAATTATCTCAAAAATTATGGAGACATACTATGTAAGATAAACATAGAAAGAGAACATACATTGGCAAGCTGTTTCTCTAAAGAGATCACTTGATCAAACTCTGCGGCCGCCGAAGAAGGGTTCGCTCCAAGCAAGATAGCGACGTTCGTCATGTATTTATGATAAGCTTCCAATTCGGCTGCGCTGCTCGCCTTCAAATAATAATCTCTGCTAGGCAATGCCAACTGCATCTGGTCAAACTGCATAAACGAATGAAAATATTGTTGTTATATTTTCTCTCAGTGTCCAGAAACTAGATTTTCTTCTCCGGAAACGGAAACATTGATTTCATCAGCAATTTGTTGTTTGTCGTTCGATAGGTCAGAAAATTTCTTAGAAATAAATAAATAAATAAATATAATATATATTTATATTATATATTTATTAAATAATTATTAATATGAAATAAAGCAAAAAAAATTTTATCACTGCATTTAAACATAAGTGTCAAGTTTTTTTCAAAGGCAGCATTCTATACTGATGTGAAAACTTCTGTAAAATAATACGAGAGACGTGCAGATATGATCTAGATTTCCTTTTTTAAATCGTATATTTAAATCATACCAAGTTTCCACAAGTTTTAGTTGTTTAATTGTTCATTTAAATATTATAAATGCATAAATAAATGGCGCATGTTTTTATTATTAAATATTATTTGATAATTTTGAAATAAAAAGAATCTCCAGATGAGATTTAAACGACTCCCGTATGTTTTACAACGTGTTGACGTGTTGTAGCCGTCGACTGACAGGGCCTTACTTTGCCGGCGCACCTGGAGGATGTTGGCCGAGGAATTCTTATCGTCTGGACCGACCCATTGTTCCAGCAGCACGTTCTCGTTGTACTCGCCGCGTAGACGACCCAGAAGGACTTCCAGCGGATAAAGCGGCGGTTTCCAAGACGTTCCCACCACTGCCGGCCAGCCACCGAGACGTTCCAAGATCTTCTTCAACGGGGCGTCCCCGATCTCTCGTATGCGAGCTGCATTTTGATATCATTTCGTTTTTGTAAGATATGCAAGACACACGTCTCTTTTATACGTACAATTTATATTATCAGTTTACATGCAGTAATTTTTCTAAGAATGTCTTGGAAATTTTTACTTTCAAATTCTATATCTTTAGATTTAAAAAAATGTTTTAGGTATCAATTCTAGATATTTTGATAAAAATCTTCAAAGACAAAAAATTGTACAAAGATTCTATAATCGAAGGAACATTCATATATCATTTATACCCACGGATGTCCATACACGATCTGTAGAACATCTTTGCTTTGAGAGTTGCGCTATTGTCGTCTGCGTTAGGCGGCTCTTCGAGTAGGCGCTTCAGGATCACCTGTAGCTGATCGGCCAGTACCTCGAAGGTGCTGATGGAGCTCCGGTCCTCCGGTATCACATGCAATCGATTCCACGTGCCACAGGCATATTGAAAGAAGTCTACGCAAGGCGCCGCGGTACTATCCATCGCTGTCAATAAACTCGCCGCTACATTGTCAATGAAATCCCTCTTGTTTTATTCTCGCTCTTTGATTGAATTATGACAGAGGCGTCAAAACCACTGAAGTCTATACATATTGAAATGACGAGGAAGATAACGTCAAACGTCGCCTCTTTCAGAGACACACAATTCCAAGAAAGTTTATTATTTTTATTTTATAATGGAAAATATATATGTTTGGTTCTATAATGAACGTCGACTAAACTTTTCATAAAGTTTGCATAGAGCTTTCAATGTGTATGTATTTAAAGAACAAGGCTATCCTCTTTTTCTTCCTCTCTCCTCTTCAACTCATTTTTTTTATATGAGAATGACATGAAAGAGTGATTATATTGTATAGACGTCAATGATTAAAACCGATGATTACTTTTCATCAGGAATATTAAATAAAATATTATTAATATAAAGTTTAGTACGTTTCAAAAATCCTAAAATATTCGCAATTTTGTCAATTAAAGTAGTCGTGATTGATTTGCATAATAATTGAATCTGGAAGTGTATTATAAAATGTGTTATTTGTAATATTGATAGTCCTGGTTGGCAAGTAATATCTAATATGTACATTTGTGTTTCTTCGTTTATATTATTATTATTTTAAATTATACCACGTTATTCAAAATAACGTGAAAAATTAATTAATTTAATTAGTATATATTATGCAGTAATATTGCTATTGATAGTTATTTTAGTAATGGAGCAATCAATCATTGAAGTTGTTGCCTTGGATAACTTAAATATCTGAGAAATAATTTGATGAAAAAATACACTTTAAATCATTTAAAATTTTGTGTTTCTTGAATTATGACATTTGTTGCGAATTAAAATCTAACATACGAGCATATAATTATTATAAAAGAACAAAATAATTAAAAAAATATAAATAAATTAAAAGAATGTACCTGTTCGGACGCATTCTTCCGTCATACAAACGTTCGGCTCTGAAAATAGAAATACAATAGAGATGTAATTAGAATTTAAAATATTTTCTTATTATATTTTTATATTTTAACATTTTCCTTCGGTTTTTCGATTCGATCTCTGATATGTAATAAAGGATAAAACTCACGAGGCTCTTGGACGCATTCGCGGCTGGTGTTTAACGCCAGCAGCAAAAGTATGAACAGACAAATTGCCAGCAGAATGATGGCCAGCACGCCGAGCAAACGTTGTCTATTCGCTGCCCCGCTTCGTCTTCGTGTAATTGAGGTAGCACGTGTTATACCGATTGGCCTTTGCGGCTTGACCGGATGCTGAAGAACGGTTGTGGTAGTACTGCCACGTGGACCATAAGTCACCTACATAAATATTATAAATTAACATAAAGCAACGCAATTTACATTTAAAAATCTCTCATATCAAAGTATTCCATAGGAAATTATAGTTTATTGAAAAAAAGTAATGAAAAAAGTGCTGGAATCTAATTTACATACCTGAAGAGGATTCGCAGTGGGAGCACCGTCCTGACCAATCGATCCCGATCCCGACAGATCGGTCGGCTGTTCGGTGACGACGGTAGTTGTTCGTAGATATCCGTTGTTTTTTTCGGACTTCATCCTCGCCTCCTTCAAGAGCTCCGCAGAATATGTAGAACGGACGTTCTTCTTTCGCCTGTATTTTTTTTATCGTCCTCAGGTTACGATGGGAACGGTGCGGATATCCCGCGGTCCTTCACGAACGCCTTCGAGATCCGGGGTGCGTTCGCGCGCTCGCAAAGTTGCCATTGCCGGTCAATCATCATCCCTCGAAGTGGATTTGTACAAGAAGAGCAAGGCTCTTTCAATCGATCATCGTATGCAATAATCTAATTCTATGATCTAGCTAGAACACAAATTTTTCGCTTCTCAGAAAAAATTACATGTTTACGCAATGTGACATTTACGATATCTATAATTAACGAAGATACAGTAGCTTCAAGATGTGATCTCAGATATAAATAATTAATAAAAGTCATAATGAAAAAGCTCTATCAATTGATATTCATATTTTATGTTTATATCTAATGATATAGTAAGAAACATGTTTCTAATATAAATTTTCAATATGTATACGTCTCTTCTGCATCATAGCACAATTAAATTGATAATTACACATCTATTGAAAAATTATTACAAAAATTTGAAGAAATCATTAGCTTTATATTAAAAATTTTAATTGATTTTGAGAAACTTTATTAAAAAAAGATATAAAAAAATAATTTTTTTATAATACATTTTTTGTGCAACGCATATTTTAGAAATTATTCATCTACATATATCTCCATTCATAAAAAAGCTATTCGTATCATGTAACGTTATCTTTCTCTCAACCAAATAATTTTTACACATATCAGTTATGCAAAATAACTTTTATATTTTTATACAAATTTTTTATCTTTTATTATTTATGAAATAATCCCACGTGTCCACTTGAACGAGACGTGTCCATTTAAATCATATATTTTTTATATCAAGCTTTTAAATTTATATATAAATTTCTCTCCTCTTCATGCAGTATATATATACAAAGTTTTCGATATAAATTTAAAAATAACAAAGTATTATATTGCAAGCATATACATACTATGTTGTAAAAATCAGTGTTTTTTCTTCTATTTTTAATCATCAACATTGAACTTGATAATTTTGTTATGAGTAAAAGATCTATTAAAATATAGATTAACTGAAGAAGAAAATTTCACTAGCTAATTATACATCAGAAACTCGATATTCCCAATAACTTGTAAACTCCCATCGTTTATAACTTAAAAGCTATTTCAACTTTGATATTGAAATAATCATCAGTTTTCAGCTTTTTTCATATATTATTGAATTAACATATTAAAAATCGATTTCTTTCTGTATTAAAAAGTACGTATCAGTTATTCCAAATAATTATGTAGAAATATATAATAATACAGAAAACAAATATAAATATATACATATAAAATTTTCCCATATATTATAGAGGACAACAAATCAGAAATTTCTAATAAATGAACTCTGATAAGTTTTGAGAGAGAGATATATACATCACATACTTCCAAGGATTTTTGGAATATTGCGACAATATATATACGACTCGCATTTAATGTGTACCTTGCATAATTAGCGATCGGTTTATTACGGGGATTATCGTATCGGGATGGGCACTTTCGACACAATTTATTCACTGCGATGAACAAGGAATCGATCCCATCGAGGCGATTAAACGCGACAGGGCGAGTTCACGTTCGCAGCTTGTGTACAGAAGCAACAAGCGTCCTGCGAAAAACTGTTCGGGGATGTCGATCGAAGCCTCCGCCACCACCGTCGGTGAAGAAGACGTGCGAGAGAGGGTGCGTCGAAAGGGGCAGGTGTGCCGCCATCGAAGGTAATACGGGGATGTTGTCGAGGTCGGGGGGTGAAAAAAAAGGACCGGTCGATGCTGCAATGCAGCGATGGAGTCTCGGATCCGTGCTACGACGCGCAACGGCGACGTCTCGAAGCTGCTTTTCGCTTTGTGCAAGAAGGGGATGAGGGATGAGGGTTGATGCAGCGCGCGACAATAGAATTTGTCCGACGTATACGAGGCTCCCTGCAAGAATTATATACGATTAAAAGCTGTTGAGAGCGCAAAGGATCTTGCAAAGTCTTTATATTTTATCGGTTTTCTTTCCTGGAGATGAGAAAATTGATGCAAGATCCGTTGCAATGATAGAAAAAATTCTAACATAAGCATAATATACATTTAATATAAAATAAGAATTTTCTGATATAAATCTATAATTCGCTAAATAGAATGATTTTTTCAACTTTTTATAGAAAAATATTTAGAAAGGAACCGTGTTATCAGAAATCATTTCAAATGATCGATTATATCGATTAAGATATATCGATATAATCGATATTTCAAACTAACATCTGACACGATTCCATTTATGATTTATTTCATTAAGCTTACTGAAAGAGAGAATATATTATTTTTATAAACTAAATATTTTTTTCTAAACAATATATTTTTGAAAATATAAGAGTATTGCGAAAAGCTTTAAAGAGAAATATTTGAAGGAAAATTATATATTTTTAAGAGAAGAGATCAATCGCAATTTGCAAGCATTTGATTCTTTGTAACATAATAAAGAGTAATAATCTTAATTATTTATATATTATAAGCGAATTATTGTACAAAAAGAATTTCCTAATATATAATTAATAAATATATATAACTAATTATTATAAGACAGAGAAAGTAAGCGAGTTACTTTATGTCATGCATTATTTATTTATTGATTCATACATTTTTAAAAATTGATTTACATTTTCAAAAAAACATTTGATTTCTATTTATTACAAGACTCAGACGTAAAAACAATAGATCGATATATAATCTCCCAACGGGACTTTGAAATCAAAAGAATACTGATTACATGAGTTTTAAACGGTATTCCGGCATGTAAAGATGCTCGCCCGGGACTACATATCCATGAAAAATTGGATAATTGTAATATCGGAGTTGTACAATAACAGATTTCTATACGGATGCGTAACAGAGATTCCGCGTTTATATAAGACGAGCGCCTCGGCCTTTTGCGCAGGTTCCTGATAGTATTTCAAGATTGCGTTTCGGGGGGGAAAAAAAACTCCGAAAATATGCGAGAAACATCTTCGCGATGTCGTTTCGTCGAAATTAATTCGGAAAGGTTTTCGACACAACGTGTGTTTTCTGGCCGGAAGACGAGACTCGCACTAGAACGCAGCGTAAAAACTCGTGTTACGTGTCAAGAAAGTGCCGAGAAAAAATCAATAGAAATTTATAATAAATATACGAAGCTGCGAGAGAGACATAAGTTCGCAAGCAGTTCGATGAAAGATGTATTTAATATATAATAAAAATAACAAACAAAAATATATATCACATCGCAGCGAACACAAAATATATCTCGACTGCGTTCCGTGTAGTCTAGGAACGAGCACATTAAGAGTGACTGAATCGAGCAAAAATTGAAATTCTTTCTCTTCCTATAACACTACGTACTCCTATATTTGGACTTAATGCAGTGACAACAATGCGACCCTTTTTATAAATATATAATTTGATTTCGTCAAATTTATTATCTGTTTAATGCATCTTTTTCGATTCTTATATGTTACATTCCTCTAAAACTAATTTTACAAAAATAAATTCGATAATAAATGATGGTAAAAAGACAATTAATAAAAGATTCCGAAAATGTTCTATTGTAAGATAGGCAATATATTACTGTTGGTAATTTTGCAGTGTTGTTAATAAATTATTATTTAAATCGATTCAAATCTTATATTTAAGCAAAAAATTTGGCATGCAAATTCAACATCTGTCGTCAAAGCGTTAAGTTCAATCTTATTTGAAAGAACAGATAGAGTACGTTTTCTACTGTAAATCTTATAATGCATAACTGTAAATAAAAAATTAAAACCCGTAGCCACAATGCATCTCGACGATCGTGAAATCGATAATATAATTATACACTCATTCAGCACAAATAAAGAGATCACTGCTTCAAAATGCTAATTTTTTTGTAGGTCGAATATATCAGTAATTTAAAAACTAAAATATCTCATTTATGTAAATGTATTTGTTAAAATACAAGATTGCATAATCAAGGATAAATTGATTAAGAAATGCGTTAAATATATCTGCGAAAAATGCTGCCTTATCTTTGAAATGCCATCGAATTTTATAATAATTGTTAATGGTGGATCTACATTTTCGAAGATTTCTAATATTTCTGTAAAACTTGAAAAAGAATTCTTTTACGAAGAGAAAAAATATATATACATACATATATAAATTTATATAATTTTTAGTATTAGAAAAATTAATATACATATATGGACATTTATGTCAAAAATCATATTTCAAAAATAAGTACACATTTTTAGAAATACGTTTACAAATAAGTACACATTTATAAAATACGAATACAATTACTTGACAAACCAATTAATTGAATTAAATTTAAAACAATAAATTAGCATTCTGGTAGATCCACTATTGTTCAATCTATAGGCATAGCATTTTCTATAAGTTTTTTGTATGTAATTGTGATTGAACATTAAGATCGTTAAAGCGTTAAGATAAATTTCCAAACCGAATATCTTGAAATAACCAGATATCTTTGAATAAAGATAGTTTTGAAGAAGAGTGACTTCCCAATTATGCCTTCGCAGAGTGCACGAATTTCCATACCCGTTGCCGTCGAGAGCATCAGGAAGCGGCTCTAACTAACATCGATAGAGTGCTTACAAAGTAATGCACGATTACAACGAGTTTCGTTTTTTTTTAATATTTTTTAACCGGCACGTTGTTATTCGTGGCCGATTCGAACAGATACAACAACGAGCATAAGGGACAGCGAAAAATGAATAAACGACCTCTCGCGCGATTTCGTCTGGTCCTAATTAACCCGCGCGTCATAATTAATCTATACGATCTCGCGAAGCCTCTCTCGTCGACGCGCTCATGCACACAATAATTAACGTATAGACGAACACGCAATACGTACATACATATACATTTGACAATTCTTTAATTCAGTAATCTTGACATTGCTAAGTGAGAGACGATTATTCGCCATTGTATATGTACTTTGTGTGTTACGCGATTACATCGACGAAGAAAAATATGTAGCGCGCGATTTCTGGCTTTCATTCGGATGATGACTCAACGATTCGCAAGCAACAACGAGTGAGACTTCAATGCTAAACTTCGATGTCACTCCGCCGATTTCGCATCGACGACATAATACGAGAAGGAAACGAGTCTAGTACGTTTTTTCGCGTATAAACTCGTTTCCTTTTTTTTATACAATAGAACTATGTCCAGAACGAGATTTTCGTCCTCGAGATAATATATAGGGACGACCACGTCTTGAGGTCTTCGCTTACTCGCAGACTCTGTCCGAAGAAAAAAATAAGAATGTATCATATTAAGACGATTATCTCATTCACGAAGGAGAGACGACTTCTCTTTAGCGATGGTGTAACACTGTGAACTTCTAATAAATTTTCTAGATCGACGAGAAAGTCTTCTCCTCAGATCGGATTCACATTACATCGCTAAGGAAAAGTCGAAGAAGCGCAAAAACGGTCCAGAAGACTCACAAAAGCCTTTCTCGTTCTAATACATCCCCTTTCCTCGACATTTCGAATTATTTCTGCACATGCAACGCGTATTACATATACGAGAATGTGCGACACAATACATTTATATAGTATGTATTTTAATTAATTAACGCCGATCGCGATCGCCCGGCCGATTGTTGATCATTCGCGTCGAATATGTAATAAATTACACGAAAGTATCGACGTAGCTTTTGCTGACGAGGAAGTGCGAAAGCGACACGAAATCTCGGCGAGCATCGCCGCGATCACAATATGTGTACAATAAATGTCAACATCAGTTGCCGACAATATGACTAACTAAATGCTACGAAATCGAGGAGAAGTCATTAATTAAGGTCTTGGTCCGCTTGGCCGGATCGCCGTGATCTCGTATCGTTTCGACTTTTTTTGTTTCCTCCGAAAGGGAAAGACACTCACAAAAAGGGAACGATTAGTGTCTTTCTCTTCTATTTAACGGAGTCTCGTTCTTGTTTAATTGTCTAGTAATCGCGGTGTCACTTTTAAAGATCGAGTCTGGGATCTGTCTCGCGTTTGAGATAATTAAATTTATACAAAGTCCGCAAAATTTTTTCCTTTATCTTTTAAATTCCCTTTCATCTTCATACATTAAATTATCTTGCGACAGTAGAGATAATTATTTTGTCATGTGAAAAGCATATTTCTTTTCTTTATAGTTATTCAGATACTATGTTCTCTCCTCTATTATGACAATGCTATAAAATAATTGAGATTATGGAGAGATTTTGTCGCAAAATAATTCGCTGTTATCGTATTTTAGAGTTTAATAAATAATCGCAAAATAAAAATGTAATTGTTCATCGATTGAGTCTGTGATAGCTTCATCCGCGTATCAAAAGGTCTTTTATACCCTTTGAATAAACTATATATTTTTCGCTGTACTGTTAGAACTGACATTCCTGTGCTAAATGAAATTTTTAATACGTAGCCATAAGAGTCAAATTTTATCTACAATAATATTGCACAAAATACGAATATATTTTTTCTTTACGGAATGCTTCGTATCTAAAGTACATTGAAAGTACATTAGAATGAAAAAAATTAGCACTCTGCTTAATCAGTTTATGTTGCGGATGTATGTTAAGAAAGCCATTTCGACGTCGGTGCATTTAATGAAGATTTTTCATCGCCATTCTGAATTTTTTCCCCATCACTTTAATATTTTATCAGACAATGCGAGACGTTCTTCAATCTCTTCGCAGATGATTCGCAGTCCTGCGAATGTGTATTATTTGCAATTATATGCTACATCTTCCTGTGATTTAACTCTCTATTGCTCTGTATATCAAGTCACATACTAGTTTCATTATTTCTTCACTTTCTTTTTTACGCATGTTTCGTTAATTAATTATTCTAATTTTGCGTCTTCAAAAGTATAGATTTGTCATGTAGTTTATTTAAATTCAACTATATCGCGCTCTTTCTCGATTCTCAAAAAGATACCCCGAGTAATAGAGAGTTAAAAATCTCGTGCGCGTGCACGCCGTTGCATTCGGGACGGAAGTGCACGACAATTATATTATCCGAGCGATTGGATCTTATAATTTAATTACAATGCATATGAAGATATCAAATAATATCTTTAATTAAAAAAAAACGTCAAAGAACTGTATCAGTATATTATACTCTCAGAAGCGAAACTGCTCAATTTCACTGTTTGTAAATTTCTCAATTTGAGCATTATAATTACGTGTTAAAATTAAGAAATTTGCAAAAGTCAATTTGATCAGCTTGGTTTATAAGCTCATATATAATCAAAATAACAGTGTTTGCGTATATATATGCTATCATTATGTATATATGTATATATACTATACATATATACATATATATGTATATGTATATATGTACGCGTATCGCGTATATGCTATATGCGCTGATGTTTAGAATTTCTACGAGATTTCGAAGCCTTGAAGGATTTTCAAATTAAAATTTTAATTTATGAAATTTCGAAACTGTACATTTAATCTTTAAAAATGCAATGCTTTTATCTCCTCATTTACCCGAAATCTTTGAACACCTCGCGTTTTTGGACTTTTTTTAAAATAAAAAATATGAAATAAAATAAAGCGCAGAAAATAAAGCACACATTCTCTTCGTTATTGTCTTTCTAAATATCTTTCAATTAAACGGAATCTTTTAATCCACGGAATTTGCGTGAATCCTAGAAGCTTCGAAATCTCGAAATGCCCAAGTCTTGAATCCCTGGATTTCTTCCGTTCTTTGACGCTCGCGTGGTACCGTATCGTAACGTGACAGAGGACACAAAATATTTTTCTCGATCAACAACGTACACGTGATGATTACATGGCATATATACATGCACGCGCACGTATTGGAACTAGGACATCATTCTAAAGTTCCGTTCGAAATTACACGAACGAACAATAGCGACAAGATATATATATGCTTGGGTCCGGTTGTACTCGCGAAGCCGTTTTCTTTGCGAGAAAAATCTTCAGGATCGATTACGCAATTGTTATACTGTGGACTTTCGCTCTTTTCCCTTATTACATACGGCTCGTTGCTTACATCTAACGCTGTTTTGTTGTTGTTATTGTTCACCGTTGCGTGTGAAGATCTCGATAGAAGAAATGCGCATGGTCTGTCTAGCGACATCGTCTTCCTTGTACAGATCTTCTCTTTGATGGGAAGAAATCATTTGTACGGCACGAACGAAACGCGATGATCGCCAAACATCGCGACGGCAAGTCAATTATTACAATATATATTAATTAATCAATCGGGAACACATACGAGCCGTGCGTTTCGAAAGTAACGCAAGTCTGAATCTGTTCAATTCAAGTAAAAGATCACCGAAGATCTGCATGTGTATGTGTCTACAGAAACTCATTAGGCATTATTTATATTTACTCGCTCGTGCGCTTCCTAGGATTAAATAGAATCCTCGTGTGTGCTCGGTATACTTAAATTAATAATTTATATATCGAATATATCTTATTTGCATTCATTATCTCGTCGAAACAAACAACTCGTATAAAATTGCAGATACAATCTGCCTCCGACCGATACTACGCAATACTTTTCGGCTTCTCTAAAATCGAGAAAAAAACTCGCTTTGGCCGATCTTCCTAGCGACAATATGCTACGCTCATTCCCGTCGAATGGAATGGATTGTATATAGGTATACATAATACTTTGTTAAGTAATGACGAGATGTTATCGTGTCCGAAAGTATTGGAAAGCACCGAGAAAAAAAACGAACGAATAAACTATTAAATATATTAATATATCTCTGGGTTCTTACACAAAGACGATAGCTCTTCGTTCTACCTTCGCTTATACTCGTATGTGTATGTCTGTGTGTGTGTGTGTACTTGTACGTGTAAATTATCTCTCTTTAGGAACTTATACTATACTCGTGGCCGCCGACGGTGACCCGACGACTGTTTCGTTCGCGCGGGTTTCACAAAATGCGTGTCCGTGTCAAAATCAAAACTATATACATTCACATATACGATATAATCTTGTGCGATCTTAATTTCAGTCGACGATAACTCAAGAGATTTTCTCTTTCTACTATATAATTTATCTAAATATGCGCGCGCTTCACCGTCAGCGGCGGATTTCATCTCCACGCAAGGGAGAAAAGACGCCAAAACCGCTGCAGCCTAAATCCTAGTCTACAAAGGGTGATTTAAGTCTTAAGTTTTACGACAAAAAGCTTCAAACTGCAACGTATTTCTGGCTTTAAATAATTCTCATGTTATCTTAATCTCGAAGTCCTAAACGAGTTGGTCAATTCCCAACTTTTAAAGCTAGAGTTTGAAGCTTAGGATCAATGTAATTTTTCTCTTAAATCTTATCAAATCAGCTTTTGTAGAGTGGGACGAAAAAGCTGTCTATTCGCGGTGAGTCGAGAGGACCAACATTGTCTATAGGAAGCCGGCGAAGCGTATCAGTAATCATTTGGCGCGTCAACGCGGTGTCGCACGTGTCTCCGCACCTCGCTAATGGAATGTCGAAGGACGGAGCGGAGTTTTCGTGTAAAGGGAAAACTCTCTCCGCGCTGGCCATGATTCCGCCGCGTTTATCAAGAGCCAAGATACAGGATTATTAAACGATGGCTAGGTAAATTCATGTATCGTGGCTCTTCCAGGACGCGCACGCCTGACTGCTGGCCGAGAAGAAAAAAAGGAAAAATAAATATGCATTGTGCAACCCACTTAGAGCGCGCGATCGAGATGAGCTGATCGGGTCGTCCGCTTAATTAGACCGGGCTATCTTGTCGAAGGACAATCTCTCTGTTTCTTTTTTTCGATCCGCTGATCAATAATCGATCGTACCCGCGACGAATTCTTCTTCGTGAACGTCGAGGTCACCGGCTCTTCAAGTCTCAAGTCTCTCGAAGGAATCGCTCACACGTTCTTCAAGTTCTGATTCTTTTTCAGTCCTCTCTTTTTTTTCTACTTTCTACCTACACTCGCCGATCTTCATCCACTCTCGAACACGCTTGTAAGATTTTTTTCTACTTTATCACAGATGTTTTATTCTCGATTTTTGTTTTATTACGCCCTGTCTATGCTTACAGCTCACTCGGTAACATTCGATCAGGGATTCTCGTCTCGTGTTCCCTATATTGTTATTATTTCGCAATGCTGATGCGCAAATTACGCTCTCGATATATATTTCCCGTGTTGATCTTACTCTCCCTATATCCCTTGTATAGCCAACACGTGTTATAATCACAGCTCTCGGTCTCGCCGTTACGCGCAAGAAGACACGATCACACGCTAAGGCCTGCCTTAGTACAAAAATATACATTCGCTTCTTAAAAAATAGATCTTAGCATTCTGTACTGGCTAGCGTTCGTTTGATATTTTACAGTATTTTGATTCTTGGCAGGCTGCTTTAAAGGGTTTAAGTTTATAATAATCGGTTACGAGAACGTCGCCGTCGAGTGAGCTCTCTCAGGGCTTATTCCGATCTAAAACGCTAGCTTGTGCACCATCCCTTTTATTTTTGTTTTTTTTTTTTTGCTTTTGCGACGCGCATATTCATAAATATTCGCGAACGACTTCAAAGTAACTTCGACAAGGCCGAGATAGATGGAAAGCAACCTCGGAAAGTAAAGCAAGGCGTTTCAAAAACGCGAGAAATTGAAGAAAAATTCATGTTCAACAACGGAACGTATCTCTTTGTTTTTTCTGCAAAAAACCTGCGTGCCTTCCATCCCTCGCCCTTTAATTATTTTTATGAATATGGTGTCGACTATTCTTGCGCGGCAACGTGCAGCTCGCTTGACTTGTGTTGTAATATACACCTCTTTCGGCAGGTTCAGTCTTATACTTGTGGTTTTGTCGTGTTATTACACGAACACGTGGTTATTTAGTTGCGTTGTGCCCACATCAAACGGCTGCACGATTGCCTTCTACTAGATATTTACTTAGTACAGAGGACTCGTACAGAGATGGTACTATCATATCACTTGATTTGTTTCTACGATTCGCGGATATATCCATTATTACATTCAAAAACGCGTATCATCTCGCATTCTCGGTTAATTTTTCTCGTTCTTTCTCTATTCGCACGCTATTAAACTTGCTCTCGCGCAATTTGTCACATGGCTATTTTTCACACTTACATAATTATTCTCGTGTTCGTTAATTTTCTCTCTCTCTCTCTCTCTCGCTCATTTATCACATTCATACGCTGGATACCGCATCCCCGAATATAGTTTTTCTTCTTCACGCGAAATTTTCGTTCGTTTAAAAGAAAAACAAGAATAAACGTAAAATTACATTCATAAAGTTTTCGTCCTATCCCGTATTATAGTATCGACGATCAGCGAACGATTTGTTAGTAGATACGTCCGCGTATCGTACATAGTTAATAACTACGATTCTTGTGTGAGAAAACCCTTATTTGGAAATTTCTCTCGTTTCGCGTTAGATTTTCCCTCTCTATTTTTCTCCGATGTAAAAATATACACGCGCGGAATACGAAATGAAAGGGCACTTGCACGAGCGTGATATACCTCAAGTTCGTAGCCGTTGTCCTAACGAATGTGTGTATATATGTATTATATGTTAGTATACGCACTTTCGCGAGGACGCAACAGTTATTAAGGTGGTTTATCTCTCTATGGTGGATGTCGCGTGACAGATTTTCTCAATAAATTTACCCTTACCGCGACTCAGGTACATATTAAGGCCCATTCATCTTGTATAACAGCTGATCGTACGTCGAAAAGAAACTTTTTTTCTCTCCTATCCATCGTACATTTGTTTCTCATCTCTTTGCTCCTCTTGTGTTTCTCACTTTTCCTATTTTCTCGTTTTCTCTTCGTGTATTCTTCCGCGCGTGATTCCGCGTTATTCGCGCGTGTATCCAGTGTCTCGAACGCATGGAGATGTATGTACAGAAACCACATATAAAAAGAACACAATATTACACGTGACTACAAGTTACGATACACGACAATGTAATATAATTATACAAGGTTTCGAAAAAAAAAAAGTAAATAATCTCTCGGAATAGTAAACTGTGTATATACGGTTGCATTTTGGTATCTTATCTTTGTTACAGATCGCTCTATCTTTCTCTTTCACTCTCTCGCTCTCTTTTGTAAACACACTCTCAAAAAATCGTCACCGTTAATTGTACGACAGAAATAGATGCGCACTGCGTCCGGATGTTGACGTGTTTAAAGTTCGACAGATAATACAGTTATACATACATATACATACATAATATACGATTAGCGACTAATACCTTCGATTTTACAGATACACACTTATATTCGTGTGTTAGTCATCAGCGGTCGCTAAGAGCACGGTGAGTATAGACGATTATATATATTATATTTTTTAAGTATTATACTCACATTCGACTTACTACTCGTTATCACCTGTCGAAAGCTATACATGAACAGGTTGTATCTCGAGTGATTTTATTTTTTTTTCTCTCATTTCATTCTTTCGCCCGCGCTTGTATCACGTACTTTACATCGAGCCGACTTTCTTTCGGTGCGCATACGTTAACATTTGTACAAAAGCGTCCGATTGGTCTTGGTATTAAAAATAACCTCGGATCGCTATATCGATACTTCGCGCTTTTTTTGTCTTTTGCTCTTTTTGTTTCTCGAGCGCGATTTATACTCTTTTATACTCATGTGTGCGCCGCTTATTTAATGAACTCTTCGCGAAGTTTTACTAAAAGTTTGACTTTCGCACGTCATGCTCTTGGCGCTCGCTATCATCTAACTTCCCAGAAAATTGGAAAAATATGTTGTTGAACGCGCGTTTTTTTTTACTTACATACGTTTGGAATTTTGTTATTCTTTCCAGTGGAAGATCATAAGATCCGAACCTCTTCCTTTCTCTCTTCGATGTGCTGTAGTTTTTTCTTTTTACGTTGAATAAGCGTCTTTCGCCGTATTCTTCAGTCTCAGCTCTGCTAAGCTTTGTAGATCTCTTTTAAAGATTCTTCGCGTGTTGCAATCTTGTTCTTCAGCCATGTCGTTTTAAAATGCACAGCTCTCTTTGACCAGAATAGTATTGTAATTATATAAAATGTATTCTGGTTCCCTTTTCAATATCAATTTTATAGGCGATAAGGGCAATTATTTATCGTTCTTAATGCCTTAATAAATATATATACGCATAATCTTTTCCTAGCATCACTTTGTCAACAACAAAACACGACTCATATAGTTTTCCATAAGAAGAAAGTTACAATGCATATAAATCACCGAAAAGATCGTCTCTTTTAGTTGAAGAGATCGTCTCATTGTTTGCAAATGTGTTGTAATTTGCATTTGAATATATCAACAAGTCAAAATAGATCTAGTTGACTATAGTTTATCACACTGATATATGAATCGACAGAAATATCGTAAACGAGAAGATTATATGTGCGTTTATCTCTCTATATCTCTCTCATTGTACCCAATAGGATTCTCAACTCGGCGAAACGATTATGCCGTTGATGAGATTTCGAACTTATATACGCTGTTCGATGTTTCATCCAAAATTTCTCGTTAAACAAAAACAAAATTTTTATAGAATAAAAGATGAAATTTGATAACGTTACTTCTGAGAATGCTGGTGGTCCGGAAATGATGTTGGGTAATCATACTGAGTAGAAATTTTCCTTGGCTTCTATCAAAAATTACTTTTGATCGCTAAGAACCAATGGCATAATCACTTCTCTGCTGTCGCCTTTGAAAGGATCCAATATCACCATCGGTAGATCTGAATCGCTCAACGGCATCCAATGTAGACCCATTATGTCTCGGATTTCCTATATAAATAAATTAATAAATATATTTAATAATATGTTAAGAAATAGAATATTTTAAGATTCTCTACCTCGGCTTCGTGATCATTATTTTCTTAATTGTACAGAGTGAATCATCAGAAAATAAATTTTGCTTTAAATAAATAGTTTAATATAAAACTTTCATTTTACATTAAGATCGTTTGTACTCACGTGTGTGATACTTTCAGCTTTGTGCCACGATTCATTTTCAGATGTGATATCACTTTTCGCAAATACCAGCAATTTAAGAGTATTGCCTCTGAGACGTGCAATGGCCAACAAATTCTCTTGATAGTATTTATGGCCTAGGAACACCACCTTTGTAAGCTTCGTACATTTCCATGCCACCAATACCAAAGGATCTGGACTGTATTAAATAATCATGTATATATTATCATAGTTTTAACTGAAGAAAACACAATTAAGCGCAAAAATATTTTTTACCTATTTGGATCGTTTGGATCAAATGTAGCTGGCATCTGTTGCGCGCGATCTATCGAGTCTATCCATGTCAATGATCTCAGTGTATGCGAATACCACATTGATAATCGAAGCAATGCTCTGTTATTAACGTTTTCACAGAACAATACTTTTAAATGCGTCAATGGCATAGCGGGACATAATATATCGGTGTGTAAAACCTTAACGCCAGCATAAGAGTGTATAAGATTAAGCCTTAATTCACATTGTGGACTGCAAATAAAAAAAATATTTTTTTGCTGATATTATTCTTATTGAGACCAAGATAATTCTAGTTTAACATAACTAGTGCAATAATGATTGTGTAACTTACTTTTTTTGACTAAACATTTGCCAAGCCATATTTGTTGTTCCCGGATAATCGTTTTTCCAGCCATGTACATGAATCACAAATCTTTGCATACACCCATTGTCTAACGCTTTTAATAAAGTATCATTGACAAACTCGTAATCCAGAGTCAAGACAGATAATCTGATAAACGAATTAAAAATAGTGTTATCAAGCTCGAAAAAATCATAATAATCAGGGTCGTCCTTAACAGATGCCAGACTGAGATGCGTTAGATGTTTGGCATGATGAAGACGAAGAGGTTCCAAAATTATAAACATATTCACTATCAACTCTTCTGTGCATCCTAGACTTAGGGCCTCCAGATAATTAGAAGTTTCAATAATATTTGCCACAGATTCTATTAATGTGGAACGATAGCAGTTACTGAAAGATATATAATACAAGTTTATCACATGTAGTGTAAAAATTTATATAGTTTATATACTGGATAAGATTAACCAATTTGATACCTGTCATCCTCATTGTCAAAAGAAAAATCGTAGGCATTGCTATTAAATTCCAAAAACAATTTTCTCAATTGTTTATTATGACTTAATTGTTTCATGAGCTTGTATGTTTCACCTACATAATCAATGTATCTGGGTTTATCCCAACGAATCGTAGCTTCGTGCACACTCAAAGCAAAATAATTTGCCAAAGATCTATAATAAAATATATCATGTATTGTGCAACTTTTAATAAATTTGTACCTTATAATGAATATAAACAATATATCCTTAATTTTACATACCGAGACCATAAAACGCTGTCTTCGTCTCTGAACACAAAAGTGATTTTTTTCCAGAAACTTGGATGGAACAGAGTGTACCTCCAATTTCTGCACACCTGTTAAAATTGAATAACAAGTCTATTGAACAAATCTTGGATGAATTAAGTATAATAATTATATATAAATAATAATTAATACATGTTATTATCAAATAATGATGTATAAAAATTATAATAGAAATTTTAATATATTCATGATTATATTAATTAATATAAGTGACATTGACATATATAAAATACAATAATGATTTTTATACTGTACAGTTTAAATCATTTTTATTATATTAAGGTGTATAAAATATAAAATTTATATATTTTTTATAATACATTAAACAGGTAATTTTTGGTACTATATACATAAATAAAATAAAATGTGCTATTTATAATAATAAAGTTTGTCATAAATAATGGTTGATATTTCAAACCAACACACACATACACACACAAAGGTTTGTAATATCAAACTTCTAACCATGCAAATGATATGTAATGTCAAAGAGATAGGATATCTTCTCATTAGTATGTACATTCCACCGTACATAAGAAACGTTCTCGTGATTGTCACACGACGACTTTTATCGGCTATACAATGTCAGATCAGTTTACAGCGCAAACGATCGCGACTCTGAAAGAGCGAGGGAAAGGAAAACACACAAGAGGATTTCTCCTTCTCTCTCGCTTTCTTTGTCACTCTTTCATATATATATATAGATATATATCTCACTTACCTGAGAGGCTCTTATTCTGGTCTCGTGCGACAGATACGAGAAAATTTCCTGCAGGATAACGCTGGGCAGGTTGTTCCAGGATGGGCCGTGGTCCTCCATTTCTGTCACACGACTCGCAGGCTTGTAGGACGAACAGCTGTTCAGCAAAGACAGCTGCCCCTCGGACTTTCTCGACGTCGGCTCCTCTTCCTCTTCCTCCTCTTCCCTCGTCACGTCACCGCTGTTCACCGCTGCTGCTGCTGCTGCCGACGTCGACGTCGTCGTCGTCGCCGCGACGGTGCCGCTGAATCTTTCCAATCGCACATCGAACGTCCCCTCGCAGGCGCGCATCATGTTCAACCAGACGAACGGTCCGAATCGCGACCCATCCGCTACTACGTCGTTCGACCCGTTGCCGACTGCGACCGCGCCGAGATTTACAGCCGAGACGGGCATATGTACACGACACGGAGTGTATTCTACAGCGCACCCCGATGTGTGTATATAATGTATGTATACACACCGAGCCTCTCCCAACGCGGACTCGCTCACTTTCGCGCTCCAACTGTCCCGTCCTGTCGTGTCGGCCTATCTATCCTCAAAAATGTCAGACGCAACGCACGTTTCGAAGGAGAAATGGAGGGGATACGCTGGCGCGACGCACACTGTCAAACGTCAGTTGTCGTCCGTGTGCCTCGACACTTCGGTGAGCTTCGGCGAGCTTCGGGCGACTTCGGGATGGAGGAGGATAGATATGTCATATATGTCATCGTCTTTCCTACTCTCTCCGGTTAAACAGCTGATTTCTGAAGGTTGAAGAGCGAAGATTAACTAGGATTTTTAATTAAGAGAAACTCTCAATTTTTTTGTTTAACAAGTTATCGCAAAGTGTCAGAAATAAAAAATATCTGAAATGTAAGCTTTGGCCCTGCGTGAGAAAGAAATAAAAGTATAATGTATTTTAATACAGTCAAGCGAATGCAATTTACGTGCGATAAAATACACTATATTATAATACTCTCGAAAAATTGTCAAAGTTATTAAAAATATCTTTCGACAACCAACAAAATAAGATAAGAAAGCTCTAATAATAAGAAAAAAACTAACAACAAAAAGCAAATTTATTATGTTTTTCTAATACTTCAAAATGTTACTGCATTAATTAATGGTTATATTTATTGACATATACTCCTTTTTATTTGCAATAATTTTGTATACATAAAATATAATCTCTTTTATTATTAAATATATATCTTATTTGCATGATTACGTTTAAAGATAACTTTATACTCAGAAAATTCTCTAGGGTTTATCTGCATCGGATTTAATTCCACACTTCAAATGGATATCGTGTTTGCATCGAAGCGATCGAATATAATAAATAATCGATAACTCTAACAATACATCTTATCTATATATATATAATCACCTCGTGAATGATTATAACGAGCCACACACACACAGCGAAGCTATCATAAATTACACCCTATAATAATTACGCAAGTACAAAAAATAAGTTTCCAGGAAAAATAAGATACATAAATGTAAAAAAAAAATATTCATATATATACATAAATAAATTTAAATGCATGCAGATTTATTTACGAGATACAAATATACATCAATTATCGTGATAACGTGGACAAAACAAGTAGACGACGATGCAACCACGTGTTATCGTGACATATTCTTGCAGTGATACGATGCACACTAGACTTTATTTTACAAATTATTTCGACAGAAATATGTCGTTCCCGCACGGTGCAGCGCGCGAAGCGACACGGAACTGTCATCCGGCTCGCGCGCGGAAACAGCTGTTGTGCGGCGGAGAAGCGTGACGTGACGTGACGTCTAGTTTTACACGCCGGGCGGACAAGAATGGAGAGCGCGCCGAGGTGTCGCGTCGTCACGTCGTAAAGTCGAGGCAATCATCGTCGCCGTCGTCGTCGTTTCGATGACACGGCGCGATGACGCGGTCTGGGATCCTGAAGATGAGATTTTTCATATTCCTGCTGATCTTCCTGCTGGCGCAGAATGTAATCTGCGACGGGGGTCTTCGGGAGACGAAAGACGCCACGGCCGAGGGAGACAAGAGGGTCGCGAACGAGGAGAAAATGAAGAGGGTCGACGAGTCGTCCGCGGGAAATCGTCAACGAAATCCCGGAGCGTCGTCCGCTGACGCGAAGAAGCAGGCGAGTGACGGCAACAAGACGCACGACAATATAACCTCGAAGTCGCCGCCAGACGTCATCGCGAATAATAAAACGCACATCGCGGACAACGAGGTTCGTATCAGAGATAAGGACTGCTTAGAAGTGATGCAAGAACATATTCTTTGTCTCACGGATGGAGCTTCGATGTTTAGCTCTGATTATCAGGCTTGAGTATTTATCCGTGAACTGTATATAATGTAAACAATGTAAACTATGTAATATATATGTCATTTATATTAATAATGAGTAATTCTGTTTCGTTTTTTATATTGCGTTCTTTAAACAATTTCTCAATTTTGTATATTAATATTTATCTTATAAATATCTTCTTAATTGATACTAAAATTATATACAGAGATGTATTAAATATATTGTATAACATTAAATATTATAACATTAGATTTAATATATCTCTGTATATAATTTTACCATCAATTAAAAAGGTATTTATAGGATAGATATTAATGTTAAAATTTGAGAAACATGTTTAAAGCACGCAATATAAAAAACGAAACAGAATTACTCATTATTGACATAAATGACATATAATAATGTTTAATCATTTAATTTATATATATAACTCTTATATAGTTTACAATGTCCACAAAAAATCCATGTACCATGTATACGATATCTAAACAATTTATGTAGATGTAATTTTGAAATCTACAACCCTGCTAATTACAACTTGATATTATATTTTGGGAGCAGCAGTCCGGTGAGGATCATGGGACCTTCAACACTGGTGCTCTCGTACGCGGTTTCTTAGTCTTTGGGGGACTAAGCATACTTGTCATGGCCTACATCGTGTTCCGTAGTTTTAGGTAAGGATGTACAATGGATTTGAGAATGATACATTAATGAAATCTCTGTTACTCGATAGTTTAAATAACTCTTGTTTTATTGGCAGGTTAAGTAAAACGCGAGCCCAGTTGGTTCGAAAGTACGGTGTCCTCACGCACAGGCAGGATGTCGAGATGCGACCGTTGCCGTTGGAGGAGGAAGACGACGAAGATACAACCGTTTTCGATGCGAGTAACGTCATGACGACCAACGTTCAGCATCAAAACGCGTAAAAGTTGTCGCGTAGGGAAATACACCGTTGTGCTATTATATATACATCATCCGTGTAATACTGCTCTCGACATCACGCAACAATCTTAACTCAATCGTGATTTGTTGAGGTAGATACGCGACAGAAAAACTATGAGAGTTCGGAGACAGATTTAAGACATTTTTTAGCATTTTGAATAAAGTAATTTGCTTTGTGCAGCGAGATAATTATCAAATACGCATCTGTGATGCATTTATCACATAACATATTATGCTTATTCAGCAATAGATGTACTTTTCCTAAAAAGAAACAAGATAAATCCAAAATATTTCTACCAATACTCTCCACCCTATTATAATATCGCTATGTGATAATGTAAAATTTTAGATATGTATCATCTGCGAGCTAACGAAACGGTTAATGGGTGGCTATATCTCTACTCTTATACAGATTATATTTTAATTAATCTACGTTGTTATATAATTAAAATTATACAAATACAGATTGTCTCTATTTTCTTTAATACTACACATTAATAAAAATTATGTACAAAACCTTATTTCAAATATGTGTATTTATTTGGAGATACATCTATTGAAAAGAACATGAATATATGTCAAGGTAAAGTTAAACAAATTGACTAAATATTTTCCTAATAACACATATTTTAAATAATCAGTAACAAATTATTACTACATCATTAGATTATTATTATTCTTAACGAAATAAAATTTAATAATACTTTCCAAAATATGTCATTATTTTATTAAAACGATTTATATATATGTTTCATAATTCATTCTGCAAAAATTCCTCTAAAGACAACTCTTATATTTATCATATATATCCATTCTCAACAGCATGAACTATTACATCTGCCAATCTTTGCCTTCCAGTTGAAGTTTTAATATTAGACAATGCCCATACATCAGAAATATCCACCGCATCATTAGTTTTAATAATAGCATCTAAATCGAACGCTTGAGATGGATCCAATAAGCAAAATGGAATTGCTTCAAGTGCGAATACTAACCCAACACTAAAGTATTCCTTCACCTGCAATTTATATCGATATTAATATATTGATTTCTTTTTACTTAAATTTTTATGAACAAAATACACATTTTACCTCTTTCATAAATAAATCCCACGGATAAATTTTTTCTGGATCAGATCCAAGAGATTTAATAGCATTGCTTATTTCCGAATGATAAGTTTTCAATATATCATCGAAATATTGATCACGAAATGACTTTAGAGTGCACGAATAAATTAAGAACGATAAGTCGGCAATAGGACTAGCGCAACGTGCAAGCTGAAAATCAAGCATTAAGGCTTCCTTTTGATTTTGCCCAATATCTCTGACGAGAAAGTTTGGAGCCCAACAATCACCCCCAGATATAGCGGATGTAGGGGAGTCTCTTCTCTCACAGAGTTTTGTACACTTATGATATAATTCACCAAATTCATAGGAATTGAATTGTTTTTCAGCTTTACTGTTTGGATATTCGGTAGTTAAAGCATGTTTAGCTATATCCACTAGCTGTTTCTATAACAAAAATATTTTAATAATAATTAAATTACATTATATAATAATAATTATATTAAAATATACAATGTAATATTTACATGAAATCTTTTGTACCAATTCCAGTTATGATTACCAAAATAGGTTTCAGTTAAATTACTTGCAAGTTTTATAAATTCTTCTTTCTTCTGATCTCTATATGCAAATGAGATTGCATGAAATTTTGCTAAGGTTTTTAAAATCACTGTACACTCCTCCCAATCCATGCAGTTTTGTCGGGATGCAGGTCCAAATCCTAGGGGAGAGACATCCTCCAAGACAATAAAATCATTTTCTCCATCTGTGTAAGAAACCAAGTGACGTGGAATGCACAATAGATTGCTTTGTCCTTTATCTGCTAGGAATTTTTCAAATTTTGGGACAATCTGTAAAGTTATAATTGTTCAAGATTAAAATGTTTTTTCATCATTATAGTTAGTGCTATATTATTTAATAATACATATATATATACTTACCAGTGTATAAAATAAGATTTCATTACGGAAAAATTCTGCACTTCTAAAAGTCTTTCTTCTACCAATGTTCTTTGGAATGGATTTCACGACAAAATTAATTTGCACATGTTGCTGAGGGTTCTGATCTATAATACCATATAATTTACCCTTATTGACTGTTGACATATAACTGTCACCTTTGGCAAATCCTTCTCCAAAATCCCAATCTATCAGTTGCACTTTTTTCCATTATAAACTTTACAGAGAATGTCCGTCAGCACTTCTTCAGTAAACTTGTCACTCACTTCATTCAAACTGATACGATTTTTATTTTGACTCATGATTTCTTCAAATACTTTCATAAAAACATATATTTAATATTAAAAAAACTTTTATATAATACTTTTAAAAATACTGATATTTTTAGAATTTAATATATTTATGTTACAAAGATCTTTTAAATAACATTATTTATATTAATGAATTCACTTATTATAATTTATTTTTGCAAACAAGCACCATTTAGCATCATTAACTTAATGGATATAACTGAGAAAATAAAGACTGATGTGGTTTATATAATTGTTATCTCGTTGAACATGATTTAATTCTCATTTGTACTTGTGATAAGCGATAAAGTATACTATATCTATAAGTTAGTATCATTTATCATTTGTAGGAATTTTTTTGCAAATCTTCATATACTTAGCACATTTGACGTTAAAAATATTCACAGTTATCTATCCATTGAATAAGATTTCTTTTTGCCAAGAAAAAAACACCTATCTTATTAATTGTTTTTATATAAATGCATATCTGTGATTACTACAAAAAAAGAATACAATTTTAAAACAATCCTCACGCATGCACTCGCTAAGTAATACTCTTGAGAGTGGAATTTTCCACAATCAACTCAAACACTTATCGAGAACTATTATCCATATATACATATGGAGGAGGGAGGATAAAATAATAAATTGAAGGTCTTGTGATCCCTCCTCCTGTCAAATGACTAATGCGCACATGTTTTAGTTTTTATACATAGCGTCATCTGACATAAAAACATAATCTTTCGTATTAGATGTTTATAATAAACATAAAGCTAAAAATGTTATGTAATATATCTAAAAATATGAATATGTGCAAAAGTATATGCTTTGCTATACAAAAAAAATGGAAAAGAATCTTCGATATAAAATCTGAATAGGAGAAAACAAGATTAATTTAGTATCATATTGTACAGAAGATTAATGATAAAGCGCGACATTTATTTCTTTATGATGTCTAAAATATGTTTTTAAATTATAATTATATATATTATAATTATATTTACAATATATATATACATATATATATATATATATATATATATTATAATATATATTATAATTTAAAATTTATTGATAAATGTATAAATATTCATACAATTTTTCATTTAAGATTATAACTTTTTCATTAAAAAGTATAATATTTAATTTGTAAAAATTAAGTAGCATTTTTGATCTAATAAGAGTTATATTTCTTACATGTGTCCTTTAATATGTTCGAAAATTTATCTGAGTTAACAGGAGAATATATCTTGCGAAGAGGTAAGTAGGTAGTATCACGGCAAAATGTCTAAAATATGTCCGAAAAATTATTTGAGTTAACAGGATAACATATACTGCAAAGAGGTCGCTATTAGGAGAATATATTTACGAAGAGGTTAAGTCGGTATAATGATGTCGGTAATTACCGACGGTGATGGTAACTTACCAACGTTGATAATTTACCGACCGTCATTTTCGAAATCGAAATTCCTCTTCGTAAATATATTCTCCTAATAGCGACCTCTTCGCAAATATATTTTCCTAATAACCACCTCTTCGCAGTATATGTTATCCTGTTAACTCAAATAAATTTTCGAACATATTTTAGACGTATTTTGCCGTATTACTACCTACTTACCTCTTCGCAAAATATATTCTCCTGTTAACTCAGATAAATTTTCGAACATATTAAAGGACACATGTAAGAAATATAACCTCTTTTATTAGATCAAAAAATGCTACTTAATTTTTACGAATTAAATATGATAGATGTTTTTTTAAATGATTTTTCGAGCGTAAATTAATATACACATAGTTAGATACATTTTAAATATTATTATATTAAATTATTATTATAATAAATTAAATAATAATTAATTATTATTATATTAATCATTATTAATTATTATATTAAATTATTATTATAATAAATTAATAAATAATAAAAAATTATTATTATATTAATTACTAATTACTATATTAAATTATTATTGTAATAAATTAAATAATAATAATTATTATTAATCATTATATTAAATTATTATTTTAATTATTATTATTATATATATTATCTCTTAAAAATTCTTAGAAAAATAAATTTTTGTTTCTTTTGTGTTCTCCAAAACTATCATTATTTTTCATTTCACGATCCGCCACCTGATGAGAGAATGACATCAAATCATAAATAAATCTAGAAAATATATTATAAACTATACTGATATTAAAAATTTTAAGAAAAATGGCAAATAGACGATGAAATTATTTAATTTCAAATATACTTTACAGATGTAATTAGAAAATATATAATTAATAAAATTAAAATTTATTATATGGTATAATTATAAAAAAGTCTAAGAAATATATAACAAAATAATAATTCTTCTCATTAAGAAAAGATTTTTCTCATACTATAACTTCAGATGAGTCAACAAAAATTTATTGATAAAATTTATCCATTAAAATATATCATAATTACTAGCTGTTTCTATAATAATAGCATTATATAATACAATTTTCATCAAGTTTAAAACAGATAAAGGAAATATATGATATAAAACATGTTCCAAAGAAAATATATCAATAAGTGAATTAATTTTTCAGAAACCTTTTTCGAAATTTTTATACATAGAATAAGTTCTTATTACTTTTAATAAAAGTATAGAAAATCAAAATTAGATAATACTTTTATTATACTGATAAATACTATGTATCCGTTTAATTTTATATAAAATATATCATATATATCCTTTTTCAACAGCATGAACTATTAAATCTGCCAATCTTTGTCTTCCAGTTGATGTTTTAATATAAGATACTGTCCATACTTCAGAAATATCCACTGCATCATTGGTTTTAATATCTAAATTGAATGCTTCAGATGGATCTAATAAACAAAGTGGAATTGATTCAAGTGCGAATACAAATCCAATAATAAAATATTCCTTCACCTGCAATTTATATCGATTAATATATCACTTTTTTTCTTTTTTTATTTAAAATTTTAATATTAATTTAATAAAATAGATATTTCACCTCTTTCATAAATAAATCCCATGGATAAATTTTTTCTGGATCAGATCCAAGGGATTTAATAGCATTGCTCAATTCGGAATGATAAACTTTCAATATATCATCGAAATACTGATCTCGAAAAGACTTTAGAGTACACGAATAAACTAAGAATGATAAATCCGAAATAGGACTAATGCAGCGTGCAAGTTGAAAATCAAGCATCAACGCTTCCTTTTGGTTTTGTCCAATGTCTCGGACCAGAAAGTTTGGAGCCCAACAATCACCTGCAGTTATAACGGATGTAGAGGTGTCTCTTTTCTCACAAAGTTTTGAACACTTATGATATAATTCACCAGCTTCATAGGAATGGAATTGTTTTTCAGCTTTGCTGTTTGGATATTCGACAGCTAATGCATGTTTAGCTATATCTAGGCACTTTTTCTATAAAAAAATACTTTAATAATAATTAAATTATTTAATAATAATAATTGCATTAAAATATTCAATGTAATATTAACTTACATAAAATGTTTGGTACCAACAGTTCCAAATATGATTACTGAAGAAGGTTTCGGTTAAATAACTTGCAAATTTTATAAATTCTTCCTTCTTTTGGTCTCTATATGCAAACGATATTGCATGAAATTTTGCTAACGTTTTTAAAATCACTGTACATTCCTCCCAATCCATGCAATTTTGTCTGGATGCAGGTCCAAATCCTAGGGGAGAGACATCCTCCAAGACAATAAAATCATTTTCTCCATCTGTGTAAGAAACCAAGTAACGTGGAATGCACAATAGATTGCTTTGTCCTTTATCTGCTAAGAATTTTTCAAATTTTGGGATGATCTGTAAAGTTATAATTGTTTAGATTAAAATATCATTAATTGCATATATATAGTTAAAGAGCTATATTATTCAACTGTATATATATATTACTATTATATAAAAGAAAAGAATGTGAGTTATATATTCTTGCCTCTGTATAAAATAAGATTTCATTATGGAAAAATTCTGCACATCTAAAAGTCTTTCTTCTACCGACGTTTTTTGGAATAGACTTCACGACAAAATTAACTTGCACATGTTGCTGTGGGTCCTCATGTATAATACCATATAATTTACCCTTATTGACTGTGGATATATAATTGTCACCTTTGGCAAATCCTTCTCCAAAATCCCAGTCTGTCAGCTGCACTTTTTTTCCATTATAAACTTTATAGAGAATGTCTGTCAACACCTCTTCTGTAAACTTGTCACTTACTTCATTCAAACTGATACGATTTTTATTTTGACTCATGCTTTTTTAAAGTATTTTTATTAAAAAATAAATCTATGTAATATAAAACGTATATAATACTTTTAATACTAATTTTTTAAATGTAATATATATTTATGCTAGATATTAAAAATTTTTAAATAATGTATTTTATATTAATATAAATTTACTTATTATAATTTATATATTTGCGATAGAGATATCATTGAAGAAATTTAATGGACAACTGAGAGAGTCAAAATTGTTACGGTTTATATATCTGTTATTTTGATGAACAAGATTTAATTCTCGTTTGCACATGTGATAAGGTATCTTTAATTTATGAAGTCTTAATCATTTGCAGAAATTTAATTTTTTTGACAAACGTTGATAAAGCATATTTCACATTGAAAATATATATTTGCGTGCATCAGTTCTTTGCCGATTGAACAAATTTTTTTCTCTTTAAGAAGAAATGCTCATCTTATTAATAATTTTTCATATAAATGCATCTATGACATTGCAAAAAAAAAGAATACGTAATTTTCACAAACAATTCTTATGCATGCATATGCTAAGTAATACACTGTTGAGTGGAATTTTGCATTATGAACTTATTAGAAGTCTTTCGAGATGTCTCATCAAGAACTTTTATCCATACGCACATATGGAGAAGGAAGAATAAATTGGGACAAGTAATTGAAAGGCTATACGAATGTGTCTATCCCTTTTGTCATATCTCTATTAACATTCTCAAGTCTATACATATACGTATTTAGATATTTGTAACAATTTTGTGCAATTATAATTTGATAAATATATGTAAAATAACATCAAATCATAAATAAATTGTAGAAAATATATTATCGACTTTATCAGTATATTAAAAGCTTTATGAAAAATAGGTGATAAAATCTTATTTCTCATTTAATTTTCAAATAAACTTTACAGGTAAACAAAAAATTTATTATATATTATATGTAAGAAGAACATAACTATAAATTGGAAACATGATAAAAATAATAATTCTTCTCATTAAGAAAAGATAAACTGCAGAGACAATAAAAAATCTATTAGATACAAATTTATCCATTAAAATACTTTACATTACAAATACTATTTTCAAAATGACTGCATGTGTATATTATAATACAATTTTTATCAAATTTAAAATAAAAAAAAATATGATATAAAATAATTTCAAACAAAATATATTATGAATAAGTGAATTAATTCAGATTCTCAAAAGATTGTTTGGACATTTTTGTACATAGAAACTTGGTAAATTTGTATTATTTACACAATAAAATCAAGTAAAGAAAATCAAAATTAGATAATACCTTAATTATATTGATAAATACTCTCTATTTATCTCTGTAATTTTAAATAAAATTTAAAATATATCATATATATCCTTTTTCTACAGCATGAACTATCACATCTGCCAACCTTTGTCTTCCACTTGATGTTTTAATATTAGACACAGTCCATACATCAGCAATATCAACTATTTCATCATTCTTAATAATGGCATCTAAATCAAATGATTCAGATGGATCCAGTAGACAAAATGAAACTGATTCAAGAGCAAAAACTGTTCCAAACATAAAGTAATCCTTCACCTATAATTTATATCAATTAGTGTATCATTCTTTTTTTATTTAAAATTTTAATATTAATTTAATAAAATAGATATTTTACCTCTTTCATAAATAAATCCCATGGATAAACTTTTTCTGGATCAGATCCAAGGGATTTAATAGCATTGCTCAATTCGGAATGATAAACTTTCAATATATCATCGAAATACTGATCTCGAAATGACTTTAGAGTGCACGAATAAACTAAGAACGATAAATCCAAGATAGGACTAACACAACGCGTAAGTTGAAAATCAAGCATTAATGCTTCTTTTTATTTTGTCCGATGTCTCTAACAAGAAAATTTGGTGGCCAACAGTCACCCTCAGTTATAATAGACGTAGGAGCGTCCTTTTTCTCGCAGAATTGTGAGCATTTATGATACAGTTCACCAAATTCATAGGAATTGAATTGCTTTTCAGCTTTGCTGTTTGGATATTCTGTAGTTAACGCATGTTTAGCTATATCCACTAACCTTTTCTATATAAAAAAGAAACTGCTTTAATAATAATTAAATTATATAATTAACATATATATATATATATATATATATATATATACTATATAATGTATACTTACATGAAATCTTTTGTACCAATTCCAGTTATGATTACCAAAATAGGTTTCAGTTAAATTACTTGCAAGTTTTATAAATTCTTCCTTATTTTGGTCTCTATATGCAAACGATATTGCATGAAATTTCGCTAACGTTTTTAAAATCACTGTACATTCCTCCCAATCCATGCAGTTTTGTCTGGATGCAGGTCCAAAACCTAGGGGAGAGACATCCTCCAAAACAATAAAATCATTTTCTCCATCTGTGTAAGAAACCAAGTGACGTGGAATGCACAATAGATTGCTTTGTCCTTTATCTGCTAGGAATTTTTCAAATTTTGGGACAATCTGTAAAGTTATAATTGTTTAGATTAAAATATCATTAATTAAATATATAGTTAAAGCTATATTATTCAACAATATATATATATATTACTATTATATTATAAAAGAAAAAAATGTGTGTTATATATATATATTCTTACCTGTGTATAAAATGAGATTTCATTGCGGAAAAAATCTGCACTTCTAAAAGTCTTTCTTCTACCAATGTTCTTTGGAATGGATTTTACGACAAAATTAACTTGCACATGTTGCTGAGGATCCTCATTTATAATACCATATAATTTGCCTTTATTGACTGTAGACAAATAGCTGTCACCTTTGGCAAATCCTTCACCAAAATCCCAATCTGTCAGTTGTACATTTTTTCCATTATAAACTTTACAGAGAATGTCTGTCAGTACCTTTTCATTAAACTTGTCACTCACTTCATTCAAATTGATACGATTTTTATTTTCACTCATATTTTTTAAATGATTTTATAAAACTATATTTTGATATAAAATTTATATATATATATATATATTTTTTTTTTTTTTAGAAATACTAGTATTTTTGGTTTCAATATAATATTTATGTTATAAAGATTGCTAAAAAATTTATAAATTAATTTGCATTTATATTAATTTACTTATTATAATTTGTCTGCGATAAATATTTATCAGTAAATTAATAACTGAGACATTTGAGAAAATGACAATGAAATTATAAGCAAGATAAAATTGCTGTTGTTTATATAACTGTTATCTTATTGAATATGATGTAATTTACTGCACTTGTGATAAGACAATCTATAATTTACGATAAAATCTTTATCATTTGTTAAAATTTAATTTTTTTTTTTTTTGATAAACCTTGATATAGCACATTTCACGTTGAAAATATCGCTTATACTGATTCTATGTCGCTCGATTAAGATTTTTTCATGACAGGAAGAAAACACTTATCTTATTAATTATTTTTTTATCACATAAATGCATCTGTGACGGCAGCAAAAACACGTCATGTAATAGGTTATGTTTCCTATTATAGTAAACATAACCAAGAATTTATAATTTCAATAATGCTCTAAATAATTTTACAAGTTGATTTGATTCACAATTAAAAAAAAAAAATAAATAAAATATCGTTAATGAATTTGAAATAAAATATCAAAATAGAATATAAAAAGAAAGAAAATTGATAATAGAGGAAGAATAAATTCAAAACGAAGCTATTTTAATTATTGTTGTAACATTACATTACGAGAAAATGCCAATCCATCAGTAGAGAGAAGTAATTATATACATTTTAAATATTTGTGAATAATTTTTGTAATATATTTTATTTTTTATTTATTGTTTTTATTTGTTTATTAACAAATGTGTATAATAATCAATGTTTTTAAGCAAATTCAAGCATAAACCATTATTGTCAATTATCCTGGCTCTATATGTATCATATTTTTTATCTGATATGCTTGTTACGTTATTACATGCAGTGGCAAGGAGACATTTATTAAGTGGAATAAAATACAAAGACAATTTTCTGTTACTCATAATAATATCACTAAATATAAAGTATAAATGATATAACGAGATGATTTTATTATCAACATTTTTTTTATGGATGAAGGAATTGAACAAGCAATGGAAGAATCAGCTGCAGGCATCGCATATTTTACAATCCTGTTCATAATTAAATAGAAGTCAAAGGTATGTAGTTCCATAACTGCAAATAGCAGTCTTTAATTGCAGATTCAGCCCAGAAATCTCTTCTTTATGCAACGTGAAATGTACAAAATCATGACGTAGTTGTTGGTGATATTGTTATTATATCGCAGAGGAAGAATTTAATTTTAATATTTAGTTTCCTTATAAAAGAGATAAATTTAACATCTTGCGGATCTGGATGGCAGATTTTAAAACAATTGTAAAATATATATACTGATTGTAAAGCTGGATATTCCTTTGTGAGACTCAAAACTTGATTACTGTATTCTGTTATAAGTCAATTTCTACTCATATTTATTTTTACATGTAATTCTAAAGAGTTATAAATTTATTTTATTATATATCTTATGTTATATTTTAACAAGTAATTTTATATAAATTTATATCATATATATCCTTTTTCAAAAGCATGTACTATCACATCTGCTACTCTTTGTCTACCATTTGCTGTTGCAATATTTGATAAAGATACTGCTTCACTCAAATCTACTGCCTCGTTACCCTGAACAACAGTATTTATGTTGAATGATTCAGATGCATCCAGTAACATGATTGGAATAGCTTCAAGCGCAAGAATCACACCAAAAATAAATTGCTCCTTTACCTGAAATTAATATAAATATTAATTATCTTTATTTATTTTAAGAGAACAATTGTTCTAAAATGGATATTTTACCTCCTGCATAAATAAATTCAATGGATAAATTTTGTCTGGATCAGATCCAAGTAATTTAATAGCATTGCTCAATTCTGAATAATAAATTTTTAACGTATCATCAAAGTACTGATCACGAAATGACTTTACAGTGCAAGAATAAATCAAGAACGATAAATCCAAGATAGGACTGGCACAACGTGCAATTTGAAAGTCGAGTATTAATGCTTCCTTTTGATTTTCTCCAACATTCCGGATTAAAAAATTTGGAGCCCAACAATCACCCTCGATTACAATAGATGTAGGCGCGTATCTTCTGTCGCATAATTCTTTGCACTTATTGAAGAGAACACCGAATTCGTAAGAATTGTACTTTTTCTCAGCTTCACTATTGGGATATTCGGTAGCTATTGCATGTTTAATTACGTCTTGTAATTTTTTCTGGAAAAAAATTGTATATTCTTGAAAAAAAAAAAAAGGAAACTTTGATAAGACCTGAAAAAATTTCACTACTTTGCATTACTTACGTGCCAATTTTTGTACCAGTTCCAATGATTACTGCCATAGAAGGTTTCTTTTAAAGAATCTGTAATTTCTATGAATTCTTCTTTCCTTTGATCTTTGTACGCGAATGAAATTGCATGAAATTTAGCCAGGGTCTTCAAGATTGCTGTACATTCTGCCCAGTCTAAGCAATTTTGTCGCGATGCCGTAGAAAATCCTAAGCAAGAAACATCTTCCAAGACCAGAAAATCGTTTTCGTCATCCGTGAAAGAGCTTATGTGACGTGGTATACATAAGAAATCGCTCTGTCCCTTCTCTGCTAAAAAGTTTATAAATTTAGGGACAATCTGTGGAATAAATGAATAAATAAAATCTTTTTTTTTACAAGTAGATCAGATAAATTCTTTCAAATAAATAATGTATGTTTTTATATAAATTCAAGAAAAAAGAGAAAAGAAAATATCTATATATAGTCTTACTTCTGTATAAAAAGCAATTTCATTACGGAAAAACTCTGCGCATCTGAGAGTCTTTCTTGTGGCAGGATTTTTTGGCATTGACTTCACAATAATATTCACTTGCACTTGTTTCCTTGGATTATCATTGATGATACCATTTACTTTGCCCCTATAAATGTTTGACAAATAATTGTCGCCTTTAGCAGATCCCTCATTAAAATTCCAGTCTGTCAATTGCACTTCTTTCCTGTTACATGCCTCAAAAAGGATGTTTGTTAACACTTCTTCTGTAAACTTGCCGTTTATTTCATTCAAGTTGATGCATTCGTTGTTTTGATTCATAATTTTCAGTATTACAAATGGTTGTTGATGAGAAAGTTACTAATATATATTTATATATTGATAAAAATATTGAATATTTTAAAACGATGAACTAGCAACAATTAAGTGAGTATGGTTTAAACTAGTCTCAAGGAGAGAGAAGCGACAACTAGTCAATCAGCCAATCAGGAGTAAATGGATCAGTTGTCGCCTCTCTCTCCTCGAAGCTCTCTAGTTATATAACTTATCTTTGAAGCAGTATATGTTTTATCAGTGATAAAATATGTATGCTATTAGTCAGTAAATGAAAGATGTGCATTTGTAATATTTATCGTTTGTTGCAAATAAATATTTCGTTGATTTAGTGTACAATTTATCGAAATAAACTTTAGTTCTTTTATTTTATTAATTAGCCCTTCTAATCTTTATTAATAATTTGTTACTACTTTTATTTGATTAATTAAAATTATTTGTTGAATTTTTATCATCAAAATGTAAGTTTTTACAGAATAGCAATTAGAATTGCATTTTAATTGACTTTTTAAATTAAAAAATAAAAATTATGTTATAATCACATTCTCGTTGTTCAGCGTTTTACATACATATATAATATGAAATGGAGATGAAAAGAATGAAAGGAATAAAATTTAAAATAAAACAAAATTATAATATTATACATACGTGTTGACACGAGATTATATTTATATATTACAATATAAAATTTGTTTAGGAAACCTAAATTCGGAACCTTTTGCTTAGTATGTGTGGATTGGTATGTGTTCTAAAACACAGAGTAGTCTCATAAAATTTGTCTAAATGATGCTATGCAGATAAATTAATAATATCGCAAACAACAATCTGTAAAAACAATTTTAACTAAAAATTCATTTGTTATAAAAGTATAAAAACAATATTTTTAAAACAATATAGATACGTTTGATGCGCATAAACGACTGAAATTAACGTTCGAAATATAAGATAAACGTAAACTTTTTTTTTCGCAAAAAAGCTTTTATTTACATTTGTTCCGTTTCGTTTTAGCGCCTAGATAAATTTATAATTGCAATAAAATCCCACACAAATCGATCGCGCATTCATACTGATCACTTGTTGTGGAATGTTTCACATAATAAATACAACTTCTGAGATAAATTAAAATACAAGTCTTGTGTGCATTTACAACCGAGAGTTGTGATTTCGACGCGTCAAACGGAATCTAATCGGATTCCATTATAACAGTAGATTCGTTCACGACGAGCCCGTATACCTTATTTACAATGTCCATATGTAAACATATACACTGCGACCGCTTAAACCTATCGATATACGGAGTGAAAGGTAAAAAGTACTATTTTGTACCTTAGAATCTGAGAAATAAAGTAAAATGCTGGCCTGTGTGTGTATGTGTGACGTTAAATCGCACTTATGTCATCTATTCTACATCGGTAATAGTATTCTTTTATATCTTCCTTATTTCCTTTCGATTTATTAAATGTAAATCTGTTGACATTAGTCGCGACTCGTCTAACTCTCTCTTTCTCTCTCTTAATGACTAAACTTAACGTATAACCCGCAATTCTTAACCTAGTGTCTTAGCCGCTAACTAAATCGTACAATTGGACTGAGTGATAAATTATCATCGACTGTACAAACATCGCTTTCAGCTTGACACAATCACATCCTAATCTCGGAATACCTGAATGAGAATCGCAATTGTTTTCTCCAGTTGTGTTTGGACCTCGCGTGCAATTTTTCTTTTGTAAAAAATATACCTCCTGTTGGTCGCAAAGCTGATTTTATATCGAATTTACTTGAGAAGTTTCGTACAAAAAAATAATAATAAGTACCGCAAATTAATTAAAGGTGATTACTCAAAGAATTTCAACGTATATATGACTATGTAAAAGAATGAGCTTGTACGGTTGTTGTAAAAATTGTCAGGACAGTACAACGTTCAAACGTCAAAGTCTTTTCTAGTCACGCGATAGTGAATAATCATTATTACATTTGCTAAAACACATCATTAACATTGTAGCAATGTTAAGAAATCGATTTAAAATCACTTGTATTTTTTCCATTATCGTTCCACAGCCCATCTTCGGTACTAACAGTGAACGTAAAACCGAGAGAGAAGCGCGTTTCCCTAGATACTTCAGTGAGACACATTATTTCTTTATGTTTTTTTCTTCAATCACATGAATCTTAATAAGTACCAAGTGCCTAATATAAGATCAAGTTTCGATATACCCTGAACTACCCACATACAGGTAGAGGAACCCCAAACGAGTTCGCCGTATACTTTTACTCGCTTATCGAAGATCAAAATAAATATGTATAGAGGTATCGTACGGCAGAGGCTTGGCTCGGACGTCGATGCGAAGCGGGAGAGCGAGAATGGCAATTAGGTTGTCTATACACAGGACATATCTTACATAGAGTATGAGATAAAATTAGTTTTCGAGTTTAGACCGAAGTTTGCGAGGGCGACGATTCCCGCGATTCATGTCAATATATATATCCTATATATTTCATTGACGACGACCTCGTTCGTCTGCAACAAAAAAAAATCAAAATTACATCAGCGTCAAAAGGAGATACATAGAAGATCAAATAAATATAATTGAAGAAATGCATCAGATATAAAAATATGGTATATTTGTTATACCTACTATATCAACGAAAATCACGTTTTAGTCATCGCGTTGGCACAGCCTTTACGTGTTGTTGTAAAGCTGATGATGAGTTTGTTGATGCTGACTCGGATGCGAATGTTGCAGCGAGTGCTGATGATGGGGATGCTGATGTTGTACCGTCGAGTGCCTCGCGTTGTACCTGACGCTACCAGCGAGGGAGCTTCCTCTACCGTGAGTGCCGACTATGCTCTGCGTATCGGACAGCTCGTCTTCCTCTGCGCCAAGACTCCGGAACCTAACGAAGCCGTCCTCGGCGACTAGCATCGTCGAGCCGCTGGTCGGAGCTTGTTCATGTAGGCCTTGCACGGGCGTATGCCTGCCGCGAGTCTCGGAATTCCTTAGGGTCTGTATGCCATTACCATGACGACTCAAGGAACCTCGACCTTCGTGAGGGAAGTGTCCCATTGTGCCTGACTTGCGGATGGAATGTCTCTCGAAGGTACCTATATGCAACACATAAATGTTAATATTAATTAATACTATCTTAAATAATTGGTAAAATATCAGACGTAATGAGAACATTGGCTTTTAGATTAAAAAATAAAAAATAAACTATTTCATATCTGTAAAGAGATTCTCAGTAACAAATGTGTGATACACAGTTTTTCATATTACCTGATATGTTCAAATGCTCGGGCAGAGTGTTCAGTGGAAAACTGTCATCGTAAACCTGTTTTCCCGTTCTCATGGTATAATTCTGAATCGCTTGGTTGGTGCTACATATAGCAGGATAGAGCACATCATCCATATTCTCCGTGGACGTGGAACTGCCGCAGGGAAACAGTGCGAAACCCGAGTGCACCGAGTGTTGCTGCATTTGTTTCTCGCGCAGTGGATACTGAGACAGACTGGCGACCCAAGCCAGAAGACCGCAGACGCATAGCTCGAGCAGTCTGACCGAGAATTGCCAACCCCACCAGAGCCACGGATACGGTTGCGGACGTTCCTGGACGCCGAAGATGCCGTAGAGTTGCAAGAGACCCATGAGAATGAACAGCAGAGCGGTGGCGATGGTGGTGGTGATGGCAGTGCTAAGCGCCACCGTGGTAGGATCGGCGCCCATCATGTGATTCGCCCCGGCTGCCTTGTTGCTGGCCAGGTGGATTTGCGAGCGCACCACGCGATACACGTACATGTAACACAAGCCCAGCGTAACACAGACAACGATATAGATACATTGGCAGATGAGCGGCAAAATTCTCGCCTCGTCCTGATAGCCGAGCACATGCGTGGACACGTGAAGGGAGACGCACAGCACGATGTGCACTGTGGAGGAGAGTACGAGCGTGGTAGGCGACAGGATACTGTTGTTGAGCGAGGGCGCCTCCGAGCACCGAGCGAGGTATAGCATCAGAGTAGCGAAGGCCGTGGACAAGAGCGGCGCCGGCAGATACATTAGCACCCTGGACAATGGTTCAGGCAACGAATGACCGAGATTGTAAGCGTCATAGAAGAGGTGGAAACACCTCAGAGTGCAGACGGTAGTCAGCAGTAAGTGAACAGCCAAGAAATATGACTGCGTGAGCAGATTCGTAGCTTCGTTGAAGCGCACGATCTTGTAGATCGAGTACAGGGCCATGAGCGTGAACATAATCGCCGCGACGTACACGTGCAGCGACCAGGCGATCCGCCACGTGGATTCGAGCGGATGCGTGTCGACTTGCGGCACTAGATGCTCGTCATCGTCGTCGGAGTTAGTCGGTCGCTTCGACGTCGGCGCCGGGGGCTGCGCCTGCGGATACGGCAGCCTCTCCGTGTCCACTATCTCGATACTGTCCTCGTGTTCGTTTCTTAACCCGTGATGATAGCCGTCGTCGTCCTGCCGGCCGGTATTCGGTAGATTGAAGATGGTCGGCTGAGTGACGGCAATTCTCGAAGGATCCGCGGTGCTGCCGGGTGTGAAGGTGCTCGGTGCCGATGTAGTCTTGTCGGTCGTCGGGGCAGGCGGTATATTTGATAACGGGCTCTTCGTCGCTAACGGCTTCAACAATATATCGGGGATATCCTGCTTCCTGCCGTTGCTGCCGGACAAGATCCTCGAGATACTAGGGTAGTGAAGGGTCACGAACGAGGGATCATTGGTGCTGTTCCGTCGATCGGTTTCACCGGACTCCGGTCTCTGCTCCCCTCTACCGTCAGGCACATTCGTCGGCTTCCTCGAGTGGGCGTGATGTCTTTCCGGCACTTGGGAGGAAGGACTCTGAGGTAGATCCGGCGGTCGGATAGGTATTCGCTCGTGTGCCGGTGTCAGACTGGGCGGCGGTACGGGCCTCCTGTTACCGGTGTACACGTCCGAATTGGTTCCTCGTAACGTGGGCTTGTCGGCAAATGGATGTAGGTACTCTGGCGGCAAGGGTGGCGTGAAGAGTGCTCTGGAGGGCGGCGCGTACGACGGAAGATCTCGGAAGATGGGCGAAGCTGTGGCCCGTGGCACCGCCGGATACTTGACGGCGGGTACCGACGGGCTGGAGGTCGTACTGGTGGTCGTGCTGGTGGTCAATGGCGACGGTACCGTCGACAGGGTCGTACTGGCCGACACCTGGGCGTCGTACGCTGGCACGCTGCGTTTCGTGGTCGCGGAACTGTGCGCTACCTTGTTGAAGATCGCCGCCAGATTCTTCTCCAGAGCGGTGTGGTCCAGATTGAAGACTTGGCTGTTGGGTCCGCCGTCGCCGCTCGCCGAGCAGACAGTCAAGCAGGACTGTACGGCCATCAGGGCGAATAGAAGGAGCAGTCGCATTATCGGGGTCATAACGCGGATGATTGTGAATAATTAGATACCCTGTCTGGGCATCGGTTCATTCCATAACACCAGAGGCAATCTCGCCGTTTCGCGACAAGGACGAAGAGGAGAAAACTTGGAATCGATAAGGACACTTGTTAAAATGTGTCTCTATCAATGCCCTTTTCTTTTTCTCTCTCTTTCTCTCTTTCTACAATTCTTGTCTTCAAGAATACTGATTTCTTCTCGCGAAGAATTCTGTCACATCACATTCCTGAAGTCACCGGCCGTCTCTCAATCTTCTCTCACCGTGTCGTTCCCTTTGACCGCGACATCCGGTGCGTTTCCCTCCGATGTCGATGTCGATGTGTTGTATTTTATATCTTATAGCCTGGCAGTTTGCTTTTTCACGATTGATATCCTCTCTCTATCTGGATATATTCTCGATATTCGCGATGTACACGAAGAGGGTTTCGAACGGGAATGGGATGGGGTCAAGAGTATCTTCTCCGTAACTATTCGTATCTACATCTTTGAGGCCTCACATGTCAGGTTAGGCAGAGAGATAACTCCCTTGACGCGACTCTGCGATGTGTCCGAACGATTAGGCGACGTGTAAGGTAGGATTCAATCTCTTCTTCGCAGCATCCTCTCTCTCGGTCCACTACCGTCCCGTTCCACGTGCTTTCATTATATACACGATCTAATAGCTCCGCCAGATTATTTTGCCGTCCCTAACTTCGTTGTTCTCGCGTAGGGGGTTGACTCGATTTAAAATCTATCTACTTGCGCAACCAATACGTCGACGACACAGGCTTGTTAACTGAGTCTAATCCGATATTGTTGCTGTGTTGCTCGCTGCCGCGTCTGCTCCCAGAAGCCATCCCAGATCCGCGAGAGCCTCGGCCGGAATGTGAATCCCCGGGGGAGCATTTAACGCGCCGAATTGGCCCGTATCATCCCTGGTCCTCGACGTGGCCTCGTAATTACGGTGTCCATTTCTTTAATTAGGACGCGAGGGTACTCGCTGCGGTCATCCGTTGCTCCGAGGATCTCCGAGCGATGTTACGTCGAACACCTAAGACAAAAATGTATATCGTTAGTTCGAGGAAGCGAGCACTGCAAACAAATATTTGTGTAAAATTACATGATTATACTAGGTTTTTTTTCCCACTCAGCATAATCATGCAACATTGTTACTTATATATGAAAGATTACAGAGTTTATATGTAATTTCATATGAAATAATATATTCTTATATATTTTCAAGATTAAAAATATTCCACTGAACATTGGAATTACACATAGGAAATAATAATAATATGTAAATGCTATAAAATAATGTTATAAATAAAATGATAGAATACTTATAAAAGAAAGTTCCAATAAAAATAGTAATTTTACCGATATTTTATATATATATTTTTACATTAATATGGTATTTTTACTTTAAAATAAATGAAAAAATTACAGTGATAAGCTAATAATTTTTTCAGTTCAAGTAATTCCCATGTAAAAGTACATGCATTTTTTCAGTGAAGAGAAAAAAATAATTGTAATCTAGAGATATAATCTAATCATAATCATAAGTCATAATCTAGAGATATAACAGAAGAAAGAAGAAGGGCTAATGAGAGAGAAATTATTTAAGAAAAAATAGTTTTCAAATTTTTATCTTCTAAACTAGATCATTTTTTATTTGTGTAAAAATTGAAAAATTGAAAAGTTCAAAACTGTTTTTGAAAAAAAAAATCAAACATGTACTATTCACAAATAATTTAGACGTATTTTTTAACCAAAAAGAAACGCGAAAAAAAAGAGAGAAAGGCAGGCACAGGCAGATTCAGGTGTTTCGTTTCCAACGAATTATACTGCACAACTGTTGTTTGCGTTCCTGATTTCGATTACGTTTCCACCGTGGAATTAATCAATTAATCGTAAACGGATAAAAATAAAATGTACATCGGCCGCAAATGCACAATATCCGTTACGCATCATTAATTCATTCGTTATTAATATTATTAGCCCGCAGAAATATGTAAACGAGCAAGTTTGCGCGTGCGGAGGGGTTCGTATATAATTGAGTTATTCATAAATGCTACTATTTATCGTTATTAAGTTAATTAAGTCCAATATCGGCCAATGCACGACTGCCGCCGGCTGGTAAATTCGCTGGCAGTAATTGATCGTAAAACGATCCAACGTGTCGGGATATATATTTCGGAGATACCTTAGACGACGAAAAGGAAGTCTTACAAAGCGATCCTCGCCCGACCTTTAATACGCGATATGTGCACAGCCAGGAAATTGATTGGTCAGGTAAGACGGAACACGTGGATGAGTCATGATGGAAGAAGTAGGGGAGTGTCCATCGATTTCTTCCCGGTTATATCATACGAGATATCTCGTTTCGCGAACGAAACTTAATAACGGGGACATCTCTCATAGTTCCGTTCCGAACCGCGTCAGACTCGATTTTCGATTTTCATCCGACCCAGCGTATATACATAGTGATTGTACGATATATCCAGAGCGACGAAGAAATATCCTTAATAAGGTAAAATATGCCCGAGCAAATCTAAATAAAATTGAACGTGTTTGCGCGATATATTGATTTAGCGATAGAATCGCTGCGTTCATCAAGATCGAATAATCTATAATGCAATCACGATGATTTTGCATTGCAATAAATTTTATATTGTTTTAGCTGTAAGGAATTGAGAATCTAGCAAATATAAAAAAATAATATACTTTTAACAGCGTGTAAAATATGTATTTAAATAAATAGATGAATATAATGTGCTTTTTGTTAAAAAAATATACATGGAGAGAATTTTATCTTAGAGTTTAAATTTTCCGATTAAACATATTTATCACAATAAAAGATATTAATATGTACATAGTAAGATTGATCAAACAGATTTTATATCTTACTGTGATAAAAATTAATTTTTTTATTGTGGGTCAACATTAATCAGAAAAACTCATAAAATTCGTACAATATTGTCCCACGATTACCATAATTTTTAGGGTGATCCTTAAAAAAAAATTCTCTGTGTATAGATATATATCTAATAATAAAATCAAAATGAAAAATTGCAATTACAATTCTTCATTTTATTCTTATTATTAAAATATACATATTTTTCAACAATAAACATTGTATCTCTTTAAATAAAAATTTTAACCAAAGTTAGAAAGTATCTTCTTTTTCGACTCGTGCTAGACTTTTATAATCCTTTTATTTAATTAGATAAAACAAAAAAAAATATGTAAAAGTTGAGTGCATTCAAACGTTTGTTAAAAAGGATAACGACATAACTTTTGTATGTAAATTATACTAGTAATATCTTTCGAATGTCACTTCCTAGCCATTATCTATTCTCTGTGAACGATAGACAAAGTTTCGTGATAAAAGAAATCATTGCTCTATGGTCAAGCGTTGCTGTAAATAGCTGTGTGTAGCGATGATATCATCTAGTGATGAGAACATTAATCCGACAACTCTGACTAGTCGATATTATAATTCACAAACGATCAGAAATATCTCGTGACACTTTGTAGATAGCAAAAAGTACATCATGTCACGGAATCAAGTATGACAAAATGTAAATGTACGCTTTCAACGTCGTAGGAAGAATGCGTATTCTTTCCCCGACTGATAAAAACGGATAGGTGCAGGAGTACATATATATACTTGACTGAGAAGCGATTTGTCTCTTTTTCAACGAATATTTTAGGACCTGACGTACCTTAAAATATTCGTTGCATGTTGCTCCTTACGTGTAACCTGATTTTCAAATACTGTCGCTATCAAGATTCTATCGAGCAAAAATGGATATAACGTTTGACATTTAAGATAGATCGTTAAACCAAACACGTGTAATGTTCCAAAATTATTAATTCATTAACACTGTTCACACTGCTTCCTGTTTACTTCGTATATTTGAAAATTTGTCGTTGGCTTTTAAACGTCAAATTAATATAAATGATTCAAGTATATATTTATTATCGAAACTAAATACAATTCATCTCTTCTCAATTTTGTCGCGATGAAAATATGTATTTTTTAATTAAATTTCAAAATTAATGAATTTTTAACATGTGTTATAATTTTTGTCGTACTTTAAGTAGTACCCTATATTGTTTTTGGCTTAATTAAAGATATAATTAAGTCATCGAAAATTTGATAGCTGGAAGGAACAATGATAATTCTATATACAACATTTCGATATTATATATTATATACATATATGTATAGTACGCGTGAATTCAGCACATAAATCTCATATTGATATCTACCATTTGGTCGCTTCCGTAATTACAAGCTTCGTGACATAGAATCGTTGAAATCGTTTGGGATAAAGGGATATTGCAACTGATACACGTTTGCAAGAGATCCACATGTTACGATAATAGACTATCTGTGAATTAAGCATTAGATCGAACATCCATCAGTGTAGAAAGCTTTAACCAACGACGTGGTTAAAGTTATCGAACTCGTGTGTAAAGCTTATTGAAAGCAGCTCTACCTTGTTTTTCGTAGATGCTTTATCAATAAAGTCCGTTTTAGATGAGCTAGAATTCCCGATAAATGTCAAGAATTCTTTTTATTTACTACAAACAGAATTTTATCGCGAATTATCAATCTAGTCCAAAGCGAATTTAAAAGATTTGCCCATTGTTTCTTTTTAATACACTACACAGAGAGAATTTTCTCCTATAATTTACCTTGAAAATCATGACAATAGGGAATTGGAAGAATTTTATAAATTTCTGATTAATATCTACCACAATAAGATATAAAATATGTTTGATAAATTTTACTATATACATATTCATATTTTTCTGATAAATATTAATCAGAGCTTAATTATATCTTAATTATATCTTTAATTAAGCCAAAAACAATATAGGGTACTACTTAAAGTACGACAAAAATTATAACACATGTTAAAAATTCATTAATTTTGAAGCTCATAAAATACCTTCCAACACCACATTGTCCCAAAATATTACCAAGATTTTCAGGGCAAATTTTAAGAGACAATTCACTCAGTGTTCATGACAAGACTCTCTCTTTCTCTCTCTCTCTCTTTTACATCATTTTGCCACAAACATTGGATTATTAATGAAAAAATCCGTGGTCCTCCAAATGTGTTTTTCGATTCCAGATATGAATTGCTCGTTCCGCCTAGCCAGATAACTACATTCCCTAATTTCAACCCTGCGCGTTTCCATTCCCAAGCGCGCCGCGACTTATCATCAGCTGTGATTTGGCGGCCAGCGGGTTTAATTTAGCAAACACGCGGCGTTCGTTGGTTCGTTGGTTGATTTGCGCATCTGTGTCCTTTCCTGTCCCTCTCATTTACTCTCGATCCATCGAATCGCGTGATCGCGCTCTCTCTCTCTTTCGCAGGAGAGTGCGCCAATATACAAACCCCGCGGGCGATTTGTTCGATGGGAATTGATTAAGCCAAAATCAATGCAGCTAATAATAGTGTTTGTTAAGGGTCAAATGTGTTTATGCGACTGAGCAGGTAATTTTTGCCATTGCGCTATTGAGCTCATTGATCCCATTATTATTGTACGTGAACACAAATGATTGATTCTGGCTCGTTATATTTACGTAATATTACGTATCGAGCTTTACAGAATTCTTTTGCTTTTTACGTTTCCAATTAATATCGAAAAATACTGATGACTCTCTATATTAATAATTGCTATTATATTTAAAAAAAGAGAGGAATGTTATAAAACGTGTAAAATTAAAAAAAACTTTTAAAGAGTAAATTGAATGAATTTAAAGAAAGAAAAATGTTATGTTATCCATCTGACATCTGATTTTCAAAAATATTGCACTTTATCTTTCCCGAGTCTTAAGAATGATCGAAATAAGTGTATACGAAGAACAGTCTATGCATAAGATATACATATAAATTGTTAGTGAACATATGCAGCAAGTCGAAATAACTTCATGTTTCCTTGACTTAGTTTAATTAATTATACGATTCTCGAGACAGGTATGTTAAGGGGTCACGTTCGTTCTCTTTCTCTTTCTGTCATATGCTTTCATAT